AGAGGTGCTCATCTCATGGCAAGCATAGGCGCTTCATGCAGCGCCAAGCTTTGGTTTCAATGACTTCAACAACGAACGAATGAATCGACTGGACGCATGAGCAAGTCACGCCGTCGACCGTCCATCCCGTTGCAAGCACTTCGAATCTCGCTGGCGCCAAAGGGCTCGAGAACGCCGTGTAGCTCTCTAGGACTCAACAACGTCCGAGTTCAACACATTCGCCACCGACATGGAACGACCCCCGTATCGATTCTGCGCGTTGTCTATGCCAAGGCCATGATGCCGCCGCACCAGTGGCCCAGCACACCTGAGCTGCAGTGTGTTGAAAAAATGCTAGGCTTCCATCACCACCAGCCCCTCAACTCTTTGAGCCTGGCCCACGACGGCTCCACGATCGCTGCTTGGCGGACCAGGTGCATGTCGACTGGCGTGTCTTCGACCACACTCGTCAACTATCGACAGCTCCTCCAGCACGCCTCCAATCGAAGATGGCGCTACCTCCAACGTCGCAAACAAACACGCCAGCGACCAAGATGTGTATATTTTTCGTCAAGACGACGACGGCGACTAGTCTAGTTGACTTGTTCGCAAAACGTCTTGGCGTTCTGAAACATTTGCAACCACGGGCTGACCTTGGCATCTTGAATCGCTTTGGTCTTGTACGGCCACTGGAATTTGAGCGACGTGCGCTCGGGGTGCGGCATCATGCAAAAGTGGCGGCCGTCGTCCGACACAAGCCCGGCAATGCCGTGAGGCGATCCGTTCGGGCTGAACGGGTACGCTTCCGTGACCTCGTTGGCATCGTTGACGTACCGGACGGGGGCGAGCTGGTTGTCGAGGACGTTCTGGAGGAGGCGCGGGTCCGGGAAATACGCGCGGCCTTCGCCGTGCGCGACCCAAACGCCAAGGGAGCTGCCGGCCATGCCCTTGAGCAGCACCGCGTTCGATTCTTGGATTTGGACCGTGACAAAGTTGCACACGTATTTTTCGCACGCGTTGTCAATGAACCGCGGGTTCAAATCCCCGGCGCGGTTCGAGTCTTCCACGGCCAGTTGCTCCGTCACAGGCGGATTCACCCACCCCAAGAGCGACATGAACTGGCATCCGTTGCACACGCCCAAACTGAACGTGTCGGCGCGCGCGCGGAACGCCTTGAATTGCGCGAGGACGTTCGGGTGGTACTTGACCACACCAGCCCATCCCTTGGCCGATCCTAGCACGTCGGCAAACGAAAACCCGCCGACAAACGCGACCCCGCGAAAGCGTTCGTCGAGCGCCACCGTGCCCGCGACCAGATCGCGCATCGTGATGTCCCACACTTCAAATCCCGCGAGATAAAACGAGCTGCCCATTTCACGGTCTACAAGGAAACGTCAGATGCCCAATCGCTCGCGCGCCGTCGTCATTGTCGAAAAAGACAGAGCGCCCTCGACCAAACGAAATATGGACCACCACCACAAGCGCTTCGTTTTCCAGCACATCCACCAAACAACGGCACACACACACACGTGGACGAACCTCCGTTCGACCCTTCCTCGCGCAACACGGCGACGCGGTGTTGGTGGCGCGTCGAAATCGCCTTGGGCGGCGTCGGTTCGTACGTCAATTGCCACGGCGGGATGCGGCGGTGCTTGAGGCCGTCCTGCTCTTGCTGAACATGGTCGGGGCTGCGTTGGCGCTTCTCGAGCTCGAACGACGTGGCTTCCCAAATGTCGCGCAAGTTGGCGGTTGTGTCTTCGAGGACGGTGCGGCCATTGACTTGGACGCGGACACATTGGTCGTGTTCAGTCACGTGGCCCACATGCACCAGCGGGACGCGGAGCGAGTCAAACAGCGCGACAACGTCGGCTTGGTGCGCCTTGGGCACTTGGACAACGTACCCGAGCTCTTCGGCGAACAGCACACCGAGTTGTTCGCGCAGCGTGACCACTTTGGACGGGGACGCGTTGGGTGTTGGGATGTTGAGTTGAACGCCGACGTTGCCGGCAAAGGCCATCTCCAAGAGGGCGACAAGAAGACCCCCGTCCGATCGATCATGGCCAGCGCTCAACCACCCGTTGTGCACGCACGTCTGAATCGCCTTGAATGCGTTCACAAACAGCGTCGAGTCGTCCACGTCTGGCACTTGCCGACCCACTACGCAAAAAGCCACCATGCATGAGCGGCGCGACCACCTGCATGGGATCGCACCTTGGCTAAACACTTGGGCAAGCGCCGACCCGCCAAGGCGATACTTGCCCTGGCCCAAGTCGACGTAAAAGAGGTCGCCACCGTGCGGCTTGAGGTCGGGCGTGACGGTCTTTTCGACGTCGGCGCAAGCAGCATACATTGTCACGACCAGCGTGCCAGGAGCTTTGACATTTTCCGAATCGACGCGGGCCGCCATCGACAACGAATCCTTCCCGCCGTCGACAGCCACACCGACGTCCTTCATAAACGTTGTCATGGCTTTGCAGCACTCGTACATGCGCGCAGCCTCCCCAGGGAGCTTGGCTGCCCACATCCAGTTGGCCGAGCACTTGATGTCGACCAACGACCCAGACAGCGATGCCCATACCAAGTTGGTAAGGGACTCGCCGACCGTGAGGCGCGCCATCGCGCCAGGGTTGACCAGCCCTACGCAAAAACAAGCAGTCGCATCACCCGAGAGGACTCCTCATCGACGAACGGCGGGGGCATGAAAATACCTTTTACGGGCTGCTCCCCAACAGCGGACGCACAACCCGTGTACGTGCCGGTTTCGGGGCTGCGGAAATGCGACTGCGCAATGACAGAGACGTTGGCCAGAGGCAAATGCAGCGGTCCGACGCAAGGTTGCTGCGCCACAAGACCTGTTACGCACCTACCCAGCGACTGTCAGGACGGCACCGCCCATCATGGAGCTGCTCCACGTACCGATCGACCTTGGACGTCAAGAAGCGCTTGGAACCCACCGACAAGAGGCGGAGGACGCGGCCTAGCGCGGACGGGACCGTGATGTCAACGGGGAAGACCAGTTCCCGGAGAAACGACGTCGACTCTGTCTTGTCGACAAACGTTTTTTGGGGCATCTTGCCCAAGACAAGATCGAGTTCCAAATCGACGGGGGTCGAGTTGTCCAGGGCATCGTGGAGGACAACGCGGCCATCGCCGGTGACTTGCCCCAAGAGCGAGAACGGGCAGTTTTCACGTTCGCAAATCGTGCGGAAGAGGTCGACGTCGCCCGGGCGCAGCAACAGCGCGTTGTTCTCTTGGTATTCGGCGCCCCAGATTTCAAGAACGCTCAAGGTTTCGTCGCCGATCAAGATGTTGCGCACTTCGTAGCTACCCATGAGATGCGTGAGCCGTCGCGGCCATGGAGATGGGAACGTGGAGTCGAATGGCTCCAAAAAATGCCCACAAAATGCTGATCAAGGGACAACAGTTCGTACCGAGCGCCACCGCCGTGGCCGTTTGTGGGCTCAACGATTTCTTTCAGGACGTTGCCGTTGCCGCCAGCACCTTGATCGTGGATGCTCACAATCGGGTTGCGATCGCCCAACTCGACGCAGGCTCGGATGACACGGTTCATCTTGTTTTCCATCTAACAAGACGCTTTTGCATGAGCCCGTGTCCAAGTCATGGGGACAGCAACGAAAACAGCTCGCGCGACGCTAGAGACAATTGCACAAACACTACCTCGGCGTCGCCACGCTGGACAGCATTAAAGTCCAATTCGGCTGTCTTGGCGTCCTGGATGCGACTGGAGGCAGCTCCACCGCCCATCCCAATGCGGTAGCAAGGGCCACCGACCTTGACGACCCACATGTTGGTTTCCGCGTCACCCTTGGAGCAGTGCGTCGCGTTCAATTGCCCGACCCCAGCCGAAAACATGATCGGCTTGATGTATTCGCGGCGTTCGCCGTTGGGCAGCACCATCCCAAACGAGCGAGCAAACCCAGATACGACGGGCTCGCCAAACTTGTTGCCGTAGTCCGACGCTCCGTTTGAAGCTTGAACAATAATGTCGCGGGGGTGTGCCAAGTTGGACGGATATCCCACGCTCTTGTCTTCCCAGGGGAGAGTGTAGTTGTCCAAGAGCAGGTTGCCAACAGAGTATGCGCTCACCTGGAAGTGGTCGTGAGATCGTCGCCGCGACAAATCGGGTAAGCAATGGCTCGATTTTGCACCAGTTCAATGTGTCAACCGTCAAAATTGGCGAAAAAGACGTGAAAAACCATGGAAAAGATCGACACATTGCACTGAAAAATCGGGGAAACGATCGAAATCGTCATATACGTGTCATCAACCGGATTGGATCGATAGACAACGGTAAACAGACACGATAAAAAGTTGACAAAATTCGTCCAAAATGATCGACCAACTCGTCAAAATGAAAAATACATGTACATACCCCGGCAACAACATGGGCACCGCGGCCAGTGGCTTGGACGTCGCGGATACGGCCGCCCGTGCCAGTTTCAGCACCCGGGAAGGGCGCGACGCCGGACGGGAAGTTGTGGGTTTCGGCGGTCAAGAGGACGTGGCTGGTCAAGTGGCGTTCTTCGAGGGCAGACGGGTGGCCGACGTGCGAAGGCGCAAGGGTCTTGATGGGCGCGCCTTTGATTACACTCGAGTTGTCGTGGAAGGCAATGATCGAGTTGCCTTTGTTTGCGTCCGTCAAGGTCGACTTGACCATTTTGAAAAGAGTTTCGGGCATTTCCACGCCGTCGATGACGATCTTGCCGCCAAAGAACCAATGTCGCGAGTGTTCCGAGTTGGACTGGCCCATGTCGAAGCATTCGACGTCGGTCGGGTCGCGCTTGAGCTTTTCCTTGAACAAGTTGGTGTAGTACTCCAAGTCCCATTCATCGAACCCGAGACCATTCTCGGCGTTGATCTTTCGCAGCGCTTCCTTGCCTTCCGTCATAATGGGCACGCGCTGGACAGGCTTGGGCGCCTGCGCAATGCCGAACGACGTGAGGGGCGTTTCGTAAACTTGTTCCGTCATGCGATCCATGTGGGCGGTGAGGAACGCAGACTTGAACGCGTCCGTGAGCTTGCCGGCCTTGCCATGGAAATGAAAGATGCGGCTGCGCTCGATACGCTTGATCTTTGTCAGACCGCAAGCATGGCAAATCGAAACCGCGTTACTACTCCACGGCGTGCTGAAGCTCAAGCGGGCGCCGATCTCGACGACCCAAATGTCGGCCAACGCCTTGGCAGGCGCTGGGTAGAACGGCTTGGATCCGTACTTCTCGGGCTCAAACGTTTCGCTGAGCAACCATGTGAGCGCGGATTCTTCCTCGACCGTCAATGGCGCCGCGCCGGCGTCGAGTTCGACATAAAAGCACGACTCGGTTTGAACGTTCGCGACAACCTCTGCCCACGTCGACTTGAACGTCGACGTGACGTGCTCCGACCAGAACGGCGTGCGGAAGTACGTCAAGAGGGAGGAGGCTCCTTTCATCTTCTTGGCTAATGGAGATTTGCGGGGCGAAGGCAACGACATGCTCGATGGGAATCAGTGGATTGGGACGTTCCTCTATCGATTCCTCCACGGTCACGTGAGAGGTGCGAGTCCAAATTCGCATAGACGAAGCATGTTTGATTGAATGTGGTCTATTACATACAATTCAGAGTATAAAAGATATATCTGGCGAGTTGTATGTTGATACAACAAGCAAGTAAGTTTTGGATGTGTCGTGCCAAACCGGGAGGAGTTTAACGTAAACTGTAGAAATGGATATGGTATCGATTCAGACAGGGATGCCGCCGATGCTAGCACGGGATTGGTGGATGGCTGTCCGCCAATCGTTGCGGTTGTTTCGAGTGGGCGTTATCCATTGAATTTCTACCAATCACTTTCAAGTGTTCGTTTCAATTGTCGGCTACAATTGAAACGAACAGTAGGTGGACGTCGTGAACGCGCTGGTAGGTAGATTCTTTCAACAACGCGAAGATGACGCGACAATTTACGACTCGTTCCCATTGTGTTTGGTTCGCAGGCGATTGTTGCACTGGATGGGCCACTCTTGGACGTGGAGTTGCTATCAAATATCGCAATGTACTTGCACGGGTTTGTGGCGAGTTTTGACATCGACGTCATTTACATGTGGCAAGCGAGCTAGGATATTTTGAAATTTTCTCGGTCATCCGGCGCGACTTTGGAAATATTTCGAGCGAAACCGAAACGTGCTCCCACGTCACATGGCGCATCGAATGCATCCAGGAAGAATGGATGGGAGCGGGCCGTGCATGGACGACGCGCGGCCGGTCTCTATCACGCATGCCGCTCACTTGCAAGCGGCATCATGCTCGAGCCAGCAGTCGTCCTCCGTGCTTGGCAGCACGTGGATGTACATGCATGCGACAGCGTGCCGTATTGTCAACGTTACTGCGTTACTGCACACACGAGTCGGGCACGATTTATTGCTTCTTGACGGGCAGACCCATTGCTTTCTTCACGATGCGGTTCTGCTCCAGCACGTGGACAGCGCCGTAGCCGGTGGCGGGGGCGGCCGAAGTCGGGCGACCAATGTACGTCGCGCGTCGCGAGTCTTTCGAGATCGTCGTCAACGCGGTTTCGATACGGGGAGCCACATACGACCAGAACCCCATGTTTTCAGGCTCTTCTTGGGCCCACTTGATTTCGGCGTTCTTGTACTTGGCAGCTTGTTCAGCCACCTTGTCAAACGGGAACGGCGCGATCTGCTCCACGCGCACCAGAGCAATGTCCTACAAGCCACGAGCGTGACTCGAGTGGTCGCATGCGACTCGACGATACCTTAATGCCGTGTTCTTCACGCTCGGCAGCCAGCTCGTAATAGAGCTTGCCCGTGCAAAAGACAACGCGCTTGATCTGGTCGTCGGCAACGAGGTTTGTGGCGGGATCCGGAAGCAAGCGGTGGAACTTGGTGCCGGGGCCGAGGTCGGCCAAGTTGGACGAAGCTTGCTTGAGGCGCAGAAGCGACTTGGGTTGCACCGAGATGAGGGGTTTTCGGAAGTCGCGGTGGATTTGGCGGCGCAGCGCGTGAAAGTACTGCGCGGGGGTCGAGCAATACACGACTTGCCAGTTCGTTTGTTGAATTTGCATGCGATTCGACTCGTCCATGGGTGGCACAATATTCGGGTCGTCGTCCGTTTGCTGGAGGAATCGTTCGATGCGGCACGAACTGTGCTCGGCGCCTTGTCCTTCGTACCCGTGGGGCAGCAGCATGACGAGGCCGCTTTGGCGCATCCACTTGTCTTCGCCGGCACTCAAGAATTGGTCGACAATGATCTGCGCGCCATTGACAAAATCACCAAATTGCGCCTCCCACATCACCAACGCGTTCGGGTTTTCCAACGAGTACCCGAGCTCAAACCTACCCAAACGACATGACCACGGCAATCCCACCTTGTGGTGGCGCCTTACCCGAGGACAGCAAACTCGGACAGCGACGAGTTGGACGCAACAAACGGCGCTTGCGTGTGCTCGCCCGGCGTTGTGACGGCGGTCGCGGGGTTGACGGACTTGGCCAGCGTGTTCAACGGCACATACTCTTGGTTGGTATCTTGGTCGTGCAAGACAGCATGACGGTGGCTGAACGTGCCTCGTTCAACGTCTTGACCGGAAATGCGCACATGGTTGCCTTCGAGGAGGAGACCGCCCCAAGCAAGCGCTTCAGCGGTACCCCAGTCGAGTCCTTCGCCCGACTGGATAGCTTGAGCTTTGGCAGCCAAAATACGCTTCAATTGGGCGTTGAGCTGGAATCCGTCCGGGATGGCCGTGAGGCGCTCGCCAATGTGTCGGAGTTTGTCCAAGTCCATGCCGGTCGTACGAATGCGCGACTGCTGCGTCGGGCTCTTGAAGGACTCCCACTTGTTGGCGAGCCAGTCGCTCTTCTTGCTGTCTTCCCACGTTTTGGACTCTTCAAACGTTTCGCCGTAAAAGTCCCACACCTTTTGAATGATCGCGTCCGTCTCGGCCTTGGTCGCGACGTTCGACGCGATGAGTTGCTCCGAGTACGAGTCCAGCACGCTCGGCATGCTTCCAATCTTCTTGTACATGAGCGGCTGCGTGAAGAACGGGTTGTCGATTTCATTGTGGCCGTATTTACGATAACACGTCAAATTGACAATCACGTCCGAGCGCCACTTTTGACTAGGCGTGGGTCGTGAGCCGTGCATCGGAATCAAGAAAAAGCGTACCGCCATTCCGCCGCCAACTCGAACACCTTGACCACGGCCAACGGATCGTCGCCGTTCACGTGGAAAATCGGGACGTTCATCGCCTTGCCGACGTCACTGCAGTACTGCGACGACCTAGTTGTGGACAGCACACGTGAGTCGATCGCTCGAACTGCGTTGATTCGCCCGTATCAATTTGACAACAGATGAAGTGCGTGGCCAGACCAGGCTCCGAGCTCACACGGCAGACACGTCAGTGAAACGTGCCACATTCAACACCTACCGCGAGTTCTTGGGGTCGGTGGTGAACCCGATTTGGTTGTTCACTACGACATGGACGGTGCCGCCCGTGTCGTAGTTTTCCAATTCAGCCAAGTGCATGGTTTCGTACACAACACCTTGTCCGCTGAACGCGGCGTCCCCATGAAGTAGGAGCGGCATCACCTTGGTGTCGGCGTCATCGTCATTGCCCAAGTAGAATTGCTTGGCGCGACACTTGCCGACCACGACAGGGTTGACTGCTTCCAAGTGGGACGGGTTTGCCACCAAGCTCAAGTGGACCTTGCGGCCATCGGGGTACGTGCGATCGAACGACGTGCCCAAGTGGTACTTGACATCGCCAGAGTTACTCCAGTCGGCGTGCTCTTCGCTGTACTTGCCCATATCGACGTGCGTGCCCTGGAATTCCTTGAAGATTTGGTGGATCGGCTTGCGGATCACGTTCGACAGCACGTTCAACCGACCACGATGGGGCATCCCAATCACAACGTGCTCCATGCCCTAGACGATTCGGTCACAACGCATGCAACAGCATCACAGGACGAACCAGCTCCGTCGCGCGATCAATCATGTACTTGAGGCCCGGGATCAGCGATTCCCCGCCGTCCAAACCAAACCGTTTGGTAGTGTTGTACTTGTTGCCCAAAAAGCGCTCAAACACCACCGAAAACGCAAGCCGTTCCAGAATGTGCATCTTCTTCTCCTTTGTTTCGTCTTTCTTGACCAGAGATTCCAAGTGGGTGCGAATCCAATTGCACTTTTCACGGTCCGCGATGTGCATGTATTGCTACAACACGCGAGATGAGCTCTGCGGTGGACGAGGACGGGTGGGGTTCGCCTACCACGCCGATCGAGCTCGTGTACGTCTCCTTGAGGCGCTGCAAGATGTAGCGCAAGGTTGGGTTTTGGCCGTCGCTCAATTCTTCGAGGAAGCCCGTGACGCCCGACGCACTGCATGACGTAGGTCAGAATGTTTTGCGTGAATGACACACGGTAGGGGGCACGTGGGAGCATAGACGTGCTGCAAGGTTAGAGTCCACGTACAAGTTTTTAGGGATCGCGATCGTCTTGTCCAAGTCGGCTTCCGTGAATCCATACATGGAAATGTCGAGTTCGGGAAGGGGCGGGCGGACGTCCAAGCCCAACGGGTCCAACCGGGCGACTTCATGTCCACGGCTTTGATACGCGCGAATCAAGTAACTCAAGCCCAACGCGTGGTTCACGTCCGTGGACGAGCTCGCGGCCGCAGCGCCGGAACGCGCAACAGGAGTGACACCAGGTTGAACAGTCGGGGGAGGGATAAACGCCTCGCCTGGCAGCGCACCTTGTTCGACTTGGCGGAAGTACACGTCCCACGACTTGTGCACGCTATTCACGCATGATTGACAGCGACACGTTGATATCACGTGCGTCCGTACCTTTTGGGGTCTTGCGTCCACGTCTTGTACATTTCGTCAACGTAGACGTTGTTAGTGCCGCTCAAGAAAGATTCGGACGGGTGCGGTGCCGACGAGAAGGCTCTCGCCGGGTGGGATGCATTCGTTTGCACGATCGTGCGGCGCAGTAAGCGCGAGGCGGACGCGAGCTTCCCCCACTGCGTCATTGGTGTCGAGGCGGTCGAATCGATTCTGGCCGCAAACTGGGGCGTCACCCACGATATTCAGCCAATCATCTGTCGAACACGTATTCTTTTCAGCCAATCATATTGAATTATCCACTGAGATGTGCCCTGCCACTCACTTCATCCGACGGACCAATCGTATCGCGAGGATCGAACCTTGGATAGTATGCAGAAGGTACTAATAGTAGGTACTAACTGGAACTTTGTCTATCACTAGTACCTCTAGTACTTACATACCTCTCAGGTTGTTGAACGACAGTGATGGAGTACGAACGAAAATTCGTACTAGTAGTACTAATACTGGTAAATTCCCAACCCTCGATGGCGATGATGTGGAGCTCGAGCAGAACTCTCGAGTCGTTATGGGAGGCAAGTCGTCGCAATGTGGCAGGGAGGGATGAAAAGAGAACGACAGACAACGGCCGTTGTGCTTGCCGAGTTCGTGTATGCGTGGCTGCCCTCCCCAAGGACACGACAAGACGCAAGGGGCACAACAGGTCGAATTTTCTCAAGAGCGGTGGTTGACAACACTGAACTTCTTCGCAACGCACGCGAGATCCAACCCATGGATCTCGCGCGCGATGCAAAGGAGTGGACGAAACAGTCAGGTGGAATCGTGTACATGCATATTTGTCGTGTTTCCAGGGATTCTAGGCGATACGAATCTACTTGGCGATGGTCTTGACAGCAGCCTTGACCCCGACTGGATGCTTCAAGTGTGAGTACACTTGGTCCACGTCTTGGATGAACCGGAGGTAGTTGACGTCGGGGTTGACTTCGCGGCCGTGGCGGACGCAGTACGTCGACGTGAGAAGTGAAATTTCCTGCGGGGAGCATTCGAGTTGCATCATGTCGAGCACGGACGCGAACTGGGTCTTGGTCACGTGCATCAGGCAATTCCGATCGTAGTCTTCAAAATACGGCTTGATATGCAGCCTAAACCACTTCATTCCGCTACTGCCGACGCCCACAGGGAATTCTCACCGCTTCACGTCCACGGTCGTTCGAATTCGTCCAAGAAGGGCGTCCAAGGCTTCAGATGGCTTAGTTACGGCAATGTCATCTCGACAATCCTGATACATGCTCACGGAGGAGATGTTATGAGCAGTACATTTTCTCGTTGTGGAAACTCACCTCAACGTGGGCGGTGGACTCGACGGCCGTAATGAACGCTCGGTAGTTGATCAAGTCGGGCTTCGTCGTCGATTGGAAAGCTTTGTTCAGAGTGAGGACGTCGTTCGCATCAACATGGAGCCCGCTACGGTTGATCGCCGTGTGGAACTTGGCCACCGGGATGTCCCCACAGCGCAGTCGGTCCGTCTCGGTGAAGAATTGCTTGAGCCGGATGCGTTTCGTGTCGGTTTGCAATCTACCACACCGACAACGAGTCAATATACAAGAAAAAACAATGAAATTCAGCCAATCAAACCCAGTAATTTCGAGAAAATGGTATCGAATCGAAAAATACAAAAACGAATCAAATCCATATCGCATCCACGCCAGCCCTGTACCGAATATCCTTGAGCAGCGCCTCCAGCGCGACGGCATGCGCTGGCTTTGCGTGGCGGCGGGTGGACTCCGCCGTCAATGGGTCTCCGTGTCCATGTGCCTGGCGCAAACGGAATTCCCTAGCCCCTGGATATCGTCGTTGTGAGAATCTCAAGTCCAACATCGTCGTACCCGGCAACACCGTCGTCGACGATGCGTCGTTGCCCGGGGCAAGGTTGGTCAATGCTGATAGAAACGCGCGGTAGTTGACATCGCACGTCGAGCTCACACCCAAGTGGGGTGCATTGCCGCGCTCGGAAAACTTGACCGTGAGCAACCGTGTCGTCGTTGGATTCGATGGCAACAGGTTCACCATCGACAACACCCGCTGAAACTTGGACGCCGACACGGATCCTTGGTTCGACAAGTCAAAGTCCTCAAACGGTGGTTGAATGTCCAAGCGTTGTTGCTGGATAATCGTCGCCATCTCTTGCAAGGCTGCCACAACACTGGCTTCGTCTTCCGGTGCGAGAATCTATTCCATGCGGCCGGTCACGAAAGTCGAGGGACATGAAGCGCCATCGAGCGTCCGATCTCCAAACGCACAGTGTCAACGACGGCGTCCGTCTGCTCCGCAACCTCGATGGCTTGGCGAATGTCCTTGGTGGGATCTCGTTCAAGTCTATTTCCACGATGAGTTGCGCCGACCTAGCTCGTCCTACCCCTTCACAGTAAAGACTGAGTCGATTTCATCGGCGAAGCGCGTCCATGCAACGAGCGCGGCGCCTTCGACGTCGCGGTCCGAGGCATACTTGAACTCGTCGGACAGGACGGCCACGTCCGCATTGCTCAAAACAAACCCCGCGGCATTCAACCCCGCCGCAAATTGGGACCTGTTGGTAAACCACATCACGACATGCCTCCAGTTATGTGCCACGTGTATCTCAAATCCCAAGGCCAGCTCAAGCGATAACGAGGATGGGCTCGCCCATTCAACACTGCATGCGCAGAAATCCGTTCAAGGGCATGCGAACGGCATGAGGTCGATCGTCGCCAAGACGATGTCCGACGAAAGACCTGACTGCGCAAGGTACGTGGCACGGCATTTCGAATCCGATACACGGCGCATCGTTCAAAGCGCGAGAAACGTACCGCGTGATTTTGCCCTTGCGGAGCTTGTCGCAGTCGCGAAAGTACTCGTCGATGCGGATCCGGTCGCGCTTGGCTTTTTGTTTGAGATATCGCAATAGCATGGGCAAGGTGCGTTGGGTGTTAGCTTCGGACACGTGACCGTCAGCTTTCGGCGAGTGGCCGGTCAAGGGCGTCGCAGCAGCAGGCGTCGAGGCAGTGGCCGACAGGCGGCGCTGGAACTCGTCCAGGTCCAAGCAAAACGTCTTAAAGTTCACAAACGCTTTGTTGTCGAACGCGAGGCGAGATGCCGGCAGCGTATTGAGGCGCGTGCTGGCGTATCGTTTCAAGATGGCTTGTTTCTCGTCAGCCGAGGTCAAAAACATGTTGTACATTGCCAGAACCTACGCACGCGCGCATGTCATTCGCGTGCGACACGATCGACGAGTTGATGGATGGCGATAGCATCGATTCGAGCCACCCAAAATGCTCCCGTGGCTCCACATGGACCATGCCACCGTTTGAAGTTCAACCTGCGACACCAAACAACCCGACGACACGCCATGGCCAATCACAACGACGGCAAACAACCCGACGACACTCCATGACCAATCAGAACGACGGCAAACAACCCGACGACACTCCATGACCAATCAGAACGACGGCAAACAACCCGACGACACTCCATGGCCAATCCGAACGACGGCAAACAACCCGACGACACTCCATGGCCAATCCGAACGATCGATGGCAACAACAATCCCATGGCGCCACGTCAGACACCCACTGGTTCGCTCAACAAAGGCCACTGAAGTCATAAACGACATGCCGCGCCGAAACGTACCCGGGCAAACTGCTCGCAAGTGACACACTCGGTTTTCCCTCGGTCAAAGTCGCAAAAGAGTGGTTTGAGGAGGATGCGGCGGGTCGCGACAGTGTGGCTGAGTCGGGTCATCACGTCGTTCCATGACGCAGCTTCGGCGTCCGTGAGATCACCGCGGGTATCGCGGGTACATGGGGCGACTGGAAGCGGTGCAACGTCGACATGCACTCGTTCGTCGTCGCTGTCCCGTGGAACGGGCAAGATGGAACTCACGCTCTTGCAAAACGCAACGTAGTCCACTTTGCGTTCGTGGCTTGGGTGTGTGGACGGCACGCTGTAAGCAGTGACGAGAAGCTCGAGGTCTTTTTCCGTGAGCGCGCCAAAGCAAACTTTGACAGCGCGTTGGAACTGGCCTTCCGCGCACTTGCCAGAACGCATCCGATCGTAGTCCGTAAAGAAGTTCTTCATGCGAATGCGGTCGCGCGCGACGATGTCTCGTAACGGCCCTTCCACGGCCTCGACGTCGGTGGCGCTGGTTTGGTTCGACGTGCGGCGCCGCGGGCGCGGCGACGAGCTGTTGTTTCCCGACGAGTCGGAGCCTGCGCTTGACGATCCTTGCTGAAGGTCCCAGTGCAGCTGTCTGTAGTTGACGTCCAACGGCCCTGCGCCATACGCTTTGACGATCGCGTCCACTTCCCGCAGCGAGACTTCGCCGATCACCGACGCCAGATCGCGCACAAACCGCGCTTTCGTCACAACGCCCGAGTTGTTCTTGTCGAAGTCATGGAACACGTCTTTCAGCACAACGCCCTGCGTGGAAAACATTCGAGATGAGGGCACAAGTCATTCGTGGCAGCACACCACAGTGGAGGCTCCGTGAGCGAGAAGGCAGACGCACCTTGGTGCGAACGGCCGTCGCGAGCTTGTCCTTGACGGATCGCAACGCTTCGTCGTCGACAAGCACGTGCTGAACGGTGACGGACGACGACGCGGTGGCTTTCGTCGGCTTGGACGGGGTTGTTGTCAGGTGTTTCTCAGCGTTCTTGATCGTGCATGGCTTGTCGATGAGGTCGCAGCATCGCCGGTAGTCGATGGTGCGTGGGTCGTCCGGAAGCCTGTACTTGGTGACCAAGAGGTCTATTTCGCCTGGCGAGAGGCGGATTCCACTCGCGTCGATGGCGCGCGTGAACTGCTCCGTCGTGATTTTCTTGGTTTTGTGCACATCAAACGTTTTCATGAATTCCTCGAGACGAATGCGACGCTGGCTGCATGCGGTCCGGAGCTTGGCCTTGACCAGACGGTACTCGGCCTTCGACATCTCTCTCTCTCTCTCGAAGCTGAACGCGACTGCGCCGACGGCGTATTTATAACTTTCGCAGCAGTTAAAGCAAGCCGTCGACAGCGCTAAAAATAAGATCCTGGCGCACATTAGAATAAGGAGCGCCTACCTCGCCCCAAGTGCATCCGAACGTCCGATCGGCAGCGCATCGCCAATCCGACGGACGCTGACAGGACGGCGCGGGCCTCTCCACTTGATCGTCTCCTTCGATCATCGGAGTTGAAGTCGAGGCCTTGCGTTAGTTCATAAAAACGTAGCCAAGCGAGTTGTTTTGGCGCCCAGGTCGGTGTGGTGTGTGTGAGCTCCTAGCGTTAGGCAAAAAGAGCAAGAGAGCGAGGCCGGTGGGGCAGTGCCGACGCGGCGACTTTTTCGAAGTTCCAGCTGCGCCAAAGGACCTGGAACCCGCAAGAGCTGTTTGCATGACGGACGTCGGCCAAGTAGTTGAGCCCATGTCATTTTTGTCGCAGCGATGTGTTTTGTGTAAAACGTAAATGGAAATTAAGTCAACTTGACGCGCCGGAGCTTACATGCCGTCGACAGCCGGGACAGACTCCATGAACCGAGTGGTTTTCGAAATGTGGATGTTGCCGTAAGGCTTGGGCTGGTCGACATCGATGAAGTCGAGTGTTTTGAGCTGCAGCATTTCGAAAAACAGCGCGGCTGCTGTTCGTCGACTTCGCGTTGTTTTCGCCAGGGCTTTGTACGACACCGTCTCCTAGCCATTCATCGTCATTGTCAACATGGCTCGGCACGAACCACCATAAATTCAGCTCCTCACCTTGTCTTCGAGAGCCTGCCGCAGTACGCGGAGCACTTTGACCGTGTGGGGATGCCATTTGTGGTCCACTGCCGTCGTTGTTGCAGCCGCCGACTCTTCCAATGTGCCCAGATTCGCCTGGATATCGTTGACGGGTGCCAGAGTCAAGTCCAAATCAAGCCCCAGATGGACGGCGTCTTCGTCCACTTCTCTTTCCTCTTCTTTTTGCTCATCGTCGTCGCGCATCTCGATGCCATGATCCAGCGCTTCCAGCTCCTGTCCACCTCCAAATTCAAATTCGTCCGCGTTGTTCTGGTCGACTTTTTCCGCTGCGTGCGGGACCAGGTCGTCTTCGTCCTGTTCGGCATACGATCCAGCTCCCATGTGACTCTGGCGCCGCATGCGTTCCACGGGCGCGTCGTCGCCATCCTGGCGCTTCTCTGCAGCGGCCTGCAACGATGCTGGCAACTTGTGCTGGTTCATCGTGACCTTGAACATGTCGAGCAAAGCTGATGACAACGACACTGTCGATGGCGCACTCAGCCGCGTCCATGGCGAGCTGTCGGCCACTTTTTGCCGCTTCTGCGACACATGTCCGCGCACGCGCACGATATCGGACACGTCTTTTAAGCCCTAGACGACCAGCAATGAACAACATGTTCGCCGCTTTCAAAAGACCGCACGCACCTTTTTGATGAACGCAGACGAGAGCTCGGTCATGGAATCCCGGCCAATCTTGCGCTTGCGCAGCTTCTTCTGCGACGGCGCTTGCGGCTCCAGGCTATTTCCGTCCTCGTCGATCGCGAAATCGATCGACAGGTTCTGCGAAGATGCTTCCTCGGGTCGTGGCGGCGTAGGCGGCATCTCCATGCCATGGTCAGCGTTCGAGTCGTCAGGGTTCATTCCCATCTCTATGTCTGGCACGTCCGCGTTCATGTCGAGGTCGTCCTTGTCCGTCTGGAACATGTCAACGTCGTCATCAGGTTGAGGCTTGTTCACGTCCGTGTTTGAGTTGTCCAAGAGCATGCTTGTGTCTTGGGCAACGACGAGCCCACTGGGGTCACCGTCACGCGCGCGTTCGATGTCGCTTATCGTACTCGAGTCCAACTAGACGTATCGACGACATGAGAGAAACGGGGTACGAAGTGGCATGACCTACTTCCTGGTTGCTGTCAATGTCAAAGGCCTGCCAATCGCCACCGCCAAACGAATCTTCAAACGAGTCTGCGCACGAGACGATGAGCGTTCAAGAACGACGGAGCGTCGAGGACAATGCAAGCCTACCTGTTCCACCGAACGAGTCATCTTGCGTCCGGTCGGTAATGTCGGCCAACGTGATGTCCTGCCGCCGCGCTTGCGTTTGAGACGGGGTCGTCATCCACTCCGTCAAGGAAGGGGCGACCAATGCACTGCACGTATGTGAGACTCACGGGATGTTTGGGGGACGAGAGTTCGTGCGATGGAACGTACTGGATGTCGTAGGGAATGTGCGCGTCGAACTCACCGAACGATGACACGTTGATGGAGCTCGGGTTCGCAGTCACTTGCTGTTCCGGCAAATCGACGACACCAGGTCGAAATGCCATTTTGATCTTGACGAGAGCTTCACTGCAGTCGGAAAAGAGGTAGTTCACCTTGCGGCTGTAGATGCGCGTGACCCCAAGCAAGAGGTGACCAGACACACGCAGCGCGAGTGGCACCACTGGGTTTGCAATGGAGTCGGCGGCTTGCCCCACATCAGCTGCTGTGATGGTGGCCTTGGTCAACTTCTTATCCCAATGTGCAGCTAGCCATACTTGACCGAGTGGACCCTTCTTCGCGAGGATGAGCTGCGAGTAGAACATGGCGGCGGCGGACTCGAGTTCCCGCCCTCGTCACTGAAAATGGTGGAGGGAATGTATATAAATATGGCAATTTATTCTTGAACACATACAAATGCCAAGAGATCTCCAACACGAATTTGAAATTCGTTGCACATTTGTATAGGGTTTTGTATACCTCATCCCTTCGCGCGCCATACACTATTTTATTTTTTACAGTTAACATTTATCATGAATGTTGGTCTTTCAATAGAATTCACCTCTACGATTGGCTATAAATGCAAACTCGTTCCGATATTATAGCAAATCAAATGCCGACACAGCAATGAAAGTGATTCATTTATATGCGATGCTCATTTACTTTTTTCGACAGAGGTCGCATTGGTGATCGCCGGTGTTTCGTGGTGCGGCAGCGGCGGTAGACGAGATGGACGAGGAAGAGTTGGCGCATTATGCTGAAGTGTTGCTCTCGATGAAGGAATATGAAAGCTACGTGTGGCGGGAGGGCTTTCGCAAGAAGCAGCACCTGAAGCGTCTGAGTGAAAAGCATGCGCGCCGACTCCCAGCGTTCACTGCCAAAGACAGCATTCCTGCAACGCTGGTGGAGCCCCACGTTTTGAACATGTTTCCCAAGCAGGTTGCTCTAGAGATGTGCAAAAAAGAACCAAGAGTTTTGGGACCAAGTGTGCGCGATGCAATCGAACTTTGGGCCCGAGGTGGATCTCCCGACCCACGTCAACTTGAAGGAGCCGATGAAGACACCATATCGCCATTACTCCAAGCTCAAGAGCACATTCCATCAACTCGTGCGGGACTGGGCCGTTGAGGTACCCAACTTCCATCCTCTCAACCACCATACGAGACATCGTGTAGGGCGCGGAAGAGCGCGAGCGATGCTACAAACCAATTCTAGACGAACTCAAGCGTGTGTTGCCTGTGAGCGAAGACAACAGGTGGATAGAGCTACCCCGATTCTTCGTACATGCTTGACAAGTGGTCTTGTTAGGAACTTGCAAAAGGTGCTTGTCCCCGGCGCAGGGCTGGGGCGATTGGCGCTGGAGATTGTGTCGGCAGGGTATGCCGCCCAGGGCAACGAGTTTTCGTACCAAATGCTCTTCACGAGCAACTTTATCCTCAACTGGTACATGGTTGCTGCGCAACGTTGTTTTCCATTCGATTCGTTGTTTACTTCATGCACAGCGCCCGGCAGCCCGACGCGTACACCGTGCATCCTTGGATCGACAACCCATCCAACGTGATGACATTTGACGACTTTGCTCGGCCCGTGACTATCCCCGATGTCGCCCCCGACTCCCTGCTCGCCTTGACTGCGACGCCATCGGGTACGTTCACGCGAAAACGTTTTGTAGCAAGAATGGATGGTCCCAACACCGATCTCGCTTTTGGATTCGCATGACACGTTGCCGTTCGCATGACTGTACATATGGGCTCCGTAGGCGCGGAACCCAACTTTTCCATGTGCGCTGGCGAATTCCTCGAAGTGTATTCGCAAGAGCGAGGTACAGAATCCTCCTGTGGTGTGCCGTCCCGCCGCCGAATGTCAACTGCTTTCCAAGTTCTTGGCTCGTTGAGTCCTGTGCACAACTTAACGCGCTTTGTTGCCAGACGCGTGGGACTGCATAGTTACGTGCTTCTTCATCGACGCCGCCCCCAACGTGATCGAGTTCATTGAAGCGTTCGAGCGCTTGTTAAAACCAGGTACTGGCTCGAGTTGTGGATGCGCCATGCGTTTTGCCCGCCGGGATGCCGATGGTGTTTTATGGATGTGGCAGGCGGAGTCTGGATCAACTTGGGACCGTTGCTGTACCATTGGCAAAACGGAAGCGGCGCTGAGGACGACCGGTACGACCAGTCGATCGAGCTCACATATGAAGAGATCAAGCACGTGGCCGAGGGCTACAACTTAAACTTTACGGTGACGTACCATGCAGCTGAGGGGCATGGCGTAACCCGCTGTTCGTGTAGAAGGAAGAGCGAAAGGAGTGCCTGTACACGTGCAATCCGACGTCCATGTTGCGGTCCGTGTACAACTGCATCATGTTCACCGCGATCAAAGGCACGCCGTTGGAGTCGTACCCTGCGTCTGCAACGAAACCTGCGCCAGGAATCGAGACAACGAAGGATCAGTCAACGAGACGGAGCTAGGCGGACGGGTCAGTCCACGAATAAAATTAGGCGTTACGGGTGATGCAAAACGAATTGGCAAACGGGTTCCATCCATGTGGGACGTCATCGTGCTTGCGAGCGGTTGTCGTGTGAAGAAAAAAGCGCGATCCCAACGACGGAATCGATCGTCGGACCGGGGGGTCGACGGGGAGCAATTGTTTGCAACATGGCAGTGTTGTCGCCACGTGTTCGACCATGTCGGCATCGATCATTGCATTGAAGTCAAGGATCGTTTTTTCGAACGACGAATAGACCACGGTGACCGCAGTTGCGTCATCCAACGACTTCTGGCTCGTGCCACCGAGTTGACGAGCCGCGTGGAGCTTGCGCAAGGACGGTTGCAGGAGCGTTTGGGATGGCGTCAAAAGTACCGCTGGCGACTTGCGCTCCATTTCCGCCGCTCCTCCGTTTTCTTCGCCGCGTACAGCACGTCCGGCCATCGGTCGTCGGCGGTCTTTCCAACTTTTCAAATTCAAAACTGCCCGAGAAGATCGGAATCTTGGGCTTCGTGCTGTGATTGGCTACTTGAAGTGGCCTCCCATTGGCTAAAATCCATGTGTCAACTTCAACTCAACCTGAGTTCGATGCAATTGTGTGACGACGAAATATGGCGGCTGTGTGAATGGGGGGGGGGGTTGTGCTGATGGCAATAGAGCCACTGTGGGTATATGCGCACTGCGCACGCGCGCCTGCGATCTGCAGCTTCGTGCTGAGGACTCGACGAACCATGCCACGATGCAGTGCGTTTCTCGTATGACTGGGAACGAATGCATGGCATACAGTTATCCGTCGGGTGTCCGGATATTGTCCGAAGATCGGGAAAATCGGACGCGATGCTGCTGGAGAACCTTCTCGCGCGAGTGCGGCACGCTGGGTCGTCCAAGCATGTGAATGTGGTAGCGTACTCTGGCGGAGTGGACTCATCCTTGGTGGCCGCGCTCGTGCACCGTGTCTTTCCTGAAAACAGCATTGCATGTCTTGGGGTGTCCGCAGCTTTGTCCCAGGACCAGCTCACACTGGCACGAGACGTGGCAACGGCCATTGGCATTCCGCTATGGGAGACACGTACAAGCGAAGGAGAGGATCCCCGCTACGTCGAGAACAAAGGCCAAAGGTGTGTTTGCGCTTGACTATGGTTGGAGAGCGCCTTCCTTACAGCTGCGCAGTTGCTACTATTGCAAGACGAATCTGTATACAACATTGAGCCAAGTTGCCGAACGCGTGAAAGCCCAAAGGTGTCCAAACTTTCTGTATTGCGAATCGGCACACTGAGTTGTTCGTGCAGCCCAGGCGTGGCCCCAGTATTGTTCAACGGGACAAACGCCGATGACAAATTTGATCCCACGCGACTTGGTGCGTTGTTATTTTTTCATACGGCAGGACTGACACCTTCGTTGCTCAAGGTCTCGTAGCTGCCACAGAGTTTCAAGTCGTTAGTCCGCTGGAGAATCTCACCAAGGCGAGCGTGCGGCAGGTCGTCCTCCAACTGCCTCCTCCAACAACCTGACCGAATGACGGTGTTGTCTTAGATTTCGAAACAGATCGGCCTTCCCAATTGGAACTACGCCGCTTCACCGTGTTTGCGTTCGCGACTGGCATTTGGCGTCGCAGCAAACCCCGTACGAACGAAAGCACGACATCCCTTCTTTGGGTATCCAACACTAGGACCACCTCGCGCGGATTGAAAAAGCCGAACACGCCGTTCGCTCGACGGTCGCCCTCACCCCCGTGGACAACTTGCGTGTTCGGTTCTTAGCCCACAACCGCGCGGCCGTCGGTGCGTTTAACCTGTGAAACATACATCAACGCACTCCTGACCGCCTTGAAGAACTGGACGCGGCGACAGTTCGAGCACTGCTGCCACGTCAAGTTGATGCCATTCAAGTGATTTGCAAGGAGCTGGGTACTTTTTCAGACCGCTGCATGCTTCATTCCTCTGAAGTGCCGCGTAGGGTTTGATGATGCTATCGTGCGTCCGTTCAAGAGCGGCAGTTTGTCTGGATTCAGCGCCGCGCCGTAGGTTGTCGCTGTCGGCGCGTCCAGCACTTCTTGACTGCACATACATGGAATTCAATTTTACATGCAATGCGGACGGTCCGAAACAGCACGGATGATGCAAGAATAGATAGCGACCAACGATGCGTAGCACATCGAGCCCACCGAATGGGAATAGCATGCGCGCTTGGACGCAGCGGCGGTGGAAGCGCTTTGGCTTTGCATGGCACCGTCCTGTGGCGCCAAACCGACTTGGTGACGAGGCGCGAATTGAGGCACAAAAATTCCGATCGATCGCGTTGCGCGTATCCGGAGACAATATCCGGAATCCGCTGGTTTTGGTGGAGGCAGGATTGAAGTGCGACCCTGTGTGCGGAAGGCAGCGAGATGAGTGACTTGCCCGAGTACGACACGGTGGGCTGGGGAATCCTCACGGGCAGCCCGTGGTGGCCTATGTATGTGTGTGACCCACAGAAACTTCGACCGAAACTGCACACATTGGGTACGCAATTGAACTGAATCCAGCAAGATCGAGAGACGAACGGCGGTGCTGAATGCTTGACGTAGGTGGCGCGCACAGCTCGATCTTGAGAAAAGCGAAATGCTTCCCAGACAACTATCGGATCGTGTACTGGTTTGGAAGTGCAACATTGTACTCACCCCGTCACGTCTTGCCATTGACTCACGTGGTTGGATAGTTCGTTGATGAGGAAGGGTACAACGAGGCTGTGGAATTCAGAAGAGCACGATAAATTCGTCAAAGGATTCCCCCAAGCTCCATTTGTTGGTACCAAGAAGTCACCAGGAAGCATTTCGATGGACGATCTCAAAGTGGCCATCGAGGAAGCAGAGGTAGCCGACTCTGTCATCTCGAACGGACAGAACGCCATGTCATTTCCGCTACGTCGTGTAGGATTTTCTCGCACAAGACGAGAGCATGCGACTCCTTAAGCACATGGTTCCGTCCGACATGAACCCGTCGATGGACCCGCCACCGCCAGAGGACGACGAAGATGACGACGAGGACGAAGATCGCGATGAAGAAGTCGAAAAAGATGACGAAGTTGACAACGACAGCGACGACGACGACGAAAAGCCGATCAAACCGAAGAAAAAGGACAAAAAAGAAGCGAAAAAATCCAAGAAAAAGTCGTCGTCGTCCAAGCGGAAATCCAACCCCGACGACGACAGCAAGCCAAAAAAGCGCAAGAAATCGTCGAAAAAGGACGTGGACGCCGCTGCCCGAGACGACGATGCCACGCCCATCAAGAAGAAACCATCGGCGTCCGAGGTTGCGGCTGAAGAACCGGACAAACCCGATGACAACGTGCTCAAAGTTCGTATCGAGGACGAAATCCGAAACGTGCTGAGCACAGGCGACCTCGAGCAGCTCACGACGCGCAAACTGAGACAGCACTTGGCGGACACACTCAAGATGGACCTCCGGGACCATAAAAACACCATCAAAGAAGTCGTGAACCGCATTATCGCGGGAATGGACTCGGTGCCTGAAGCACCCCCGCCAGTTGCAGTACCGGAATCTGTCGAGCCAATTGTGCTTTTGGAGAGAATCCACGGCGCTACAGGCGAGGACGTGAAAGAACCCCTCGAGTTGCTGCTGCCTGTACGTGTCTCGACTGTGCGTTGCAATGAAACGCAAATTTTGCCGTGCGTAGATCGCCTCCAAACTGAACGATACCCAAATTGCAGCAATTTCTGCACGCGTTGTCGAGTGGACTCGTCATGAGTACGTAGGCCAGCAAGTTGAAATCCCACCGCCGTCACTAATGTGGCAATGATTGTAGCGATGCGCGACTGGCTGAGATGGCCAAGTCGCTTGCCGCCACGTGGAAATTGGAGCCACCGGCGCCTTCATTGACTGCAGACAAAATCTTGGCGTTGAAAGCTACGCTCGAAGCGGACGGATCGCCTAACGATGTCATGCTGGAGGCGATCGCCCAGCTTGCACAGGTGACGCTATCCCTCCATGAACTTGAACTTACACAAGATGTAGGCACATACGGCGTTTGACGTGCTCAGGAAGACCAAGATTATCGCGACGGTGGCTCAACTCCGTCACCATGTGTACGTCGGCATTTTTCCTTTCCATGTGAAATTGCAACGGAAAATGTAGCAACGACAAGGTGTCGACGGCAGCCAAAGAATTGCGCAACAAGTGGAAAAAGGATTTTGTCGAAACCCCAGCGCCCCCGACGACAATCGAGTTGGGGCTGCTGTCCAAGTTGGAAACGATGCGGCGAGAGCTCGAAAAGGACTCGTCGGCGGACGAAGCGCTCCAAACGGCGCAACTTGCAAGTCTCAACGAGCTGGCGCAAATGAACTTGTCCACACAGGACATCGTGGCATCTCAGATCGGTCTCGTTGTGTCCAAATTGCGAAAGGCCAAGTACGAATGCTGCTCGTGCATCGTGGTATCTCACTGATGTGGAATTTGGTAGAAATACCACGCTGGCCAAGACAGCTCATGACCTGAAGCACAAGTGGAAAGAAATGGCCAAGGAATAGTCGGCGACATGGCAGAATCGTTGGTTGACATGAGTGTGTATTGATCAGAAGCACTTGGAATGAACGATGGCAGGTCCCCGGGCGTCGTAGTCGTCGCGGCTGATCCAGACGCCGTCGCGAAGACCCTTGACGTACATGCTCGCACCGACAAACGGCGCGTACTGGGTCTTTCGAACCACGTCGACATGGACGGCTTGATGGCCTATGGCCTTTTGGATTTCGTGGCTGAGTCGATCTTTGAAGCCAGGGAGGGCACACACGCTGCCGCAGCACACCACTTGGGCGATCAAGTCGCTCTGGAGGAACTCATCGCACAGCGAGATGGACTTCAAAATGGCAGCGTGGAGAGGGGTGTCGCATGTGCAGTCTGGTCACGAGGCAGATCAAACCTGGACGGTGCAACGAATTCAGACGAACCTGGGTCGAGTGATGGAGTCCACAGCAGTTCCGGGCAGATAAACCGCTCAATGTCGTACGCCATACTGAGGACGTTTCCGCTCGGTAGTTGTTGCGAATAAGTCGCATGGAGCCTTCGTACAGCGTGAGGGAATGACGTGGCAACGAATCGTACGGGTGCTGTTCGGAAGATGGCGGGGTGTCCTTGACCCACACGAAGGGATGGTCTAGAGTTGGCAGCACATGAACGTCTTTGCGGCGGAATCCGCCGTATTTCTCCGTCATGTCGAAGAAATCCATGGCAACGAGCCCATTCGATGCCTAGTTTGCAACCCGTGACCATCACGACGACACAAGGGCACTTGTCGCACCAATATCGTTCGGGCCATGCGCCGCTGCGACCTCAGTGGGATCTTGTGGAAGTCTTCGCAGTCTTGAGACAGCAGCATTGATACCATGAAATTCACCAGCTGATCTTCGCCAAATTTGACCTTCAACACGGCATGCTCCATCTAGAGGCACCAACCAACGCATGAAATGGTGGCACAGAGACCACCACTAGTTCTTACCACCATGTCTTCGAAGATTGGAACGATATAGGTGGCGTCGGCCCCCACATCGACAATCAACCCCGTCGCTTTCCCCACCGCGCGGAGACTCATCTGGGCGTCCGTCGTTAAGAAGACGCCTTGCAGTTGACCCGATTCGAACAGCGAGTGCACGATCTTTTCACGTTGGCCCTTGTCGATCAGCGGTTTGTGTGTCATAACAAGCTAGCATCAAAACATTCGATTGGCGACTGTCGACGCCAGAAATGTCCGACCTTGAAAGCGTCAGGATGGGATTCGGCACCGACACAAGCCAACGCTTGCTTCAAGATGCCTTCAAAATAAACGAACGACGCGATGGCACCCTTGGAAAATATCCGTTCTTCCTTCATGATGCCACGAAGGGCAGGGTCTGGGTGATCGTACAAGACATTCGTTGCATCTTTGCCGAGGAAATACCCATTCTACAGCACAAACACACTGAATATCGGCATTGCAGACACAACACGTGCATCATAGCCTGCGCGCAGGGATCCAGTCCCAATATACGAAGAGCCTTGGAGCACACGGTGCAGTTCTTCGATTCCGCCACGCGGCACAGCTGCAAGAGCCTGCATTCGTCTCGCATGAATAGACGTCACAGTCGAGTCGAATTCCTCACCGGCAAGATGGATGATGGCGTGATCGATGGATCCGACTTTTCGTCCGCAAGACCCACATAGATTTCCGACGCATCGCCGTGAAGTATGATCACACCGCTTGTTGCCATTGGCATGGTTGCCTCGGCAGCACTCTCACTTGGCTGAACTGTTGAGATGGATGGTTCCGGGACGCTGGAGAGAGCTCGAACTTGCGCTTCCAACTGCAGCATTCGCGATTGGGCTAGCTGGCGTTCATCGTTGAGTTCCTTGAGTTTGAGCTCTAGTAACTTGATCTTGTCGCGACTGGATTCGTCATGACGTCGCAGCTCCTCCATAGCGGCATCGCAACTGGATAGCTTGTCACGCCCAGCAACGTTATCTTGCTTGAGCCGGTCGTTTTCCTCGGACAGTTCAGTGACTCGTTGCTGCGCTTCGATTAATTTGTGGTCTTGCGCGTCAAGTTTCGAGGTTTGGTCCGCCAGAACTTGCTCGAATTCGGTTGATCTCAAGTCTCGGGCTTGTTCCAATTGAAACTGCAACGTCTGAAGCTCCGACTCGAGAGAAGCAATCTTGGCATTGTTGAGAGCTGCCAATGACTGGTGTCCGTTCACCTCGGTGGTGAGCGCTTGCACTTGCCCTTGGGAAGTGCGCAACGATGATTGCGTCTCCTCGAGTTTGCCTTCGATTTCGTCGAGTTTTGTTTTGTATCGTTCGGTGTTTGCATTCGCGCGTGCTTGTTCTTCCACCGCCGAGTCCATGTCCATAGCATGACGATCAGCTTCGCGTCGAAGCGCGTCGTATTTTTCTTTCCAAGCACTGGCTTCCGTCATGAGGTCTTGGGACTTTACGAGAGAAATCTTGACGCTTTCCAATTCTGAATGCGCTTCGCCAAGTCGAAGGTCACAGTCTGCGACAACTTTGGTCAACTTTGAGTCAAGTGTGGACAATTCTTGGCGAAGCGACGCAATGGTCGCATCGGACGAACGCTTGGCTAGAAGGAGCGCGTTTCGGTCGCTGGTAATCTCATCCAATCGGGCGACATCAGTGGCATACGTTTCAACGAGCGCCGTTTGTTGGGCAAGTGCTTTTTCCACGTTTTCGACCATGGCTGCTTGCTGCTTCATAATATCCAGCTGTTGTCGCAAACCAACGACTTCATCTTCGAGCGACGTTATCGCAGTGGCCTTGGCGATCGTCGTGTTGTGCAATTCCAGCGTCACACGTTCGCGCTCTTCCTTCTCAACGTCAGCGACTCCTTTCAAGGCTGCAATTTTTTCTTCCAACTGCCCGTTGCGAATCACATGCTCCTTGTTCGTTTCACCGACAGCGACGAGGTCCCGTTCGAGTTTGTCCACTTGAGCTTCGCAAGACTCGACGCAGCTGAGGGTGCGCGCAAGCTCCGATCGAAGGTCTGCCGTCGAGTTCCTTTCTACGCTCAACTCTGTGTTCAACTGTGCAAGAGTTGCTTCGGCATCGTGAAGTCGATGTGTTGATTCTTCCAAACGATGCACCTCGCTCTCCAGTGCAGCGACGCGTTTCGATGTCTCGTCGCCGATTCCTCGCTGCACCAAAAGATCTGCTGTGGCCTCCGCGAGCTTGTCTTTTACCTCGGACAGCTCGACTTCATACGACTCGATCATCGACTTGTACGTAGTAATTTCGGCATTCAGTTTGGTGCATTCATTTGCAAAATCAATGTCGCACAGTCCCGTTGCTGCCTGGGCTGCGTCGACACGTCGGTTGTATTCTTGAATGGTGAAATCCGCTTGAGTTTGCTTAGCAGCGCCATTCACTGCCTGGGATTCCAAAGCGATCTTTGCTTGCTCGAGTTGTTTGATATCATCTTCAAGTTGAGATCGTTCAGTAGCAAACGATTGCGCAGCTTCGTCGCGCTCGACAGTAACCACAGCTAGCTGCTTCTCTGCTGTAGACACTTGATTCTTCAGTAATGACGCCACAGCTTGTTGCGATGCCAGCTGGTCCTTCATATCGACGATTTGCCTGACCAGAGACTGCTCTTGCTCTTGAAACACGATGTGTGCTTCCGTGAGCTCGTTGATTTCCGCCGTTTGGGTCAGAACCATAGTTTCGAGAGACTGGCATTTGACCACCAAACGCTCCTTGTCGCTTGTAAGTGCATTGATTTGGTCGCGTAAAGAGGTGATGTCGACTTCTGCCGGCTTTGCGGCGTTCGCTTGGGTCAATTGACTCAATACATCGTCGTTCTGCTTTTTCAAATGTCGAACCTCTTGTTGCAGACCATCTGACGTGTCCCGCAACGATTTCTCCTGGCTGACGAGCTTTTCTCGTTCGGATCGCCACTCAAACTCGCTCGATTCGAACGCTTTCACTTGGATTTGCAGCTCGCCGCAAATGCGATTCAAGTTCTCGAGCTGCTTTGCACTCTCGATCTTTTCCGATTCCAATGTCGAGACTTGGAGCTTGAGTGCTATAACGTTCTCGTCGCACGGTGCAGGTGGTGGCGTAGTAGTTGCACTCAACGTGGCTTTTCTGAAGTCGCTGAGTTGCATCTTGCTCTCAATCAGTTCTTGCGAAAGCGTGTCGAGTTGCCGCTTCAGCGTCAACGTCGACTCTGCGTACGCCTCGGACTTTTGCTTGTATTGCATGCATGCCGTTGTCATTTTTTCCATGTTTTGTTCGGCAACTCGTAGCGTGGATAGGACTTGACTGCACTCGACCTCCTTCTCGTGCACTTGCAAAGAAAGGCGGTGAATGTCTTCGCGCAATGACGGTACGATGCCATCGACAGTACTTGAAATAGAGTCCGTGCCTCTTTGATTCGCACTTGCCGAAATGGGGGAAGTCGAACTGCGCTTGGACAGGTTGGCGCCAGCCCCGTCTCGAGTCACGGGCGACGGATCTGCAAACGGAATGATGGGCGACGATGCCTTTTCTTCTTCGGGGATCGCCTGACATGCATCGGGAAAGGCTTCCAGTGAAGCATTGTCTTGGTTTTCGGAAGGTAACGATGCAATCCTCCGCTGGATTCCTTGGTCGACTCTTGGAGCACCGCTGCGACGAACCGCCCTTACTGTCGTCTGCTGCTTGGAGAGGGAACTTTGTAACCTGGATGTTCGTTGCTGCATTGACACCTTGCCAAGAAGAAGTGAGTTGACTGATGATTTCTTGCGTCAAATGCTTACCGTTCGTTTTGTTGAAGTTGCCAAATTCGTGAAATCTCTTCCCATGGGCGTAGGGACCTCCCTTGCTTTGACCACCTTGGACGATTCTCCAGGGTGATGCAAGTCTCCGTCTTTGTATCCGCGACTGACTGTGTGTCGCATGTAGTTTGGGACATTGCGCTGTGATGTCGTTGATGCTGGAAGTGTACGTTGTCTATTCTCGTGCGAATCGGACCTGGGTACCTTGCTTTGCCTTGTTTCCACCGATGATTTGGACTGCAAAACACTTGACGTCGCTCCACCTGCGGACTCAAGTTTCGGGGACTTTGAGGGGGGAGGGATAGCTATCGAGATGGGGACTGCGGGAGGACGCACTCGGTACAACAGATCTTCGGCAGACGACGTGCCAGAGGGGACCGCCCTTCGCACAGGAAAGTCCACGGGTTTGGGCTTGTCATTCTTAGCCTCTCGTTTCGCCTTGCTGCTTGACGTCGACCGAAGATACGACGGCACGGCGGTCGCCATATCCGTGCGGTTTGATGTGGTGTGCAACGGACAATCCAATTCACGAAACGACTAGTACTTTGATCATAGTAACTAGCACATACTAGTACTCTTATTTTCTTCGACAGGGGACAAGTGTGTGAACTATGTTCTTGCGTGCGAAAAGGCGTCCTCAAGCGTCGCCGTGCTATGAAGGTAAGGGCTTCGAACCTTCGTAGTAGTCGCCAATTTCAATTTTGATCGCAAACGCGCTCGCATGATGTCGATCCAAGATGCGTTGGGCTGTACCAAGCAACGCTTGGACGAAGGAATATCAGTCGTGAATTATTGTCGCCGTGAAACCACTTGTACGTGAATGGGTCGTTAAAATTTTACAGTGTAATGGTACGATTTTATGCAGAATTATATGGGACAAATTCAGCGATTCATATGGTTTTTTATATCGACAAACAAAAAAAGAAAAGATGGTTAGTACGATTGATGGCATACTAATAGTAGCCGCGACGGGCGGTAAAATCGCCCATGAAGCGTTTCGGTGGCGCGGGTCGAGGAAAATTTGAAAAATTCCAAATTTCCTCGCGACCAAGCAAGGGACAGACTCGGAAGCGTACGGTGGGCCGTGACGAGAGAAGGGACGACCTCCACGACCATCGTCACCGATAGACATGGAGTCCGACCCACACATGGACTTGCAGTTGATTCGCGAAGGCGAAATGGAACGCGAGCGGCTGCAGAAGGAAGGGTTTAACATGAAACTACGCATCAACTTCCTGGAAGAGCAGTTGCTGAAGTACAAAGAAGGTAGTGTCCACAAGGACGTCCATCTATACACGAAGGCGTGTGGTAAGCTGCTGTCTAGGGACGGCGTTCGAAGACGAAGATTTCGAATCCGAGAATATCCACTTGCGCACAGTGATCGAAGAGAAAGTCCAAGAGCTCGAACGACGAAATGCACTACTTGTGCGTGCACGTGATGCCATTGAAGATCTCCGTTCCGACCTCGAGGCAGCCAAAGAGAGCAATCGACTGAATGCGTCGATGAACCAGAGCCAACTCGAAGAATCGGTGCTGGAAACCCAACGTTTGGAGCAAGAAGTTTCCCGCCTTGAGGACGATGTCGCGCGACTCCGCATGCAGCTGAGTGAAGCGAATCGGAAATATGAAGATCTCCTTCGCGCACACGACGAATTGACACTGGAACTGAATGAACGAAGTCAGGCATACCAGCAAGTCGACGCCGTGCAGCAAACCGCGCACTGGGAAAAACAGAAAATGAAGACAGATCTGCAAGTCGAATTTGAAGCCCGATTGAACGACGAAAGGGACAAATTTCAAGAGGAGCTCGCACATCGCACCCGCTTACAAGAAGCGACGCTCAAGGAGAAAGACGCCGCTGTCATTAACTTGACGAGATCTGTCGGAGACCTCCATGCGACCGTACAAGCGTTGACGTCACAAAAGAAGGAGGCAGAACTGATGGCCGAAATCTGCACAAAACAGTACGACGCGTTGAAAGAACAAAACGACAAAACGCAGCAACAACTGATCGAGGCAACCAAGGATGCTGGCGAAGCCATATCGCTTCGCAACAAGTGTGAATGGACTGAAGCGCAGCTGAAGTTGATGCAAGATCGATGTCGGGACTTGGAAGGTAATTTGGACAAGGCCAAGGGTATCGAGAGCTCCCTCCGTCAAGATCTTACACGTGCTGTTGCTCTCAATGGCAAAGTGGACCAAACTTTGGCATTGCAAACAGACTCAACGTTGCGAGAAATCACGTCCAAGCTCGAGATTACGATAATGACCAACGAGTCACTTCGAGGCGAATTGAGCGAGGCGAATTCACACATCACACAGCTCGAGAAGAACATGGCGATGGGTGAAATGGCTCTGTCCGACATGAAGCGAAAGTGTTTGAGTTTGGAAACGCAATTGCGACAGAGTGCCGTGACCGCAGATAAAGTCAGCTCGACGGAAGATCGCGTGCAACGGGTGCGTCTAGCTTCGGGAATATTACACTTGTTGACGTGTTGCGGTAGTTGGAGAGCGAGATTGCCCAGCTACATAGCAACGAGCAAGAGTTGAAGAGCTCGCTTGCCGTGGTGCAGGCGGAGAAGGTTCAGATCGAATCGATGCTCGTCGATTCGGACAGGAAGCTCGCGATTTTGAGAGCCGCACACGAAAACTTATTGAGAACCCAAGGCGAAACAAATGAGAGATGGAAGCAAGAGCAACAAACGCTAAAAAACACGGTTCGTGACCATCCTCGTTGCCATCCCAAATCTCAGTGGTTAATTTTTAGATTGACACATTGGAGAAAGAACGGAAGGACCTGCGTGGACAAGAAAATGCTACATTGAGTTCTCTTTCTCAGCAGCTGAAAGATATGAGCGACATGAAAGGGTAATGACGACCTTTAACCAACCAACATTATCCTTATACGGCTATAGAACATTCGAAGCAAACGTCCAACAAGCAGAGCTCCACTGGAACGAACAATCGATTAAGTTCCATCAAAGCTTGGATAAATTGCAACAACGCCTGTTGCAAGCGCACGAAACCATCAAGACCTTGTCTAAAGTGAGTGTTGTGTCCTTAATAGTCAAGACAATCGCATGTGAACTCATGTAAGTTTGCTGCAGACGCAAGGAGACACCCAACAACAACTTGCTAAGTCTCTTCGATCCGAGCTGGAGCAAGCCCGACTGGATTGGGAACGCGAATTGGCCCAACTTCAAAATAAAGTTCGTGACGAAGGCCGAAAAGCAGAATTGGTGCAGTTACAACACACCCGTGCGCTGAGTAAACTTGCTCAAGTCGAGTCCGAGTACCAGCGAACGTTGACAGACTTAATCAAGTCGAAGGTACGATCTTGAATTTTTCCTCAATTACAAACATTGATGGCACACAGGAAGGATACGATTCGCTTAAGGGCGAGTGTGACCGACGAGGCGAACACATTCGTTTGCTTCGTGAAGAAGTCCAGCAGGCACGACAACTGAGAGCATCTTTAGAATCGGATCTCCGTGCCGCCATGACAGAGCAGAAACCGTTGCTGGCAAAGATCCACCAACTACAAGGCAAAATCAACGATCTCGAGAGCCAAGCAGCAAATGATTTGAAACAATCAAAGTATCGGACTCCAGACACGCGACTATTTGGGGATACCAACGCCGTGCCAGATTTCAGTTTGGTCGATCGATTAGACAGCATTGTGAAAAAGTCGACGGAGCTGCAAGAACATACGCGTCGATTTCAAGAAAAACACAGTGCAGTTTGGAACGATGCCGTTTCTGGAACGAAACCAATGCCAAAGGCAATGGAGCTCGAATGCAAGCGTCTGCTTTATGCAAATGGCATCTTGTGTCAAAAGTTGGCCCAGGTGCGTGTGCCTCATTCACGTCGTCCCATCTTCGTCACTGACAGGCGATCTGTAGGTTGCGGCGGATTGGAAGCAATCGAAAGTGGCGCCTCCCAACGTGACTCACTCTGACCTGAAGCAGCAACACCAGAACAACCACATCCAGCAGCAACAGTACCAACCACAATCACTATTGAACCGAAGTGAGTTGGACGCACTCGTACAAACGCTCCACGAATCCAAACAAGTCGTCTCACACTCAACTTTGGAGTCGCCTCACGGTCGACCTCACAAATACGTCCCAGCCACCACACGCCTGGTCGACGCGTACCAGTCGTCGAACCGAGTGCTCGAGCGACTCAACCAGGAACTAGTCAAAGTCCACAGCACCATTGCCGACTACTCTAACGCCACCATATCCAGCTAGAAGTTGGTGCAACTTGCTGTAACATATTATCGAGTGCCATGCGCCTCCCGACGAATTGTCTGCACAGCACCGCCATCAGGATGTCCATGACGTCCTTGCTGTAGTCTTCCGTTAGTACATTGCGCATTAGTCCAACGTTGTGCACAGGAATAGTTAGTACCCGTGCGAATTTCGACAAATCCTGACCGAGCGGTTCCGTGATCAAATTAAAATTCACACGTTCAAGTTTCGCTTGTGGTGGTAATCTTGGGCTGATGGCGGTTGGCATCATTTAACCGCAGGTCGAAACCAAGTCAAGTGGACACCGCGAGGCATGCACACTGTCGTGTCGCATGTCGCGAAGGACATGCGACACGACAGTGTGCATGCCTCGCGGTGTCCACTTGACTTGGTTTCGACCTGCGGTCCAACGTGTGGGCGGTCACCAAGCATGGCTTATGTTATGACGATGTGTTATTAATAATTCATGATTCAAATTATTTGATTGGTAGTACTACTAGCAGTGGTCTTTGTTGGTTGAAGTACTATCTATGGGGGGGCTACTAATAGTAGCTACGACGGTCTTTTGGTCTGTGCTTGACGTGCTGCCGTAACGTGGTCGACCGCATTCCCATTGCTCTGCGTCATGAGGGTCTCATCGAATGGGGTGATGCCTGTGATCTTTGCGTGTATTTGTGGTGTGGTGGTGGCCTTCTCGTTAAAGCGAAAGAGGGTTCGCAAGTTGAACTGGAAGAGCCGCATCAGCGTCAAGAAGATATCGCCAACGTAAGCAGTGTCCTCTTGATGCTGTCGTGTGGACTCATCGTTTTGGCAGATCGGACTTAGGTCAGGCCTTTGGGATTGATATTGGTACGTTCCGCATCCTGCCTTTGTGATAGTCGAGATGGATGTCAGAAGGTCGACATAGGTGGAACGCTGTCCAAGATTGTGTACTTTGAACAAACGCAGCCGAACGCTCGCCGCCCCCGCGCAATGTCCCATGTCGTCGCAGCAGACGAGATGGCTCGCTTTGTCAAGGAGCGCGATTTCTACGGCAGCACGGGTGTGCGCGACACCCGCCTGAGCGTCACGTCGGACAGTTTGGGAGGCACGTTGCACTTCATCCACTTTGAAACGAGAAAGATGGAAGGTGCGATCGCAACAGTGTCTGGTCACGGGTTGAACCAGTCGTTGCGAGTGCTTTCTTGCACGGGAGGGGGCGCCCACAAGGTCCGCACGTCGATGGTCATGCCGTCGTATATCCTCATGCGTGGCGGCACGCTGTGCGTAGTACGCGGATCTGTTTCAGTCTTTGGCGGGTATTCAAATCAAAAAGGAGGACGAAATCAAATGCATGGTCAAGGGCCTCAACTTTCTCCTCAACTTGTTTCCGTACGAAGTCTACACGTTTGTGGTACTCGTCCATGATCAAGTCGACCAAGTTTACGCACGTGTCCATGCTATGTCGTGCCCTAGAACGTGGATTTCAGATCGTTGTCGGCGACCCGTGTGAGTTTGGTGCGTGAAAACAAGGCCGAAGATATTTTCCCCTACATCGTACGTGTGTCGGCATTTTGTTTGTTTTGCTTGGAAGAATCTCATGCCAACACTTGTGGTGCAGTTGGTCAGCATCGGATCTGGCGTGAGCGTCCTTCACGTGACCGGCCCACATACCTTCACTCGCGTGAGCGGAAGCAGCATCGGCGGAGGTACGACGCGCCCCTCGAGTTGTGATTGACGTTTCTACGATTAGGCACGTATTGGGGCCTCTGCCGCTTGCTATTTGAATGCCAAACGTACGACGAAGCATTGGATTTGTGTGTGAACGGTCGCAATGCGTCAGTGGACATGAGTGTCGGCGACATCTACGGAGGTGCCTACGAAAAATTCAATTTGCCAGCGACCACGGTGGCCAGTAGTTTTGGTACGTGCATGTTGTCTTCGCCAGCCTCCCACGTGTGTAAATACTATCCCATTGTTTTTACTGGAAATCGCGCATTCGCATCAAGGAGTCGAGTCGTCGCAGAACGTGCGCGGTTCATATTCAACGTGTGCACGATATCTCGGAATCCCTTCATGGCTGCTTCTTGTGGATATATGGATTTTTACGCATGGGGACTTTGATTGCATGTTTTGTAACAATTTCTTTGTAGGCAAAATGATTTCCGTGGGTCGGTCCGAAGTATCGGATGCGGACATTGCCCGAGCGTTGCTGATCATGACGACGCAAAACATTGGCCTGATCGCATACCTGAACGCGTGCATCTACAACACGAAGCGCATTTTTTTCGTGGGAAACTTTCTGCGCCACAACAAAATCTCGTGCCGGACCCTGGCGTACGCGATCGACTTTTGGTCCAAGGGCGAGATGAAGGCGCATTTTTGCCGACATGAAGGTTACTTGGGGGCTCTCGGTGCATTTTTGGCCAACACCAACAGCACCCAAATGGGCGAATAGACCTTTTGTTCATCAATGCATCGTCCGTTGATGTACCTTTGCCACCCGCTCGGTTCTCGCACACGTCCTTAAGCAGAGCGTAATATTTACACGCCAAGGACAAAATTTGAATCTAGCATGGCGAGCCATCGAGGCGAAGGTAATAGATATATCCACTACGCACGCTTACCAACAGCCAGACTAGCTTCTCGCCCGATGACTCCCTGCAACGCGTTCGAAACGACTTGTTTTGTAGGGTAGATGAAGCAATGTCCCCACGAAACAGTTTCGACTGAATAATGCTTGCGAACACTTGGTATCACGATCAACGCAACGATATATGCGCTCTTTGCGTGAATTGTCTTTGCGATTCGACTCGTCTATGCCGAACTGCATTGAGTTAACGCATTTCGCAGCGGAGGTGGCGTGTTGTTCAACGGTCGCGACTTGACGTGCCGCATGGGTTTTGCAGGGTGCGCGACGTTCTACATCGCATGCAAGGCAATTGCCGTTGTGAGCAGCGACGGCGTCCATCGCACCACGCGGTGCACGGCCGATCGGTTCATTCATCGATCCTTATCTCCACTCAGTCGCGTTCCTACGCGACGCTTTCTTGTGCAACTTCTCCGCTTCCAGCACGGACGCTTCGTTGATGAGCCACTCAAAGCCGTTGGTCGCGCTCAATTCCGGCGGTTGGAACGACCGGCGCTGGTCGACGGCGTCGTTCACGACGGCCAACTCGAGCACGTCGCGGAGCAAACGGCTTTTCATGTTGCGGTCTTCGATGGTCGTCGTCGTGAGCGAAGGCGATGCATTTACCTGGCACAGAGCACGTTTCGACACGTCGAGTGGGTTCAACGAACCTCGACGAGCCACGGTTTGAGGTCGCTGTCGACGATGATATCGTAGCCATAGCACTCGAAGCTGTGGATGTCGTTGATGATGACGTTTTGGACGGCTTTCAACGAGTGCACCATGATATTGTGAATGGCCGACAGCATCTTGTCCGCCGCACCCTAACAATGATTCCACCGAGCCCATGTGTCATCGAAATGTGCAACGACGTGCTGGACCAAGCATCCACCACCACGCGGTCGAGACCACTCTAAACATGCGCACGAAGCAGACGGTCGTACCCGTCCCCGTGTGGCTTCGACGTAGAGGCGGAGGTTGTAGATATTCCATTTGCCACCGTGCTTGTTATTGTAGTCTTCGTTGTGTTTTTGCACCGCGACGTTGGTCAAGTGCATGAATGGATTGTCCATGTCGTCAATGTCGGACGAGTACTTGACGTTGCAGAACCGCGCAAACCCTTCCGAGTACACGAACGCCTGCACAATGTCGCATGCATGCGTCGACACAGTCAAGTCGATGCAGCACACAAAAAGTACGACAAACCAACGGTAGTAGGCGACGTTCAAGCAACGATCGCCAAAAGTCGAAGGCGGCAATCGAGGCACAACAAACCCCACACATGGCTGTCATCCGAGGCGCGGGTACCTGCAGCGGCCGATACGACGTCACAAGGACGTACATGCGCAAGTCGAACTTTTTGCCGCCGATCAGCAGCGGATTCTCGATGTACCGCGACACGACGTAGCCCTCGACTGCTTTGGCGTTGGCCCATTTCTTGGTTTGGGACAACTTGTTGATGATGAAAATGCCCTTTCCTTGCGCTTTCGAGCACGGCTTCATGATCCACATCACGTTCGGGTTTCGGCGGAATTCCTGCCACGATCGCATGAACAAGGGTGATCGTGGAGACGGTCGGTCGTACCTCAACAAAGAGCGAGTAGTCGCCAGGTAGCGTGTACGTAACCGGGATGAAGTCGAGCTTTTCGACGAGCGCCGGGTCTTTCTCTGCTTCCTTCTTGTACCTGCCCATGTGCCGTCGGAACGAACCCGACAAGGGTGTGTGAGAAGCACACGGACCTCTTGATGTTTTTCACCATGAGATCTTTCCGCGTGAGCTCGTAGTGGTTGGGGAAATGGTTGACGTATTGCCCGTCTGTGAGGCGCACGCCGTTCTCGGGGTTGAACATGCTCTTGATGCTCTGCTTGTTCGCCCAGTAGATGTTCCAGTCGTTCCCTTCCGTTTTCTGCCATCCCCGGCGCTCAAAATTCCACACCACGACGTGCTTCTCCGCGTCGACCTTCCACTTGAACTTGCGGCTCATCGTCGTGTGTCGTTTCGCCGACATTTTGACCAGATGCATAGCTCGTTCATATTAGCTGAAATATACCGATCAAAGACAATTGCAACCTCCCCGCCGTCCCGCGTCCAAGCAACGCACGCGCGCGAGTGCATCGCGCCGCCATCACCACGTCCTTCGCTCACCGCGGCGACCCGGCAGGCGGTGAACTGTGCACGCGGTGCGACAGCGTTGCCATGTCTGAATAGCCACTCCCCCATGCGTGGCCGTGGCCCGATCGATGACGGGAGCAAATTCTTCACGACGGTTCTGGACAGGTGACGGGATGGCATGCACGTGGAGGCGGGCGATTGGTATGGTACAAGTCGGAGGCACCGCTTTGTCGAGGCCCCCTGATCGATTCGCACGGCCTGGACAGGTGTGCGCCATGACCAACTCCATCCCACCGCAACGTGCCGCACTGACGCTGCTTGGTGCTTTGAGCAACGACATCAATCACGTGTTGGCTGAAAACACGGCGGTTCCAAACAAAAATGAAACGTGTTCATGCCTGTGGTGCCATGGCCACAGGATGCTCGATTTCGACGAGCTCTACATTTCCAACGGCTCGGCGGGCTGTGGATAGTCTTTGGCGCTGTTCTTTTGGCGGACGCCGGCGCGCTGCTGGCGCAATCGGCGGCGCATGGTCGAGTAAAACCGGTTCTTCACAGCATTGTCGGTACGGCCGGGCAACAGGCGCGCAATGTCGGCCCAGTGGTTCCCGATCCGATCTCTCGTTTTGAAGATCAAGTCGTCCTCTTCTTCCGTCCACGCTTCCTTGTTCACGGATGGACTCAAGTGATTCACCCATCGTTCGCGGCACTGCTTGCCACACCGCCCAGGCAGCAACAGCGAAATCGCAGACCAGTCACTTGCCCCCGACGACTGCACCGCGACAGCCAACTCTTGGTCTTCCTGCGCAGTCCACGGCCGCTTGCCGAGCTTGTTCATCATCGTCGTCATCTTGGACCGTTTTCGACGGGGCGACTGCGACGCGTTCGACTCGATGTCGAATTCGTGGTAGTCGTCGCCCTTGCCCGCTTCACGCTTGACTTTGCCTTCTTCGTCATGGTAGAGTTGGTTTTCGCGGTGCTGCAGTTGATGGTGCGATTGAAGCAGGACGGCCGAGATGATCGGGTCGTGAACGTTGGTGGATGTAGCGCGCTGTTGAACATACGACTGCTGATGTATCTTGGACGAGCCCTTCTTGTCCACAAGGGCCAGCCGCGCGCGCTTGGACAGCGGCTTCTTCGTGCTAGAGTCAGCAAATTCGGTGGGACTCGACGCCGGGGACGCGGAAGAAGGGACGGACCCGCCATCGTCTTCGTCAGGATCAACATCACTGTCTTGATCGGTAGGTCGATATCGGTCGCCATAGCGTTGGGCGAGTCTGTGGCCGTCGTGAGTTGAATGGGAAAGGTCGTCGTGGGCAGTCGATGTGGACGTTTCCGCGAGCCCGAGCACGCGGCACAAGTCTTGTCGCAGGGAGAGTACACTGTTTTGGAGTTGCTGCAGTTGCTCGTGGACCACGCTCTCGTTTCGGAGCAAGTGCTTCAACGTGTCTTCTTGCTGCGCGACTTTGGCTCGTAGAAACTGCATTTCCGAGACATCGTCAGCTGCGGGGGGCATGACGCTCATGACGGTGGTGGGCGACGACGCGAGTTGTTGCTGACCATTGATCGGTGCGTTCTGGTCGTTGCTGGTTTCGACAATGCGGTTCATCTGGGACGCAAGGACTTCAAGGGCTGTGCAGTTGCTGTTGTCGCTCGACGACACGAGTTTCTCGTGGTGTCCAAACTCGTTCTGAAGCGCTTCGAGCGCCGATCGCGCTTGATGCAGCAGTTTGTTCTTGCGCACAAGGGTATCTTCCGACGTCGACGACATGGCAGAGATCGGTGAAACTGCGACGGCTACAAACACACGAGCAGCGCGACCGAATGAGGGGATCGAGGTCAGGAAGAGCACCACGTTCGTGTACGTACGGGATCGAGGACTGCGCGGCGTGGGGGCGTGCGAACGAGCTGCTTCCGCCGTCGTGGTTGCCTCTCTTTGTCGGTTTCTTCCGGTTCCAGGTCAAAAATGGGAAGGATGCGCGTGGTTCAGTTCGTTGGCGAAATCTTTTTTTATCCCCCGTTTCGAGCGCATACGAAAAACAAATCAAAACGCATAATTTAAAAGATTCGGGGAGTTACCCGAGTAACGGTGGTTTTTGGAGCGCGGCGTGATGGCAATTTATTTTTCCCCCGTTTTATTTTCCTTACAGAAATCCAGCCTACGTGGAATATAATGCATGGACGCCGCCACGTATTTTAATGATCGCCCCCGAGTAACGTTGCCAACGGGAGATAACTGGTGCCGAATTCAACGGTTTGGAGCTGGCCCAGAATTGCGGCTTCTGATTGGCCAAATAGTACGTCTCCGCCAATCAAATCGATGGAAAAGCAGTGGCAGTTAACGTGGACCCCGGACGCCGTTTCACAAATCCTTGAGACGTTTCGCGGATCTTCAAGAATCGTTCGGGGGGACGGCGGCGTCCTGCGGCGTTGCTGCGGGGGTACATGTCGAACGAGCGAGCGTTATTCGTGCGACATTGCGTCGCATCTAGTGACGTGGGGGGGGGGGAGGTCGTACGACATGAAGGAGTGTGATTCAACGTGGATCTTTGGAATGGAGCGAGCCGACTTAACCGTACGGCGACCAGTTGGACGTCCCTCCAGGAGCTTGTCGAACGGATCGACCTGATGCAGCGGTGCTTGGAACACTGCCATTCGCCATATGCCGGCTGTTGAACGAGTTGTTGCCAAATTGTGCCGCGCCCGAGTGTTGCAGGACGCTAGTCGCCCTCGGCCCCCCGAAATTCTCGTGGAAGCTCCCAGCGGTCGCGGTGCCTTGTCGACTTGGAGGGCAGCCCGTCCCAGGTGGGGGAACTCCCCGGTAGTTGTCTTGGACGTAAGACGTGCGGGGGGGGTCCATTTGGGGGTAGGCACCTTGCTGTGTTGGAGGGGGCAAAGGCTGTTGGAGGTTGAATCCTCCCTGGTGCCCATATGACGTGGCCGGATCAGGATACAAGGCTGTGCGAGGGGGAGGTTGCTGGAACGATTGGGGCGTTCGTGGCGGCATCTGAAACGAGGCGTCGTGCCCTCCAATGCTGACATGGTGCATCAGTTTCGACAGAGGGGATGGTGGATTGTCGTAGCCGCCCGCGGTACTTGGCGCGTAACTCGAGCCACCGCCGCTAGCATAGCCGCCAGACGACCTACCACCTCCGTTTTTCCGGGCTAGCCACTGACGCCTCTTCTTCTCCCAATTTTGATCACGCTTGGACGATGTTAGCGGCGGCTGTGAATTCGCGCCCCATCCAGACGACCCAGTCGTCACTGGTCTTGGGTCCGTGTTGAACTGGTTTGGTTGGATGTGTGGGTAGCCACGGCCAATGGAGTGGCCATTTGAGGTCGGCGGCGGACCGACACCGTACGCTGTCTGCGGAGGCTGGGCGAACCCCGTTGGTGGAGGTTGCGCATATCCCGTAGGTGGTGGCCGTTGGAACGGGGGAGGCTGCTGCTGGTTATTGCTGGGGCACGGCATGGACCCCCGTTGGGCGCTTGAGCCGTGCGTTGGTTTCTGTGGCAGAAAGTCCGCCCGCAGCTGGGGCGCGGAATCGCGAAGTTCCGGGTCGGATTCCGGAGCGCTGGTGCCGAAACCTCCAGGTCCTGGTGCGTTCGTGTCAACGCCACGGGTAGTCGTTGCATTGGACGTACCAAACGTGAGCTGGGAAGCACCGCCGGGGGGGCCATGCACTCTCGTCGAGCTTCGCCGTACATTCATTTGGGTAGACGTTAACGTCGACATGTGGATCAAGATGCCGCCGCCGCCGCCGTCGTCACAGGAGAGCTCGTGTCGCCGATGCCTTTCAACACTGGGCTATTTTTGAATTGGCTGTGTGTATTTTCTATTCATAGCCACGGCGGGAGCCTGCCAGGAGGCTGACGCAACTTGAGCCAAGGTTGTGGTTTCCAAGCCATGGGCAGCCTCTTTGATGTCGCAGACGCTGTGTTTCAGAGCAAAAACGCCACCGGTGGCCATGCAACTCGTTCGACGACGGCGCCGCGTGCCGAGCACGACGCAGACATCCCGACGTTGTTACTGCTGGACGAAACCCTCCGGCAAATTCAAGACTCACGCACCAAGAGCGCGCTGTGTTTTACGCCCCCGAATGTAGCCAACAACGTCACGAGTGAGCCGTGGAAGTACAAGGCGGACGCGAACACCGAGCCCGAGTCGAGTGCTTTGGGACGAGGGAAGCAGTCGATAATACGGCACAGCCACCACCCCCTTCGACGAGTGTTCTCGAACATCTTGACGCCATCCGACCAACCCGAGGTACGGCACTGTCGATTCGATGGATGCTGTCGCCGCTGACGTCGTCTCTGACCAGCAATGCGATAGCCGAGTCCCGTCCCCGTTGGACAACACGCCCAAGGATACATTCGTAGTGCCCACCAGCAACCAAGCGATGGCTGACACCCCCGCGTCGCCAGCACTCGCAACACCATCCTTTGTACCTGTCGACGCTGCTGGTGCGTGCGTCGCCGTCTCATGGGCCTGGCTAAAACATGGGCTAGATGCAACTGCTCGAGCTGTGCTCAAAGCAATCGCCGAAGACATGGACGCGTTCGAGCAGCACCGTTTTGGCGGTAGTGTTCGCGTGTTCCTGTGGACGATCGATTCTCACCAGCAAGCACGTTGCCATGCCCAGATCCTTCCATCGCGACTCGAGCCGACCTCGCCAACTACATCGACAACAAATACGCTCGTGGTGTGTTGGTACGTCCCAAGCGCGTGAATCCTACCGTCAGCGCTGGCATGACCAGGCCACTGCCGCAAGCACGCCGTTTGTCGAGTTGGCGCGAAAAAAGGTGGCACGTCGAGTCGAGGCGCTTCGACACCAACAACCCGTCGCGTCCCCGCCAGTCGTCGACGAGCCGAATCCGTCCCGTTCGACGCAATCGCTCGAAGAGTTTGGAAACGACATTCGCGCCGCGCTCCGTTTCGTTCGTGCAAACGGGCCCCCAGAACTGGGAACGACCCCACAACACCCTCCACCATCACGACGACCCGCCGTGGCCACGCATGTACCATCGCAGCCAAATGCGACGCCACACCCACAGGCCGCGATTGTCGCCAAGCTGATGAAACTTCCAAAGAGCCACATGGAGAAACTGCCCAAGGCGCAGCGCGAGCTTGTCGAGTTTTCCAAGAGGTACCAGCAAGCGCTCGAGCTACCGCCCGACAAACTGGCAGCACTACCGACCCATCAGCAGCAATTCATCCACGACCTGCGGAGCAAGGTACCGCAGCCGTCCACGTAATGGACTGCCGCCATGGCGCGACTCATCATGCTGTTCACGCCTGCAAGTGGCGTCGGCTATATTCGTTGCAGTCGTGTATCCGTCGTGAATGCCACACGTTCATACATTCCTGGGTGTCTCGCGCGGCATTGAGTACAGCTCAACCAGGAATATGTGTGCCATGCAGCTCGCCGGACCCAGCCAAGCCCTCGGAAGAAGGGCCCCTCTGACGCGTCAAGCACGGCGATGGCCGGAGCCAGGCGGGGGCACAGCACGCGGCGTTGCGTTGAGCGCTGGGCGGCCAAATCTCGCCTTGACGTTAGCATCAACCGTTGAGGGTTTCGCACGGCGTTTCACTGGCACTCGAAGAAGTTGGTGAAAATACCTTCGATATCCGTCGTCGTCTGGCCAGGCTTTTTCAACAAAACGATGCCGCCGCCGCCATTTCTCGATTGTCGTGGCCATGACTACCTCCGACTTCGTGGTACGTCGTGCGCTGTCTGCATCGTGCGCGTGATGCGTCGTCCGGTAGACGTGGAAACGCGATGGCGAAGTCAAAATCCGCCTTGGCCAGGAAGGCACGATTGCTGCCAAGGAGCCAACGACGGTGGTGGCATTGTTCAGAGACACGGTAAAGAAGTACGGCGAGGATGGCGCGCTGTACTCAAAGCAGGATGGCGAGTGGTACGGCGGCAAACCCATCCCACGTCACAACTTCATCCTAGGAAAATACTCACGTGGAACCAATACTATGCCAAGTGCGTGGCGTTTGCCAAGAGTCTCCTGGCACTCGGGTTTGACCCGTTTGATGCTGTCAGCATCATCGGGTTCAACGCAGCCGAGTGGATGATCTCGGACTTGGGGTGCATTCTCGCGGGGGGGCTGGCCGCCGGCATCTACTCGACCAACAGCGCGGACGCTGCCAAGTACGTTGCCGACCACTCGGGTGCCCGCGTGATCGTGTGCGACAATGTACCACAACTGGAAAAGATGGCGTCCATCGCGTCGGCCTTGCCCCAACTCAAAGCGTTAGTCGTTTACAACGCACCAGTCCCGGCGGCGACGTCGTGCTCGGTGCCCGTGTACGCATTTGACGACTTTTTAAACCTTGGAACGGCAGTGGACGACGCGGCGTTGGAGGCGCGCATCGCGAACCAGCGCCCCGGCCACTGCTGCACGCTCATCTACACGAGCGGCACGACGGGCAACCCCAAGGCCGTCATGATCTCGCACGACAATATCACGTGGACGCTGCAGTCGATGGTGGACCTGTTTGCCACCACGGGCGATCCCTTCACGCACGTGGATCGCTTCGTGAGCTACCTGCCGCTGTCACACGTGGCCGCGCAATTAATTGACATTCACATGCCCGTCGCGACCGGCGTCAAGGTGTACTTTGCCCAGCCCGACGCGTTGAAGGGGTCGCTCGGGCAAACGCTCAAGGAAGTGCGCCCCACGCGGTTCCTGGGAGTCCCTCGCGTCTGGGAAAAGATTGCAGAAAAGCTGTGGGACATTGGCAAGACGACCACAGGGCTCAAGCGTCGGATGGCGACGTGGGCCAAAGGAATTGGCACCCAAAAGACACAACTGGCGCAATTTGGCGACACCGGCGGCGTTCCTTGTGGCTACGGCTGTGCAAATGCACTCGTTCTGAGCAAAATCAAGGCGGCCCTCGGGCTGGATCAGTGTCGATTCGCCGCCGTGGTGAGTTGCATCGTGGTTGCGCATGCACGAATGACAAGCGCGCGTCTAGGCTGCGGCTCCCATGAGCGCCGACATCCTCAAATACTTTGGATCGCTCGATATTCCAATCTTTGAGCTGTTTGGGCAGAGCGAGTCGACGGGCCCGTCGTCGACGTGCATGGGAGGCCACTGGAAGATTGGAAGCGTCGGCAAGTTGATTCCAGGCACCGAGTGGATGGTCGATCCAACGAACCAAGAGCTCCTCTTGCGTGGCCGTAATGTCATGATGGGGTATTTGAACATGGAGAAAGAGACGAAAGCCACGATCGACGATCGCGGGTGGCTGCACTCTGGCGACTGCGCCAGAGTCGACGCCGACCAGTTCGGGTACATCACGGGGCGTATCAAGGAGCTCATCATCACGGCGGGCGGCGAAAACGTCCCGCCCGTTATCCTTGAGGACGTGCTCAAAGACGAGATCCCTCTCCTGTCGAACGTGATGGTCGTCGGAGATAAGCGCAAGTTCCTCGCGGCGCTCTTGACGTTGCGCGTGCAGGTCGATGCTGACGGCGCCCCCACGCCCAAGCTGGACAAGAAGGCCCTTGACATCATGGAGTCGATTCAGTCGCTAGCGACGACGACCACCGAGGCCAGGGCGTGCGAAAAGGTCCAGGCGTACATCAGCCACGGCGTGAAAAAGGCCAATGCCCGCGCGACATCCCGGGCCCAAACGATTGCCAAGACGTACATCCTCGAGCACGACTTTAGCTTGGGCGGCGGGGAACTCACCCCGACGCTCAAGCTCAAGCGCCGGACGGTCGTCGACAAGTATGCTGCCGTCATCGACGACATTTACCGCGGCTCCTCCGGGGGAGACTAGCTTTTGAGTGTGGCCACGTTCCTTTGAGTTGTGTCACATATTTGAATGAAACTTTTTGGGTGCATGTGGAGGGCGCTCTCGATGCAAGTGGACTGGTGTCGCGGCATCCAAGGTGAATCCCCCTGCTATCCACGCCCATCTCGGGCGAAACAACGAGGTCACGCCGGCGGTCCAGCGCACCACCATCACAGGAACGCGACGTCAAAGCCCGGCAAGGGGCTGGTGGCTTCCGACACCGCTTTCATCCATGGCGACCACGGCATTCAGGCGGCTGACGTGGCCGCGCCGTCCGCTTCTGAGCTGCCAGTTGAAGGCTGGTTGAAGGGCGAGTTGCCGCGGGAGAGCAAAGAGAGTGAGATTGTCTCATGGCCGGCGCATGTGCATGCGTATGGGCGACACCCTGATGTGAACGACGGGCGGCGACGAGGAAGCGGCAGGTGTGCCATGCACGCAGGGACCTTGCCCTGTCGACCCACGTCCGAGTCCGTCGCATGCCGCCGCCCGCCTCCCTTTTTTCGTGCGATCGTGAGAGTGAGAGCACTCTCACATGGATACATTGCCGTTCACTCGGCGAAATTTCAACGCACCGTGAAATTGTTCATTTGGACTTCCGCCGACCGCCCATCATGCTGACGTCCCTCGCTCGCCGGTCGGCGGCGATCGCCCGCCATGTACAGGCCGTCGAGCGATGCGATGACGTGACGTGTTGTATCGTAGGCCCTGCCGGCGTCTTTGCGCGCCGCGTCGACCTCGGCGCCGTTGAACCTGTACGCGCCCACGGAAGAACACCACGCGCTGCGCGACATGCTCCGTTCGTTCGTAGCGCAAAAGGTAGAGCCGCAAGCAAACGAGTTCAACCGCGCCGAGACGTTCAACGTCGACCTCTTCCGCGAGCTGGGCGAACTCGGGCTGTTGGGCATCACCGTGCCGGAAAAGTACGGCGGGTCCGGCATGGATGCCGTCGCGGCCGTGATCGCCCACGAAGAACTGAGCTCGTCCGACCCTGCGTTCTGCTTGTCGTTTCTTGCCCACTCGATGTTGTTCGCCAACAACTTGGCCCAGAACGGATCGGAGGCCCAATGCGCCAAGTACGCAGTGTCGGCACGAATTCGGTCGTGAGCCTCGTGTGTAGGTACTTGCCGGCTGCGTCGTCGGGAGATGCGATTTGTGGCATGGCGATGAGCGAGCCCGCCGTCGGCACGGACGTCCTCGGGATGAAAACCACCGCCGTCAAGCACGGCAACGAGTACCTCTTGAATGGCACCAAGATGTGGATCACAAATGGCGCGATCAACGACACAGACCTCGGCGACACGTTCCTCGTGTATGCGCGCACCGGCACGACCGGCAACGCCCGTCAGGATTTTTCCAGCTTCATTGTCGAAAAAGGATTTGACGGGTTCTCGCTCGGCCAACGGATCAAGGACAAGTGCGGCATGCGCGCGTCGATGACGGCCGAATTGGTGTTTGAAAACTGCCGCGTCCCCGCCGACAACTTGGTCGGGACGGAAGGTGCTGCCGTGCTGTGCATGATGCGCAACCTCGAAATCGAACGCGTCACGCTGGCCGCCATGAGCTTGGGCATTGCTCGCCGATCGATCGAAGTCATGAACGCGTACGCAAAGGTACGGTCCGTTGCGCTCCCGTTGTTGTTCCACCCGTCTGTAGGAACGATCGGCGTTTGGCAAGCCGCTCAACTACTTTGGCCAAGTCCAGCACAACATTGCGTTGTCGTATGCGCACTACAAGGCTGGCCGCGCCTACGTCTACGACACTGCGCGGTACACGCGCCAGCGCGCCGCGAAGAGTTGTTGATGTTGGGTGCTTGGTTAGGTTGCTCAAGCTCGACACAGTCGGCAACCGCATCGACACCGACGGCGTCAAGCTCTTTTGCGGCGACATGGCCAAGGTGCGACCATCGTGTTTGCCACGGACGAGTGTGGTGGCCGACGACGTGTGCGTAGCAAGTGGCCGACCGCGCGATCCAAACCCTCGGCGGATACGGCTACGTTGGCGAGTACAACGTCGAGCGGCTGTGGCGCGACTCAAAGTTGCTCGAAATCGGCGGCGGGACCAACGAATCGCACCACAAGAACATGAGTCGCGATCTGTTGCGGGTCGACCGCTTGTAAGGCACACCGACGGCATGACCGACGTGCGCCTCGACGAAAAATCGCACGACGCGTGGAATTGGAATCGAGATGTTGCTACGACGATAAGCATCTCACATCGCATGCCATTCGATTGAGTCACCAAACAAATCTGCCATCCCATCGCACTTGCCCCGGCGTGAAGAATTGGCGAAAGCAACGAGCATGCCGATGTTGGTCCAAGTGGACGAGCTCGGGAGATAATACCTTGCGCGTGATGCAAGTCGTAGGCAGCGTGCATCGCAGTAGAGAGCACCAACGCGTTGCAGGGCTGCCTCTCACCCACTACAAAACACTCGACCGACGCACGGACGACACGATCGAGTTACGAGCGCGTTACACATCCAAGTGTGGTCCTTCGGCATACGCTGCTTCCGCTGCCTTGACTTCAGCATCCAACTCGAGCCAACTCTCGGGAAACAAATCGCCTGAGATGACTCGTTTCGCCATGTCGAGTTTCGGTTCTTTGTGCTTGGGGTTGTTGCACAAGTCGATTGTTTTGGCAAGTCGTTTCGACTCGTCGCTGCACCAGCTTTCGCACCACAGCCATTCCTACACATGTCATGAACGTCGACCCGAAACGGCGCCGTCCCGCACCTGGGGCAGTGAAAAGATGGGAATTTGATGCTGCGCGTAGTTGGGCAAGTCTTGGTCCAAGTTGGACAACGAGTGCGGGTCGGCACTCAGTTGGTCATAAATCGCTCGCAGAGAGTCTCCTGCCGCCATGCGCTTGAACTTGACCAAGTCCACCACGTACAGCGCGCTGATGTGGTATGGCTTCCCGCGCAGGTGGTCCTTCCAGTACCTACACGTGCCGTCTTGAATCGACAAAGCTGCCAGCCAAAACCCCAAACGTTTCGACAACACCATCGCGACGTCTTGCTTACCCTGTCCGCCAAAATTGAAACCCGACGTTGCGGGAATCGCAAAATGGCGTGTACCCATACGGCCGTCCTTGCAGATCCATCGTCCAGAGCTCATTCAAGTCGGCGCGAACGACCTGGTCTGCGTCAACGTAGATGATTTTTTCAACGCCAAGGGGAAACAGCACGTCGAGAAAAAGAATCTTGTAGCCCCAAATGATACGCTGCTTCTCCGTTTGACGGCGCAACCAGTTGGGCCATTTGTACGTGATGAAACGAATGTCCATGCCGAATTCCGCCTGCAGCGCACCCACGCTGTTCTTGAAGTCTGCCGACGCCAGCGAAGTGGTCAACAGCCACACGACGGTACATTTCGTACCTGGCGACAAAAAGTTTTCGAGCAGCCAAAACGTGACCGGGTTCTTTGTCCGCTTCATCACACTCAGCATCATCAACTTGAGCATGCGCTCGTACAAGTGGCCTGCACCTTGACGATTAGCGCCCGCGCATCGATAGAATGTACGGTGTCCAAGCACCTGTGGCCAACGAAAACACGTGAATGGTGTCGCCTGAGCGTGCATCGCGTTTCGACGACGGTGGGTCGCTGCCCCACTGCACAAGCGATCTCCAGTACGATTTTTCTTCCACCGCTTCACCCGTAGTCTTGTGTGCGGGCTCGTCTTCATCCAAAAGGCGCACGGATTCTTGACCGTGCTGCTTTTTCACCACGAGCTGCAGCGTAGACGATAAAAAATCGTATACGATCACGGGGACGGTGGTCGCCCGGTCCTCCTGCAACCGTCGATTCCATCAACGTTTTCAGTCCAGGACGCGGGCAGTACCTGGATGACCAATTCGTACAGCTTGGAGTGGCGGCCCTTGGCAAGCCCCAATTCCCACACCCCTGGCGCCGCTTGCAGCTGAAAGTACCCCAGGTTCTTCATCACGACTGTGTCTTTGTGCGAATGGACGGTGCCTGCTGACCGCTCCAGTGTCAGTTGCAGCCCGTTCGGCAACGACGGATAATGCACGATCGTTCTGTCGACGCACTGGCCGTATACAAGCACGTCCTTGATGTAGAAGGTCGCGGACGCGTCGTCCTGGATATTATCCACGTCGACGTCGCTCTGAATCATTTGGACATTCCACAGTTCGGGGGGTTCGATGTTGAGCGTGAGGACCGGTTTGCGGGGCAGGCGTAGGAAGTCGACACTGGACGATTCGGACCCGCCCCACAGGAACCTGTAAAATCGCTTCAACGGAAATTCTTCATAACTTGGAGACGGCAGCAGCACCAGTGTGATCTTGGCGTGTAGCACACTCGCCAGCATGCGCAGGATGCCGCTGGCCCGTTGAGCCGTCTCGCTCAACGGATCCAAATACGCCACCACGTCCAGCCCAGACGGCTGGGATGTTGGTGTTTCGTACGAGTAGAGCGGGTTCACCTCTGGCAGGACCGACGGCACTCGACGAACCTTCAAATATTCATCAATCGCGTTCATGACGAGGTTGAAGGCCAAGCTCTTGTCCGCCGCATCTTCGACAGACAAGTTGTCATGCTTGAACTGCGCCACGTACGCCTTGGACACTGCCTTGGAACGAGTGGAAGCCTCGTGTACGACAAGGACGTCAAAGTGTTCGGCCGAGAGGGGACTCGCCGCCAAATCCAACGGGCGCCCGTTGACGTAAATCACATGGTTATGGGGATCGACCTTGAATGAAAATGGGTGGCTGAACGACGGCGTCGATGTCAACCATTCGTTCAGTTTGGTTAGAATCTTGTCGTTTGGCGCCGCGTCCAAGTGCAGTTGGAGAAACAAGCGCGCATGGGTCAACACGTCAGCTTCGGGCTTCTTTGACATCAATCGGAGCACCTTTGGCGCCGTCAGAACTTGTGGGCAACCTCCCACGAAGTTATTACCTCCAGCACCACGGCCATGTACGTGGTCGAGTCGGTGTGGCCGAGCTGAGACAACATGTATGACACGCGATGGCCAAGTGTGTTGGATGATGCGCCGGTGTGCACGATGGTCAAGCCAAGGTCGGGGTAGTCGGGCACTCGCTTCAACGCTTGGTAGGCGCTTTGGGCGCCGGTGGCAGTGTCCAAATTGGCCAGCTGCCGGAATATTTAGCTCTTCACCGCACCAGACGCAATACCACACAATACCACTCGGCAAACAAATCAAAACCAGCCAAGATTCCTACCAGCAGCACGTTTTGACGTTTGGGTTTGGAGGCGGTGCCGGCTGCGTGAAAAGATCCAACTTGCTTCCACGCCTAGTGGGAGGGCCACCCCGCAGTCAGTTATCCTCGTCTCTCAGTCTTGTTGGGATGTCTCTGGGTCGGGCAATTCTCGTACCGGTTCGTCCCAACTGAACTCGGGCACCGTGCGCGGCGCTTGGTACCTCGGGTCGAACCACGGGCAGTAGACTGCATACGATTCTTCGCTCCCGACCAGCTCATTCAGCATGTCGGCATCGTCGGTGATCTTGTCTCCGCGAACCAGTTCTTGGTACAGGGATTGATCGCGTCCAAAATGCGACATAATGTCTTCCTGCACATGCACATGGTTGCGAACGACGCCGTTGAACACATGAGAGTTTATCGGGAGTTTCTTGGCGGCGACGAGATCCGTCATGGCCCAGACGGGATCGTTGTCACCGTCCGTCAGAATTGCTTTGGCATCCTACCGCCAGCGACGGTCAACGCGTCGGTGGTGGTTGGGTCGGGTACCTCGAGCCACGCATCGTTCGAAAAGCGTTCACCGACTGCTTGGCTGTACATTTGCAAAACTTCCTTCACTTTCAAGTCGTTCACACTGACCACTTCGCGAAGGTACTTGTCACGCGCAGCCTTGCTGTGTTTCTTGGCAGCGTGAAACATTTTGGCCACGTGGAATACCGTGGCAAGGTCTTCATCTCGTACGCTTGGCGTATACGCTGCACGCTCCTAGCGACAAATCACGCCGACGGACTCGGAACCATGCGTGGAATACCTCGGCGCTGAGCGCGAGCAACTGTGGTGACGTCCAAAGCACACCAAACTGGATCGGTGCTTGGCGATTGCGAAGAAAGTTGACCTGTTCAACGAAAAAACGGATGAATGGGCGTCGTTGCGGAATGCGTGAATAACATGGACGATGCCATGGCAACCGAGGCCGCCGCGACTTCCAAACTCGAGGGCAGTCGCACGTTACCTCGTTCAGTGCTTCAATGCCTTCCTTGGTGGTAGGATCCACGACCAAGATGAGCTCGTACATGACTTTACGCAAGTAGATCAAGTTCCACGTCGGTGCACGCAATATTCCCATGTCGGTGGGCCAATCTTCTGTTTCTTCGTCCGTCTCAATCGAGTTCAAGTACAGTGGGGCGAAACCATCGACGGGACCGCGAAGCGTGATGCGCACCTGCCAGTCACCTTTCACGCCACGAAAGAAGAGGTCATCGTACATCAGCTGGGGCACTCGACAACGATCCCACCGCGCCACGGATCGTGCCGGACGGGTCCAACTTCGCCAACGTGTCGGCCAAACGAAGCTCACCGGACAAGGACTTCAAAAAGTCGAACGCGTTGAATCCGTACTCGTTGAAATCGACTGGCAGCCCATTCACGACAATGCGGTTGTGCAGACGCTACCCGCACGTGCGTCATTGACGGAGGTGGTCGATGGGCGCACCTGGGAAATGACTTGATTGCGGACCAAACCCATGGCTTCGATCGTTTCCGCAGCGACCGGTTTCGACGTGAGGACGAGCGACGATGCATACTTGGGAAAGTTTTGCGACAGCAACTGCAGCCGCTTCAACGGATCCGCCGACGCCATGATGTACTGCATCGCCAAGTACCCAAGCTGCGTCAACTGCCACGGCTACGTTGCATCCTGTGACCACCAACGACAGCAACGGCGGCAAGCACATACCGCCTTCTTCTTGGCATCGTCGACGTCGTCGCTGGCGAATTCGTCCACTGCACTCGCGTCGTCAAAGTCCTCAAGGTAATTTCGAAGGGCCTGTGCGACTTCGTCGTGCTTCTTCATCATCACAGACACGACAAAGTCATCTGCGTCGTTGGTCGTGTTGGTTGAGTCGACCCAAGGAAGAAAGCAGCGCAGAACGTGCATGAACTCACCTTGGTCGTCGTCGATATCCACCGACGTGCCATTCGATGACGATTTGGAAGTCTTGGAATCGTCGAAGGTCTTGTACTCCATGTTCTTGACGTGCAGCGTGACACCGTATCCGTGGACGAGCACGGGCAACGTGTTGTTGGTCGGCGCATGACGTACGATGTACTTGATGCTGCCCGCCACGGCGAGAGGGAGTAACTTCGAATGGAACGCTTGGAACGATGGCGATGTCAGCTCGCCATACACAACCACGTGCGGGGCGTTGGCAGCAACACTGGCGGTCGACGGGTACACGTGATCCACTGGAAGGTAAAAGTCATGTTGACCTGAAGCAGCGCATGTCTGTAAAGGCGCGTCAGCTCGAGTGAGAATACGATGAAATAGATCCATCCACGTACGCGCTCCGAGTCATCGAGAGCTGGCGCGGCGGCGTCAAGAACTGAGCTATCAAAGTCCTCGACGTCGCACATCACAGCGTCCGCACACCCAGCGCTGCGATAGATGATCGCCCATGCCGAGACCGTCTCGTTGGGGCACCCTTTGAAGGCAGATTCGATCGCCAACTAGGAGATACGTTGGATTGTTGGGTGTGGGACTGAAACAGCTTGTACCTGATGGAACAGTTCGATCGACGGCGAATGCGCACGCGTTTGCAAGACAAACGGAAGCAAACGCGACACCGACGAGTCCTCCGGCAACACGTCCGCCGCAGCTTCTAACGCTACTTTGGTGTAATTGACGTCGTGCTTGTCTTTGATCGCGTTATGGCGCATATTCACTGCGGAAAGGTACTTGAAAAACAGTGCTGGGTCGTCCTGCGACAGGAATTCCGACGTTTCCAAGATAGGATACAGCGGAGACGCGAGATAGGACGTCGTAAGGTTCACGTGCACCTGTCTGCCATCAGCCATGCGACTGCTTGCGGCGAGCGCAGCGAGCCCCATCCACATGCGCGCCGCCAACATGCTGTCACCCGAAAACAATTCAAGACTTACGTGGCATGGATTTGTTCCGATAGCATCCGGAAGTCTTTATCCGGATATGTGAGCAGTGTCACATGAATAGATTCTGCCGCACTCCCCCCCAAGACTTTGTTCGTGTGGCAGGAAGCGCTTGAACGTAGCGATCAGGTCCAGCGTTCCCTTGGTGCCACGTAATTCTCGATGCCCTCCACTCGTACCAGTGCTTCATGTACCAATGCATTGAGCTGTACCAAAACTGATTTGTGAAGATCACACGCCCATCCTGCTATTTCCACACACGCAAGGGGGGGGGGCAATCGTGCCTTCGGCGACTGAATGTCTGGTGTTCTTGGATGGACCAAGAACAGGGCATGAAGCGGGATTCCACCGAGCGTGGAGCGCTAACATGCGAGGCTGAGGTTGCTTCGTAGTACGTGATTGTGGCACTTGTCCCTGGGTCTGTGGAACGACTGGGCTGATCCGGATGGATATGTTGGCATACGGACACATCGGATTGGCTGATGAGTTTGGGCATGGCCAATCAAATGCAAGCAAATTGAATCTCGATAGCGACTCAGTCCAGCACCTGTGGAGGCGCAAGACGGACGTCATGGCGATGCAGGTTAGACCAAGGAACAACTCCAACAACGAGAGAATAAATGCCACAAGCAGCAGCGTCACATCGACAACCGAAAGATGGAGACGTGGGGGTTTACACGACAGATTCGAGAACTCGATGACAGCCTGAACGACGTGGACCCACACAACCTGTGCGCCAAAACCTTCGACCCGTGAACAGTCGTCTCAACACATCACCCTAACGCCAATACCGACGAAGCACGACTCCGAGAAGGTTGCCTGACAGTTGTGGACGAACATCAAGCGCTATGCCGCGACACAACACATGCCTGCGAGTCGGGATTGACATGACCACACTTGTACCTAACGTTCCCGCCGCATTCGACGCGTACTCGTTTCCGGTGGTGCTCTCTAACTGCATGCACGCAGACTTGATCAGGGACTCGGACGGATTGCGATCTGGCGGTTGGAAGGCGATGTTCGAACGCCTGTGGAATTGGTTGCACGAACAATGCAAGAGCATCTTATCGGCTATTGCGCTGTCGAGGCAGGTACCTCGCAGTTGGAACGGAGCACGTGGGCACTGTGATAAGTTCAGAGCGAGTGGAAGTCGTGTGCTTGAGACGAAGTTGGCGATACTGCCACCGCACAACATCTGAAAGAGTCATCGTGGGCCTTTAGAAGAGCCACATGACGTGATGTATCAAACATGGTGTACCGCGCACGACCCCCGTCGAGCTCTCGTGGTTGGCTAGACGATCCAACACGACGATGGCTTCCCGCACAATGCTCTCGACCACGAGAGAGATTCTGTGGATCGCCATTTACACCATGCTGTCACCGCGATTCGCGTCCTCCGCACAAGATTGTATAGGTGCGCGGGGGGCGGCACGAGTACTATGACTCTCGAAACGGAATCAACGCAGTTTGGATTCGACATATCGACATGCCGATCCGACAAAGTAAAGAAAGGTGCTTTGACGCGGCAATTCGACCCTGTTAGCGTTGGCGGCCACAAATGTGCATGAGGGGCACCTGCGCAACGCGATTCCTTCGACAGCCATCCGTGGTTGAACCGGCGAATCAAAGCGCTCTGGAACTGGCGTACCAACAACGCCTACCTGCGACCTCGACTCCCAAGCAAGCCCCGCCGACATTTCAAAGGATTCTCTGCAAGTAACACGATTCGTCATCACCCATTCGAACGGACACAAAGTCCATGACCTAGGCGAGCGCTTGGTCAGTCCTTTGTAATGCAGAATGATCTGTTCAACGCGCGAAATTCTTTGGTGTTTGCCTTGAATACGTTGACAGCAAAGCGACTCGCCGCTGCTTCAACACATTCGACTGCGAGGCCAATGCGGCTTCGTACATGGCCTCGGTGAGTCCATCGCGCCTACATTGCGAAGCGCAACCGAGTTGTCGGCCACGTGCGCAGTGCCATGGCGCAGGCTTCCGTTCATTTCTACCACACGATCCAAGCGTTCATGTCCAAAACCGTCGATGTGGTTGAGATGCCCTCCAGATTTGTCAAGTTTATAGTGCGTGTTTTGTCACTCGTGTCTGATTGGCCAGTGTTGTGACGGAGGTCCCATCCATGGATGACGCTTGCTCGTACGTGTCCTGTATGTACTGTACAGTGTACGGGTGCTTGCCACCTTGACTCGGTCCGTACAACGTACAGTACACAGCGTACACTGTCGAACGGTTCGATTTGATTGTGACGAAACCAGCGCCTAACCATCGACGGTGGCCGCTGGTCACTCGTCGATTTGCGAACCAAGCCATGTGCCTCAAGCCAGGGTCCAAGAAGCTGTCGTGGGCGACTGTTCGCGCGCACAACAAGGCGGACGATGCGTGGATCGTTATTCACCACAAGGTGTACGATATCTCGCACTTTGATACGCACCCCGGCGGGTCGGTCATGCTGACGCAGGCTGGCGAAGACGCGACGGACGCGTTTGCTGTCTTCCATCCGTCGTCTGCGCTCAAGCTGTTGGAACAGTACTACATCGGCGATGTGGACGAGTCGACGCAAATCGTGGATGCGACGATGACGGAGGAAGCCAAGAAGACCCAAAACGAGTTTGTGGCCGCTTATCGCAAGCTCCGCGTCGAAGTGAAGCGATTGGGTCTGTACAATGCGTCCAAGGGCTTCTACTTGTGGAAGACGTTGTCGACATTGAGCATTGGGTTGTTGGCGGCGTTCCTCTGCTTCCACACGTCGAGCACTGCCATGTACATGGTTGCTGCCGTGATCTTGGGTCTGTTTTACCAGCAGTGCGGGTGGTTGGCGCACGATTACGGCCACCAGCAAGTGTTTGACAACCACACGTTGAACGATCTGTGCATCATCATGGTGGGGAATCTGTGGCAAGGGTTCTCGTGCCAGTGGTGGAAAAACAAGCACAACACCCATCACGCGATTCCCAACTTGCACACTGACTTGGCTGATGGATATCACGGTGACCCGGACATCGACACGATGCCAGTCTTGGCGTGGTCCCTCAAGATGGCCAAGGCCGTCGAACAAGGCTCATGGGGGCCGTTCTTCATCAAAAACCAAGCGCTGCTGTACTTCCCCATCCTCTTGTTCGCCCGAGTGAGCTGGGTCATCCAGTCGTACGTGTACGCGTTCCAAAGCATTGGGCCCGGCGGAACCTTCGACCCTCTCCATTACCCCGTTCTTGAACGATTGGGTCTGGCATTGTACTACGCGTGGAACGTGGCGCTCGTGTACTTCTCGGGCATGTCGTTCCTGCAAGCGATCTCGTTCTTGTGGGTCAGTCAAGCGTCTTGCGGACTCTTCCTTGCCTTGGTGTTTAGCATCGGGCACAACGGCATGGCTGTGTTTGACCGTGCCGACAAGCCCGACTTCTGGAAGCTCCAAGTGCTCACGACGCGCAACATTACGTCCACGGTGCTGGTCGACTGGTTCTGCGGCGGGTTGAACTACCAAGTGGACCACCACTTGTTCCCGACCGTTCCTCGCCACAACTTGGCGCAATTGAACGTGCTGGTCAAGTCGTTGTGCAAGCAGTACGATGTGCCGTACTACGAGACGGGCTTCTGGGCGGGACTCGGGGAGGTTGTCGACCACCTCAAGGACGTGTCCAACGAGTTCATTCGCGAATTCCCTGCCATGTAAACAACAAACAGGACGAGATTGTTTCGTGTAGCACGCACTCCATCCAGATTCGGGCATGTGGACCGTCGGCATTGCGTGTTCATTGTACACAGAGATTCACGGCATACATCGCAGTCGCCTCGTCGCGAAGACCTCTCCACGACGTGCCCTTCTCCTTCAGGCGCCCTGAAGCAATGGAAGCCGTGTCGGAATCCACCGATGCATGTGCCCGTTGCAGATTGCGTTGATAAGTTCACGTTCTCGAGAATGGCATTGCTCATTTTATGTGGACAATTTTGAAGGGATATTTTAAGCAGAAAGGACATTCGCGCCATTCGAAGTACGAAAGTCACACGTGGACGAGCACGCCGGCCGCGCGCGGTCGAGAACGACAAAGAAGTTCCTGTTCAATGGGTGCATGAAGGTGACCAAAGATCAAGTAGCTCCAAGGATGGAACGACTTGGAAGTGGCAGACACGCTGTCGTTGCCGTCCGATAGTAGAGACACGTCGAACTCCAAAACTTCGATTTGCAATGTCAAACGGGTGAGTGTGGAACGGTAGGCCAACTGGCACGATCATATCCGCTTGGTTGTCGACACCAGCATGGGAAGACGACGGCGCAACGTGTTGCGCGCGGGAGTCCTGCTCCTGGGAACGTTGGCATGCTTCAGCCTTCCCACGACGAATGCAGCGATGACGTTCGCGTCGGACGCCGCGTGGTGCGACTACCACTGCTCGAGCTACAATCCAACCAAGCACTCGTCTTGCCCTGTCTTGTGTCCGCATGCCCGCGTCTTGAAAGATGAGGTTGATCCTCTCCATCTAGTACTCTGCTTGTCCAACGCGACTGCGACTGCGAAGCCAATGGTGATGTTTCCCGTATTCCCCATTGGCGCGGAGTTTAGTGCGTTTTGGACGCAGTACCAGGCGACGATGGATCTTGAGTTGGACGGGCCGGACCCCGTGTTGACAGCGTGCTCGTTGGCGGCGCTTCCAGCATCGACCTCCTTTGAGGCAAGCTTTTGCATGATATTTCATGTCTCATGTCGCCTACATGATCAGGCGCCCTCACCGACAAGTACCTTGCCAACCCTAGTCAAGTTGACACGATCTCAAGTTGAACACACAATAATTGCACAAATCCGGGCGCTTCTGCACGACGCATCGTCCCTACGACTCCTCAGTCGTAGCAACGAAATCGATGCTGGTACGCAGTCACGATCCATTTCACGTTTCGATGAACCACGATGAGCAGGAAGCACAGTCGCCCTCGTGCATGCAACCACAAGCGAAATCGCCGCAATCAAGCGCCTTACAGGTGTCTACCACGTGCTTCCTTTGCCGCCCTTCATGAAGCTGAGCCCTCTTGCTCGATCTCTTATGACGACCACTACCGCGATTGTCATGTCCCCGCCCTTGGACATTGCATTCCTCGACCATGTTGCGCTGGATGCGGCGCTATTGACTCGACTCAATGCCGGCCTGGCCAACATCACGGGCGTCGACGGTCTCTTGCACCTTTCACCCATGTACGTACCCGCCACGTTGTGGCATCTAAAATCGTTGGGCAATCTTGGCAGGAACGACAGTGTCGTGATGCCGTCGTTGGCCAACTTTGAGACATGGGTGAAAGCTGTCTTGTGGCTCTGTCGGCATCCCACAGTGCTCTACGTGACCAAACACACAAAGCTCCAAACGCAAACCCTGCCACCGTCCATGTGGACCTCGCGACGGCTGGATGCAGATACTTCCAATCTCATGGGCACTCTGGAGGCACAGTCGAACGGCATGTACGTTGCGGGATTCAATTCTCGGATGAATGCACTGATGCGTAGATTGGGAAATGGAGTTGTCGTGGCCGTGACGGATTCAGGGCTGTATATGGATCACGACCAGTTTGACCAGCCAACTCCTCGAGAATTCAACCGCATCAACTTGAATGCGAGAAAGGTATGAGCGCACACATGAAACAATGCAAGAAAAGAGTGCAACGCGACCTGGCCTGCCACCGGCAGAATTGTGGCACTTGCAACTCCCGCGATTCCTTATTTTAACTGGAGTCGCGAAGGTCGTCCTGTACCACGCGATTGGCGATCGAGTCGAACAGTCCGAGACAGTCACGTGCGGTCATGGCACCCACGTCGCTGGGATTGTCGCCGGGAGCTCGTTTAGTGGTACTTCGACCAATGTCGGGTTGGCGCCGAATGCAAAAATCGCGTTTGCAGACATTGGCACCCAGGTATTGCATCTTTCCGAGACGACGCTGTTGAGTCAGCCAACCTTGCCATTAGGACCCAGTGTGTGCCAATCAGCCAGGTGTCAAATGCCCTGTTCGACTAGCTACTCCCAGCAACGTTTTGGACCTGTTGGGCCGTCAGCTGGACGCCGGTGCACGTATTTTCTCGTTTTCTTGGGGTCTTCCAGGCGACGATTACAGTCGCGTACGTGCACCGTCGGTCGAAAAAAAACGCTGACAAACTACATTGACTTGTGCAGCAAGCGCGAGATTTCGATCAATTCGTGGTCAACAACCCGGAAACGTTGCTCGTAATTGCTGCTGGAAACTCGGGCGACAATGGCTCTGGCACCATCACTTCTCCAGCTGGGGCCAAAAATGCTTTGACGTAGGTGTCGTTTATCGGAAGATCGTTCTCCTTTCCTGCCATTTTGTGGCGCTGTTGCCCGAGTTTTCTGGGTTTGTGTGTGGTTGTCTGACTTGGATGTCAGGGTCGGGGCGTCGCTGAGCTCCGTGGAGAGTTTGCAAGAGTCACTTGCGTGTCCAACCGTGTTCAACCCCCAAAGCGTTGCGTCGTTTTCGTCACAGGGTCCTACGTCGGACGGTCGACTGAAGCCGGACGTGGTGGCGCCCGGCCAAATTCTCGTGTCGGCGCAGAGTGAGGCAAGCTATTCCACGGTCAAAACCAGCCGACTGTGTCCGCTTCAGGGCACTTCTCAAGTAAGCGCACCTCCACCACGACGGTGATGTGACGATTTGCGCAATAGTCGACACCGGTTGTGGCAGGCATGGCCGTTTTGCTCCACGAATGGCTTCGTGATGGGTGGTGGAAGGACGGCGTGTTGAACAAGGCATTTGGAATGACATCGATCCCCGCCGCCTTAATCAAGGCGCTAATTATTCACAGTTCGCGCGGACTGACAAGACGACTGAACAACATTCGAGGCATGATTACGTGCAAATTCGCCGAAGCCCAGGCGCAGCCGTTGCGTCAGTACCCCGACAACATGCAAGGTACTGCGCCTTCCAAACCCGGCAGAGCTCCCTCTTGGTCTGGTATTTGTCGAGTGCTGATTTTGGTTTGAAGGGTATGGACTTCCGGACATGTCGACGTTGGCAGCGTTTGGTCAAAGCCTGCCCAAGGTGTACTTTTTACCCAACACGAGTTCGGCCAACTCGCCGTCGATTGCCCACAAAGGCGTACACATTTACAGCTTTGACGTTCGGCCAAAGGAATCGCTTCGAGTCACGCTGGTACGGCCGCCTTTCTAACGTTTGTCAAGTATAAACATAGGTATGGAATGACCCGCCTGGAGCCATGTTTGCGACGAAAATGCTGCAAAACGACTTGGATTTGTCGATCTCGATTCCGAATTCCACTGTAACTATTTATCCTTTGAGCGGCACGAACGGCGGCAAGGACTCAGTCAACAACGTCGAAATGGTGGTTGCTCCATACGACTTGTTGAGACAATACACCAACGCCTCTGCTAACGACGCCATTATTCGCGTCGAGGCGCGCGTTGTGGGGTTTTCCGTTTTGGTGGGGCTGTCGCAGCCTTATGCATTGGTCGCGTCGGCCGGCATGACCAGCGCACGCGGTGGTGACAGCTCAACATTTCCATCAAGCACGCTAAACAAGACAACAGCGCCTTCATCTGCCGTTGCATCAAGAGGTTTCGTGTGGGAATCGTGGATGACGATTACATTGAGTGTCCTGGGTGGTGTGCTTGTCCTCGTTGGCGCTGTCGTGCTGATCGTACGGAGATTTCGAACCGCAGACCCCGAAGCTCCTTACGTAACACCCCAACAGACCCCACGAGGGGATGCCACCTGGTCTCGTCCTTATCCAGGTAAGAGGCTACAGTGGCGGACTCGATGAGCACGTCTCATCCATTCGTAGCTGGCGTCAGGGGATCGGTCAACGACACTGGCGGGAGATCACTTTCAATCGAGCAAGACGTGTGCCCATACTGCGGGTTTCTCACCCGAGATGCAGTCAGTCTCGTGGACCACGTGCAAAGGTTCCATCCGTAGCTCTTGAAACGACGGTTCGTTCGTTCTGCTGGTGGAAAACAGCTTCTCCGACTTAAAAATTAACTGCACCAAGTGCGCTTTCGTGCGTTCGCAGCAAGACTGTTGGGGCTGGGGACGCACTGAGGACATCTGCAGGGACACAAAGCCATGGCCAAGGGTCGCTGGGGTGTGTGGTGGCATTTCGGTTTCGACAGAGCGCAGTGTGTGTTGACAACGAGCCATGGTTGGCGTGTATAAATAAAAGTGTCGAGACTGTTGTGTGTCGGCAGTAGTTTCAAGCGACGAAACACACTCGTCGATTGACGCGCTGACCATGGGCAGCGGGTCCAGCTGCGACAAGGAAGAGCTCAAGGCCAAGACGGAAAAGTCAGTGGCCGAGTCCACACCAGTGAGTCGTCGCATGTCGGAGGTGGCGCCAGCACTAGCGTACCAAAACATGACAACCGATCATGTCAACAAGATGCTCGAAGCATATGCCAACACAACGCTGGAGCTGTCGCTCGCGCAAGAAGCCGACTTTACCGGGTTCCTGGCACAGCACAACCTTCCTCCGTTCCAAGCGATTCCGAACCAAGTGTACAAGCTGTGGCACTTGATCGAGGTCAACTTTAGCCACAACCAGCTCGCGTGTCTCGACGACGCAATCGGGGATTTGACCCAGCTCGAAGTCCTCGACATCGCAAGCAATCGACTCACGCTCCTGCCCGACTCGCTGTGCAAACTCACGCGGCTGTCGACGTTGATCGTGTCCGAGAACCAACTGACAAGCCTGCCGTGTGACCTCGGCCACTGCGCGTCGCTAAAGAAGCTCATTTGCTTCAAGAACCAGCTCACGACCCTCCCAGACAGCATCGGCGGCTGCCAACCCCTCGAAGAAGTCAACTTTTTTAACAACAAACTCACGTCCCTCAGCCCGGGCTTTTACGATCTCGTCAACCTGACCGAGCTCAACATTGCCGTACATTCCCCCTAGCGACGCTGGCTTGTAACACTTGGTACAGGGAAACGCCCTAACGCAACTGGACCCGTTTACCAAGTTTGTCAACTTACGGCGATGTGCGGCGTATTTGAATAAGCTCAAGGCGTTCCCAAGTCTCACAGCATGCACGCAACTGACCCAGGTAGCGTCGTGTGTGCGTCAGAGGGTGCTCACGGTCAGTCGTAGCTTCAACTGTATCGCAACGCGCTCAAAGAAATCCCCGACACGACGGACCTCACCCTTCTCACCGACCTCGACGCCAACTCGAATCAAATCAAGACCATCCCAGATACATTGTGTTGTCCGCAGTCCAGCCTGCGAAGCCTCAACTTGCGGAAAAACAGGCTGCTGAGCTTGCCGCCTGCCCTGGGCAACTTGAAAAACATGGAGATTCTCAACATTGGCGGCAACCCCATTAGCTCGCCGGTGCCCGCCGAGCTCGCCAACATGACGAAACTCATGTCGTTCCTCGTCGACGATTCGAACTTGACTGTTTTGCCCAAGGAGCTGGCGTCCATGACGTCGCTCGTGCGAGTCGACGTCGGATCGCGCATTGACCACAGCGACGACACGACCAAATACGTGATGAACCAACTCGAACTCACGTGCGACACGAACAAGGGCTGGCTAAAGCAGTCATAACGAGATGCGTGTTGTCGTAATGTGGCAAAACTGTCGACTAGAGAATGCTCTTCTGGCGCTGGTGTTGGTGGAACCAGTGTTTGTTCGCCCGGAGCAAGAGGGAAACCCCACCCAAAATGGCGGCATGACCAATGTACATGACGATCAGCGGAATGTCTTCCTTTGTCATGTACGTTGATACGATTGCGCATAACGCACTCCAAAAGCTCAACACGTACACGACAAGCTTGGCGCTTCGAACGTGCCTGCCGACGAGTGTCAAGGTCGAGTTTCATTCTTCAGTATTGTACCAGGTCGAGCACGCGTGCGGGAAGCGAAAGTAGACTGCAAACAGGAGCATGTCGCCGGCCAACGCGACAAACAAGTAAAATCGCTACAACAACAAGTTGGCACGATGATGGAGGCAAACAAACGAGCACGACGTACGATGTTGGTGGCGAAGAACGTTTTAGCTCCAATCATGAGGCCCTTGACGAGCTGGCTGATCATGCCGAAGAGCGGCGAGCACTGGATATCGAGATCCAGCTGCGGGAACGCGAGTTGGTGGCTCCCAGACGACAGCACGGCGAGTGGAACGAACAACCCGATGCCAAGCATCCCAATCAAAGCAAACGGCCACTGCCACGCCCCACATGAGGTTTTGACAATCGATATTCACGCACGTCGTACATGGTCAGTCGTCCAGCAATGCAGCGGGTTATCCTTGGACCACAACACGTACACTTTGGCCCCGTTTGCGTCGACGGAAGGGTAGCACGCGACCGAGTACAAGTACTCTTGGGTTAGAAACTACAACGCGCACGCGGTGAGCCAGGCATTGTCCACTCGGGCGCCGCACCATGAACAAGCCCGTGCTCAAGAAACTTGGCAGCAAAAACGTGACAAAGTAGTTGACCCACGGAAACCGCTTAAACTTGTTGGACGCCTTCAGGCTGAAGAACCAAATGAGCAGGCAAATACACGCAACGCGTTGTTTGATCTGCGTGGGGTACGTTACAACGTGGATCGGGTGCCACGTAGCAGCAGCGAGGCAAGCCGTACCAAAAACACGTTGAGCTGGACGACGTCAAAGCCGAGTGTGGCAAAATCCAGCGTGACCATGGCGGCCAGCTTTTTGGCGGAATACGTCGACTTCCTACAGCATCCCGTCACCAACCATGCAAGAGCGCCGACCCCACCATATTTGCCACGGAATCGAGTTGAGCTGAACGAGTTCCCACCCAATGCTCCCGATGGCCAAGTAATTTTTCAAACACGACGGAAAGTCGGTGAGGTTGATCGATTCGACGCGCCGGGTGGCGTTGAACCCAGGGATGCTGCGCGTGATTGTCACGACGGACAAAAACGCGAGCACGACCCACAGGATCCCGTACGAGCAGGCGAGGATCGAGAGTTTTCCGACGGATACGACCCCCATCGAGTCTTGCAAGGTCGGGGACACAAAGTACTCGAACAAAAAGGGAAACCCGAACGCGATGGCAGTGAACCACAAGCTCGACCAAAACCCGCCGAGGCCAATTTTCCCATTCTCCGGTGGCCTACGATCGTGTCTGAGGGCGAGAAAGCGAGGCAGCAGCGTTGTGTGTGAGTGTACCAAATGTAGAAAATGTCGACCAAGAGTCCCATGAGCTCCGTAATGACGAGGTAGTAGCGAAGCTGCTTCTCGGTGCGGAGAACAGTTGCAGACACGGACAAGTCGCCGTTTGGCTGCATCAACCACGTCACTTCCATTGTGTTTCGACGATGAGCCGGGCTCCCAGCAACTTGCTGCGACTTCTTTCGCACCAATCCATTGTACGTCCTCGATGCTTCTCGAATAGTATCGAGGGCTAGTGCGAGCCGCCACACCGTCACAGTGAGCAGAAACCACGACAGAACGTTGATGAGCTCGGCAATCTATCCCACGATGCAAGTACACGTCACGCGCTGTCCAAGATGCTACTATGCACGTACAGGGCCTTCGTTGTACAGGATCGGGGGAATGATCTGCGCCCTAGCATTGAACACCTTCAGCTTGGATCGGGCGTCGAACGGGTCGAGATCGGCAAATGTTGCCAGCCGACACTTCCTCGCCAACTCGATGTGCTTCAGCAGCTGGTACGGCTTGGAATCTTTGGTGAGATCCGTGATGGTGCGAATAAATTGGCTATGCCTGGCGGAGGCCTGCTTCACCAATGCTGTCGTCGGGCTAAGCGATGCATCCGACGACACGCGGGAGCTGCCTGACAAAACATGGCGAACGGCACTGAGCGCAGAGACGAGGCGTGTTTGCGCGAGTTCGACATTCGAGAGGCGTCGTGTGCTACTGGTGAGTTTGAGTGCCGTGAGGGGCGTCGCGTGAGTTCGAAGGGGTTGGTTGAAGCAAGCACTGGTGAACTCAGCAATGACAAAGATGGCTTGCCACCGCTCCAAGGGCTGAAGGAAAAAATGATTCAAGTTGTCTGGGGCAACCATCTTGCTCAGTCCATACCTAGGAATGAGAATTCACCACGAGCATGTCGACGTTTGCTGGCGGTGTCCGTACCACTCGGGCATCCGCGCTTGCGGCAGAGAAAAAATCGACATGTGAGGAATCACAAGCTGCTGCCAGTTTTGTCCGCGGCGGCGCCTCCACGTATCGACGATGACGGCGACGTCGTACCGATGTACATGAGGTTGGACTAGCGACGGTCGGAAATGTTTGAAGAACGAGTCCGTCGACGGTTTGGTGCTTTGGACGAAAAAGTCGAGCCCTGCGATGCCGTTGCACACTTCTTTCAGTCGGTACTTGCGTCTGACGAGGGCCGACGGGGTCGCGTCCCGAGCCTCATGGACGTGCAAGTGCGATTTAAAGTACGACAGACCACGCGGCATGTACAAGTCGACCGTGGCCGCGATGGCCGCCCACGTTTGGTCGCACAAGGATTTGTTGGTGGGGTTGGTCAAGATTGGGACGAGGATTCGTGTCATTGCAGCAAAGGACCCGACATCGCTTTCCAGGAGCAGATCCATGGTGGTTTTGCACTCGGTGTGCGCGCTTTGTTTTTCGTACGACCCGATGAGTTTATCTTTGGACGTGCACTTTTCAAACGTCGATCGTATTTGAGTCAACAGCGACGTCACTCTAAAACATGTGAGCGATTTGGCCATGCGCGCGCCGACGTACCGCAGCGCAGCGTTGGTTTCGTGTGCAGGCTGCCACTTGGCCGACCCATGAACGTGCAAGGCGCGTGGGGCGGCGCGAGCGTGCGACTGGACCAGGTGCCACACCCCTTGGACCGTGAGGACGAACCCGGTCCACAATAGAAAGCACACGTTGCGGAGCATCTTGGAGCCGCACGTGGAAAACGGAAACGACGATGCTGTCGTTGACGCCGTGCCGTGGGTTTGGCACACACGGAATTGAATGTCCCCGTATGGACGAACTTCGTCGAAGCGCATCTTGTCGCGCTGAAAGGGATGGAATTCGATCGAATGGTTGCCGCACGCGAGCGGAAACGACAACGACGTCTGGCCAATGCACATGTCCGTGGGGCTAAACGGGAGATACATCCACACTTGCACGTCGACAGACTCTGTCATCTCGTCTGGGTACACAACAAACGCCGTGGACGCGTGCTTTGCAGTGTAATTGCCACAGTGCGTTTGGAGCTGGGGATACCGGCATTGCACCGTCGAGCCGCCGTCGGTGCAGAACCCCGTGTAAGCTCGCCTTTGCCCTAGCGAGGTTTTCACGTACGGCCGAAAGCCCCAGAACGCCCACATCCACGAATGAATGTGAAGCTGTTCCAAAACAAGCGCCACGGGGGCGGAAGCAGTGGACGCGGCGGGGGACCCGACTGCTGCGGGAGCATGCACGTGCAGCAGCCCTCGCACAGCAGCGCAAAGCTCTTCGATGTGATGGGTAAAGTACCCGATGTCCATGTCGGGATTCTGTAGGCTCAAGATGATCCATTCCACGATCGACTCGACGCGACGGAAGAAGAGCGTTATGTCAGCATGCTGGGTTGGGTCATCGATCGCGTGGACCACGGCTTCCTTGAGCAAATGCACGACGTAATGGCTTGTCTGATAGCACATGGCGGCATGTTTCGTGGCCTCAATACCTTGGGTCAGTTGGGTGTTGTGGTTGGAGCGCTCGAACGCATCGTAGAGACTGTCGTAGCCGTCGACGCAGTACTTGGAGAGCTCGCTCGACAGGGTTTTCAACCAGTGGACCACGATCGACGCGTCATCGTTTGTGTTTGGGTTCATTGCCATGTCGTCGTACGCAGCCATGAATTCTCGCAACGCGACGGAGATATTCTCGAGGCCGTTGTCTCGAAGCAGGGCCGGCGTGCCTTTGTCGATGCGACCGTTTGCGACCATGCGAACAAGCACGGAGTGAACGACGCGAACCTATTCAAGTGAATGTCAAGCGTGTGGCTTGAAAACGGAAGCAAACGAACCAGCACATTGACTTGCATGTCAAACTCAAACAGCGTCAAATGGACGCACGTGAGCAGCACACGGGCCACGTTTTCATCCGTGAGGCACAAATCGCACGCGGTTTGTTTGAGCAGCTTCTGGACGTGCCGCAAGTTCGCCACGATCACCAAGCGGACGAGAATTTTGGCTGCGAGACTGGCCAAGCTTGGCTGGACCGACCGGCACCGGTGGACAACATATACGAGCAACTTGATCACGCCAAAGTTGTTGCGGCTTGTCATGAGGAATTCCGACCGCAGGAACATGGTGTTTTCACTGAGAACAGATAAACACGCGAGAAAGATCGTGAACGTATTGTTGTGCGCTGGTGAAGGCCCGCGGATCATTTCGACACGCACGACGTGCGCGGCAACTCCACATAAGAGCTCTAGCATGCTGTAGTTGTCACCCGTTCGAGCAGACGCAGCCGAGCATCGTGCAGCGAATTTCGTCGCGATTATGCGAACCTTGGCACATGCTTTCAAAATGGCCATGATCAACTCGACGTCGCTTGTCGTGCATTGCGGCAGGTGCTGCAGGATAAACGCGATCGATAGCGCGTCGGTCATGAGGAAGCATCCGCTCAAGCACTCACTCGTCACCATGACGAAGAAGGTCAAGATCGCGTAGAGGCACTCGTGGGCGACCGTCTAGTGCACATGAGCCAAGGTAGCGAGCGTGTGGTGGACCTGCAACAACATACCTGGCAAGCGTGTGTGCAAGCTGCGGCCCACAACGACAGCACCTTTTCAAACAACCTGGGCGACTCCATCGGCGCGCCATTGCAAAACACCCACTTGTGCTGCCACAGCCGCACTTGTTTGACTCGATTGCTCGTTGAACGACGTGTGGGTGGTCGAGTGGTGGTGGCCTGGAGCTGAAATCCGGCAAACATGTTTTGGGTCTCGGTTTTGTAAAAGGTCAGCATCAGCCCACAGAACTCGGACAGCATGATGCGCAGCTGCGTTGTCAAGATGGGGTCGTCCGAGCTTGGGCATGCGCTGTAGATCGGCAACAAGTTGTCCAGAACGTGCTCAAAGTCGACAATGTCGTGGGATGCGGCCCCTATTTTCACCAGATTACGCTGAACGCGGCAAAGGTGGGCTAGAACTTGAGCGTCGTTGGTCAGAGCCATCGCGCGGAACCACGGGTGGAGTTTTTTCACACAAGGCAAGGTTTCGATCGTCGTGACAAGGTGCGCCACCAAACTGCACGCCAAACGGGCAATGGTCGTCTCGTCGGGTGTGGAAGGGCATTTCGTGGCCAGAATCACGTCGGCAAAAAGTGTCAACACGGTCACTTGCTGTGATTGTGCAGTAGACAGGTTGCGCACAATTCTCCACAAGACTTCGAGTTTCGTGTGCGGCTCATGGAACAGTTGACGGAGCGTTGTGAGAGCCGCGGCATTGTCCAGGATGAGGTACTGCACACCACGACTGCGAGTGACGCATTCAAAGAGGAGTAAGGCTTCGTTTCGGGCGTCCCGCGGCAACCCGAGGCATGCTAGCGTGCACTCAAGCACGAATTGGGTCCCTTCAAAGAAGCACGTGTCGCACCGCACGTTGCCAAAGTACAGCCGTGCCACTTGGAGCGCCAACAACTGGTCAAGGTTCGGACCAAAGAGAGCGACGCGCAAAAGAAGGCTGAACGGTTCGGGTGAAAGGGTCCACTTTGGCCGTCCAGGAACGATGGAGTGGAGAGTCAAGGCAGAGAGACTGAGATATTCATGCAAGCACCTGGTGGCAAGCACCCCTCGACTGGTGTGGATGGTATCTGGTGCCTGCTGCCCCGACGTGGGGCTCAAACCGTTTTGTAGGTGTTGTGCCAGCGACTGGAACAGTCCCATCTTTTGCGCCATGGGTAAAGGGAGTTTGGTCAGGCACTGCAGGGCATACAAGGCAGTTTTTGAGCACGGAAACCGAAGGCACTGAATCAACGTCGACACCAAGACAGAGCTACCGCGAACGACGTGCCCCCATTCTCGTGTAAATGCCAAATTTCGCATGAATTTGCAAAACTGACTCGACACGAGCGAGGCCGAGTCCCCTACAGTGGCTTGAGACACCCATGCAACATCGCGCCCTGGCTTGGACACGTAAGCTTCCAACGGACCAGCCATCGTGTCCACCATCGTCATGATGGCCAGCAGGCCAAAGCAGCCCTCGACTCCGATGGACGCACCAGCTTTGTCGAGATGGAATTGAATGAACGACATGACGTCGGTGGACTGAAAAAGAATGCCTTGGTTTGGTTTATGGCGACTGAGGTGCCACAAAACATTGAACGCATGACCAGCAATTCCATGGGCGTCCGCGTTTGAGCAGTGGTGGACTATATCGAGCAAGCACTCGACGGGGAGGTCACGGCATGGCGGATGACTCGCCAACAGGTTGGTCAGGATCAACAGAACTTGAGACAGCAGATTTGGCCATGCACGCAGCAACTGCAGCAACGAAACCAAGTGCTGGTGGATATTCACCTCGACGAATGCTTGACATAATTGCTTTGACGAGTACTTCGGGTGCAGCAATGTCGCGAGGCAGTGCAAAAAGTCCCAATACTGCTCCGTCGTGATGGCTGTGCGTCCAGCCGCAGCTTTGGAATCTGTCACGAAAATATCGCACGACAGCGAGTACAGCTTGAGCAATCGCAGCAACGAATGCGCCAGTTGGAGCAACTTGGATCGGCTCAGGTCACAGAACGGCGGGACATCCGGGCAGATCGTTGTCAAGCTGGACGAGCACATGAGCGACTTGAGTGGGATGGGAAGGTGGGTTTCCTTCAAGATCGCAATGGACAGACTCGCAAGAAGTTTGGGGTTGAAAAGAATGGCGTGTAAGCTCTTGGACGCGATGTTGTGCTTCGCGACCGTTTGAAGTATTTCGAGGGTGACGTCCAGGTAGTGAATAGCGACGGTCAAGAAGTTTTTGGACAGGGCGTTGTAGAGAGCAGTGGACAACAGGGGGAATAAAATGGCGAGGTGGGATGCCAGGTCGTCCTCTGCCGCACCAGAGTCACGGACGGCGATGAGGCAGGCTGCGGCACGGCTTGCATACACTGCACGATGACCGCGTTTCAATTGACCGATCATGCATTGCGTTAGGAGGTCCATAGCGTCTGGAATAATCGACGCAAAGAGGGTTGCTGCGCTAGGCGAGTGGCAGCACAGAGTTGCAATGATGTAGGCGGCCGAGTCTTGGTCTTCAATCTCCGAGCTCTCCAGGAGAATGGCCACGGTATTGCAAATATCCCTGACAAACCGTTCGAGCGCCCACGATGTTGGATTCACTTGCTGGCTGGCAAATACAGCAATGACAATCCACAGGTGCAGCCGGTGAAACGTCGTGTCGGTGTGGAGCTCAATCGTGGCATAGCCCAGCACAACGAGGGGCGAGGTGAACCGAGTGAGGCCCATCGCGTGCACCACCGCCAGGGGGGGCATCTTGACTTCCTGCTCGACGATTTGAACGATCGCGTTGCCGTCCACTTCAACCATGACGTGGCGAGCCACGGTGCCAAACAGCTTCCACGCGACCTTTCGCCCCGACGGCGCTAATGTCTCTGTTGACAAGGCGCTCACCAAGTGATGCAAAACCACCTGGTAGGCCGTCGGGCATTCGTTCCTTGCCGCTGCACACGTGAGTCTCAACGACGTGCAAAACGCCACAAACGCCCGTGGCTGTGGCACCAAACTAGGCATGATCTCGGCACACTGAACCGGTTTGAAGTGAACGGTTGCGGGGGGGAGCACCCGGACGAGGCAATTGATGGCACGGAAGGCACTGCAAACCAGTGTAAACCATGGCCGATCGTGGACTCGATGATCGTGGGTACGCTGGACCATTTCAATCAAGTGTGTCAATCCACTGGTCGTCTCAAAGTGGCCCGGAGCCCGTTTTGGCTCGAGGTACAAACACACTCGACCGATCGTGCAGCAAATGACGTCTGCTGTGCGCAATGTGTCGAGGTCCAATGTCGTGATGTCCAAGAGGACGTTGTCGAGGGCGACAAGCAACCGGTTCTGAATGAAAAACGTGCTGTTTCGCCGATGGCCACGGCACAGCTCAAACGCGAGGCGACTCGCCAGGGACTGGCTGGGTCCGTTGTGGGCAAACATGGACGGCAGGAACGCATTCCACACCTCTTCCGTGCACCCGATATCGTGTCGAAGATGCATGCGATTTTCGTGGTGCCGAAGCATTTCGGTGGCGTATTTGCACACTTCAGAGTGGAGTTTTAACTTGGTGCCATTGTCCTGCGCTGCCAGCTCAATCCACCGGGCAATGTTGATGCTGGAGGCAGCGACTTGGCGAACGTATGCGTGGCCTTGTTGAAATGCCATGTTGACACACTGCAGCAAGCGATATAGCAAAGGAACTTGCCTGGCCATGGATTCTTTCGACAGGTTTGCGCAGCAAAGACAAACTATGTGCCCCAACGACGCGGCCTCGACTTGCCGATTGGCTGGTATAGCCAGGAGCTGGGTGAGGACGCCTGCGCCCACCGTCACTCGCCGGGTTTTTTCGTCTGCGGCTTCCTGCCATGCAACTGTGTCCTCCAGAAGGGAGAAGAAGCTCGGACTGATCGCTTGGTTGTACACTGCAGCATGTTCCGGCCGGATTTTCATGAGCTTCCAAACAATATACGCGGCACCGACGAGGCACTGATGACGTTGCAGCCGCGGTAAAAATCCAATCAAGATCTCAAGGTAATGTGGGAATGCCACAATACGATGCCGAGTTGCCTTTGATGTACACAACGCCGCGGTCACCGACACAAGACTTTGCAAGCTAACTCCAGACGCGGTGACGTGGCATATTTGTGTTAGGTAGTGTTCATGGGACAACGCGGCGGCACATGTGGCACTCTGACACAAGCGTAAGATGGCATTGGCGCATAGATGTTGCAAAGTCGGTGTTGGTATCGCCATGATGGCCATGGTCAATTCTACAAAGGCTTTGTGTATATTCGCTCGTATGGTGGAGTGTGGTGGGTCAGCCAAGGGCAAAGTCGAAACCAGTGGGAGTAGAGCTCGCATCCCGATCTCGTGGTGGCGCTCGTATGCTTGGTGCAGCGAGTGCATCAGCAAATAGGCGTATTCGATGGCATCGACGGTGTGGACGAGACAACGGTACAACGAACACAGCCCAGTCATCACTTGCTGCCCGAATCGGTCGAGCTCTATCACTTGCAACAGCACGTGGACGAAGCGCATCGTGGGCTCGAGGAAGGCGTTCCTGTGGCGGAAGGAACTCAACAGTGCCTTTGTTAACGTCCCAAGCGTCTTGATGATGTTCAAAAGCAGCGTGTTCTGACGGTATGGCAGCTTTGGCTCACATCGAACGCAAATTTTGGACGGGGCATCGCAAGCACAAGTTTGGAACTTCAATTCGTGGCTGCATTTCAAGTAGACTTGCGTCAATGCTTCTAGGAGTGCGTCGTGTTCAAGTATGTTGGCGCATCGATCTTGCTTTGTCGCCAAGTCACAGTATTTCGTGAGTGTTCTCGCAGCTCGCAATTGCATCTTCGGGTCGCTGGACTGAAAGCCAAGACAAAGAGTGCTCAAGATGGCTGCATTTCCACGCTCCAAATGGTCGAGCACCGTTGCTGTAAAGTCCAAGGACGCTGACGACGCGTGCGCCAGTGAGATGAGGCACTCCAACGGGCCGAGGGAGGCGACGTGGGCAGGGTGGTCCATTACCTGCACCTGGTTTGTAAACCATTGCGAGAATTCAACTTTTCTATCGGACAAGCACTCGACCACACTCGTGACCAGCCATGAACGACACACTTTTCCGAGCAACCTACAACGACACGTCAGGGGTTCCAACCGAGACCTATCTTTCTCTACCGCGTTGCTGACGGCGACTCTTCGGAGAAGTTGATGGCGTCATCAACAAATGCATGGACCAGCCGCGTTGGAAGAGTCGAGAGATACTGCGCTAGCTTGTAGTTTTGCGTTCGAAAGAGGTGGCCGCAGACAGCAAACACAATCGAGTGATCGATTCGAATCGGAGACGTTGAACTGTCCATGAGGATCATGGTATCTCGAAACAAGGACAGGCGTACGTGGCTCATCACGACTCGTCGGGCCACCAGAGTGCAGCTGCACTTGGATTTTGACACGACCTTGCCACAACTTGCACGTCCTGTCCCTGTGCAGCAATACGATGTAAACTGTCCCAACACGTAAAAGACACGGTTGAGAAATGGAATATCGTCGTCCGTCGCAGTTGATGCCGTCCACGTGTTGGCGACAAAGGCAGCCCCGCTGCCGCCTCGCGGCCGCCCAAGTCGAAGAAGCATCGAGTGGACTCGAGTGTTTGGTTGCGGCTGCGCTCGCAAGTAGCTATGCACGACATAAACGAGCGACCGTGTCAAGGGCTGTCGCGAGGGCAGCCATTGCTTGGCATCCGTGATGAGTTGGACGAGACTCGACACGTTGACTCTGGCAATATCCTTGCTCAACGACAAAGCAGAGCACACACTCGCAATCAAGTCACACACGTCTTCCGGAGGAGTCGTCGAGTGGCGGCTGTCTCGAAAGAGGTACTGGGACTGGTGTTGCTGCAACCGTTGCATCGCTTTGAGTTTGAAAAGAGACAAGTATGTTGGCCAGGACGGGGCCTCGGTGATGTTACAAGGATACACGGTGGCCATTTTTCGCATGGCTGCATGGATTTTGGCTTGAATGGGCGCTGGGATGGCGTGCTCCAGGTCATGTTTGGTCAGGACGAGCGCGACAACAGCGCACATGGCGGTGGCCTTTTCAGTCGAGACAAGACCAAGACACGTGGAGACCCCCACGATGCATCCTTTGTCCAGCGTGAGCGAGACGTCGTCGAGAGCTGTTTCAAGTTGCCACAGCACTTTGCCGCTCGTAATAATGTGCAAACCAGGCTCGGTGAGGATGGTTCGATGCGCCAGGTACCGTTGAATCGTCATGCACCGGCTGACAATCTGAAGTTCCGCTGGGGACAAAAGGCCAAACACGACCAGCCGACGCAGCATGTCTTCAATCCAAATGAAATCGATTTGTGTGGCCTGACTGCCCAGGGTCAAGTCTTCCAAGCGCCTGCCGTACACTGGAAAGAGACCGCATAGTACGATGCGCCCGATGATGAGTGCGACCGATTCGACCGGGACGGCATCGATGTCGTCGTTGAAGCGCGACTGCGGAGGTTTTCCAGTTTTGTGCACTGTCGTGGTGCGACGGGTTGGTGGCGCCACGACCGATCGAGCGGATTTCGCATAACGATCCAATTTTGCAGATGACGTGGAGATGGCAGCGGGGTGGGCACTCAAAAGCAATGTTGGTCGTGGCACGTTCATCTCGGACTGTAGAATGAGCACACGAAGAAGTTGCACGCTCTTGTCTTTGATTCGGATGCAGTCGTGGAAGATCAAATCAAACAGGATCTGAATACCTCCATGGCCACACAAACGCACAACGACGTAAACTCCGTTGGCTTCCGCGAGGTGCAGGCAAATACCGAGCAAGTGCAGCTGGAGCGCGTTTGATTCAGACGCCAGGAGCAAGTCCAACAGGGTTCGAAGAATGGGTCGGTCGTTCGATACCGCCACCTCGACGGATACACTCGCGCCATTCTGCGACGCCTTCGAGCTCTGGGGTAGATCCAATTCAAGGTCCTGAAACATTGTGCAGGCTTCTTGGTGTGTTGAACTGATACGATGCAGCACCTTGGCCGCAGCCACCAACACACCAATTTGGTCTTTGCCGTTTGGATGTTGCAACGACATGCACTTGTACTCTGGAACAAACTGAAAGCGTAGCTGGAGCACAGAAAAGATTTGACGAAGGAGCGCTTTGTCTTGGACGATGAAAGGATGGACACTCGTGTCGTTGTTGACCAAACTTGAGAGGAAGCTCAACAACGACAGCGTGTAGCGGGCGTTCGCTTGTTTGTTGGCGGTCGCCAAGCTCGCCGCCAGGGAAGATGTGAGATTGAGGGACAAGAGTTGGCACTTGTACTCCGTCGACACGCTAAAGAGCATTTCCAACATGCACAGCAGGGACGCCAGACTGGATTCGTGGACAAAGCCAATTGCGACAACTAGCTGCTCCATCATGGACGGTGAAATGATCTTGGAGTCTTTCATCGGCCCTTGCCGCAAGATACGCACGGTTTGAATGAAGAACCTCGCTACTTTGTCCGCGTCCAAATGAGCAAACGTCGCGCTGCAAGGCTGGGCTCTAAACAGCATCAAGAGAGTGGAGAGCAGCTCGTGGACGAGGCGTCGATCCGGTGTGTGGTGGGTGTTTTCTTCGATAGACGGAATGGCTTCGTCAATGTGACGGATGCGTGCGGTCAACTCAGAGCAAGCGGGCGTCGTCGTGAAAGGACAGGTCTCGAACGATTTGGAAAAACAAGCTTCAAGGCAATCTAGACATGTGTACCTGGTCACCCAAGCCGCGCACGGAGTTCGTCGTACCAGCGGACTGAACCAAGAACGACTTTTCAATGGCCAGTGTACCGTCGAGGCAAAACTTTCCTGCCAATTCCGCAGCCACCCACCGAAGCTCGACGTTGTTTGGGTGGGCAATGTACTCGCCAAAGAGGGCAAGCATTGGCTTGTCGCGCTCCGACGTTGTGAAAACATGTTGGCGGAAAACGATTTGACGAAACAAAGTCGGCACACACAGCACGGCGTTGTAAATTTGCAGCAGGTTGAATTGAATGCCCAGGTGTGCTTCCGACGTGATGGGCCGAGCGGTCGCGCTGTCGATGAAGTTCACCATGTCGTTCGAATGCCGAACGTTCTCGTTCGTGGCCAAGTATGCCAGTGCCGCACTAAGGCAAAACTAAAATGACGTGAGCCATCCGCCACAAGGAAAATGATGCAATTGGCAGACCCGAAGTTGCTCAATCTGGGCTGCAGGCACGTTGGCTTCCAGGAATTCCCTATGCAGTCGTCCGTCGCGCATGAGTCGCACAACTCGCCAAGAAGCCGGGCTCACCCCACGAGACGTTCGTCGGTTGTGCATGCCACATACGACTGGACGATGTGGCTGAGCGTAGCATGCGCGACATAGTTGTTTTCACTGCCAATCAAGATCGACACAAAGCTCTCGCTTCGTGAGCTCGTTTGGGCTTCGTTGCACAAATCGCACAAGATTTGCGATGCCAAGAGGCACAACCCAATGCGTTTCGAACGGTCGGGGACACGAGCAGCCATTTCTTTCACCGAGATGAAGCTCCACACGTCCAACACGTATTTCGTGTAGAGGTTGAGTGCTGCGTTCGACTCGGACAGACTACAGCTTCGAGGCACGACCTTGTCCAGAAGTAGTGTCCGGTTCGTCGTGGATTCGAGCATACATTGCAACACGCCAAACGCCAGGGCCGAAAACTCGGTTCGATGGTCCGGCCACTCCATCAAAACGTGCAGGACGCAGAGAAACCCGCACACGTTGTCGGTGGACGTAAAGGTCTCAAGATACCCCAGCGCAACTTTGCGAGTGTTGGATAAAAACAATTGGTGAAGCAACGTCAGCGCCTATGGATGGCTCGAGTTCAAACTACAGTCATCTCGCATGCCTTGCCACCTGAATCGTCGTAGAGTTCTTTAATGATGTGCTGTTGGATAGAACGTGAAGGTGCATATGCACCACGGAGTCGCGTTGAGTCAAGTACTGAACCACTTGGTCGAGGTCAGTTGGGGATGGCTGGTTGGCCACAACAGCAACCATGATCGCAGTAATATCGTCCGTCAGACTTGGGCTGTTCACGTGGATGCAATGCTGCATCACTTGCACGTACACTACTCGAGTTGACGAATCCATAGCCATACGCCGAGTTTTTTTCGCGCACGTACCTGCAACGCAGTCGATCGTGATACACTGCGCTCGAAACGTGCATGACGGCGACGACGTCCACTTGCGCAGCGTTTGGGATAGTTCGAGCGTCAATTCTTGGGCGTCCTTTAACTTCCGCTGGACGAGATGGGGCATTTCATGCAGCACCTCGCCAAGCAGTTGTAACAGGGTCAGGGGAAAATTGAGCGTCGTGGCATGGGCGGTGCCGCTGTATTGTTGCACGAGCTCCACGGGTCGACGCAAGTACTTGATCACGGCTGTCTCGAGGGTCGAGTTGAGGTCTTTGTCGTCTAGATATAATGGAGACCACTCCGCGACACTGCATTGCCAGATCTACGCGTACGAATATGCCAGTGTGGATGTTTAAGCCATCAACAAGTAGGACGGGAGGCACCTTTGCGCGATCTCGAGATTTTAGGACAGCCCCAACGACGTCGTAAACTTCCGATTCGCCAAGGATCGGTTGCCCTGCGTCGGGGGTTTTCGTCGATAACGCAATCATGTGCACCACTTCACTCTGGACTGCCGGGGGTAGCTTTGGTACCCTCGTGCATACGTCGAGCGACTGGACCTGCGTCTTGGCTGCGGTCGACACGACCGATAAATGTCCAAGGGCTTGGATCGCATGGGCTTGAAGTTTGGTCCATTTCTCTTGCGTGATGATTGCTGAGAGACTTTGAAGGACAAAGGGGGGAATCGCACTCGCACGGCTCTTCTCCGCTCGAGCCAACGTCGGCAGAACGGCGCACAGGTACATGTACAGCGTGGGGTTGTTGGCGAGGGTGAACGACGACAGGAGGACTTGCCACTCCGTGATGAGCTTGGTTTCGACAACCAAAATGGTCGCCAGGAGGCGTGTTGACTAAGACGAACACGGGATAAAGTATTGCCTGCAAGCGAGGCCTTTATGAGGGTGGCAGTTTCGTGCTTACCTGCACGTGCACTTGGTCGACAATCGTCAAAACAGAAATGGCACGGAATCCTAGTTTCGGGCCGACTCCGTACTCGTGCATCGTCTTAAGCTGCTTCATTCTGACGCGTACGTAAGATGGCATGTCGTCTTTGGTGAGCAGCTCTTCCATCGTGGCAAAGTATGCGCAGTCGATGTTGAGAGGATTCGTTGAGGGCGGTTTTTTGTTCTTGATCCAAGCGGCCATTGCGCACGCCGGTTCGTTCACTTTGGATTGCATTAGCTCCCGCAGGAGCTTTGTATCCAACGCCATGCACGCCAGAGCGCCCAGTCCATTGTACAGCAACATGTGCATGTCGATCGCAGCTGCGGTATCGGAGTGCGCGAACGAGTTGAACACTGACACAGTCAACGCTTGTAGCAGCGCATTGCAGTCTGGGTGGCTTCGGATGGCTGCTCTGCCTTCGTCACGCAGGGCTATGGCCCAAAGGACACCACACAGGCCCGCCTAAACGTAATAGGTCAATTCAGCCTTGGCCACAATAGGAACATCGATCGGAAAACAACGCTTCACCTTGACACGAATGTTCTTAGTTGTCAGGACTGTGACGAAATCATTGATCGGGACGTTGAATCTGAAATCATCGCCGATGGAGAGGTTGAGGAGAACGTTTTGCATAAAGACGAGCGCGACACAGACGGCTTCATCCAACGCATGAGTTTTGTCGGACGAAGTCCACTAGAAACACGGCGTGTGACATGTCCGAGGGAACGATCAAGCTGCGCACCGTGTATATCAGCTTCCACACAAAGCCAAACCCCCTTGTCAAATGGCCAGCCAGCCGTGGGTCAATTGAGACGAGGGCAAAAAAGTTCAGGGCATTTTGGACCTCGGGGATGTGCTGGCCGATGCGTTTTCGATTCGAGTCGAGGGATTTGTGCAGAACGTCTTCGATCCATGTGCCTCCCACATCCCCAAAGTAGCTCGCGCCCCACAGTGGCTTGACAATTGCAGGGACAACGAAGTTGATCACAGTAGGGTAGAACCATGTCAAGAGCGACAACGACTTGAGCGCTTCATATCGAATGTCTGCATCGTTGTGGGAACTAAAAACGAGGTACGTAAATGCAACTTTGAGGTCGTTGCACGCGACCATGACCAGTTCCCGGTGGTGCCACAGCCGGTTGAGAAACTGAAACAAATCGAGTTGGAAGGCCACCACGCCCCCTCGCGCTTTGGACGGTTTACGCGTATGCGCGTCGACTTGAAAGCCACACGCCAACAAGATCAGCGTTGCCAGGCACGACGACACTGGAGAACAATGGGGGCACTTGGAGTACTGCGCAACTACGGGCAAAAACCCGCGCGTCTTTCGTTTTACATACATCCATCGCAAAATCGTTTGCTGGATTTTCTTTGCTTGCACCTTTCGAACGTAATCCAACGTGACCGGCTTCGACGCCAGGAACAAATGTTGCAAAATTGACGCCGCAAACGTGCAGGCCGTTTTTCGAACGATGCGCCGCCGTGCATCCATGTCGATCGCGCCTTTACACGCGCATTTCTTCACGCTTTGATGCTGACAGCACAGGAGATGGCACAACCGGTCCAATCGAGACATTGGCACCATGCAATGTAGGTAAGACGACCACGGCATCGATATTCCCGCGTCGTCCGTGGTCAGCATCGACTTGAGTGTCGTGAAGCTCCATTCGCCCCAGGGCGAAACGGGCAAGAGATTCGCGAGAGCGGACACAGCGTGCACGGCCACGGCGCTTCCAACTTGGTCCGTCTCGAAACTCACGCACGTTCCAATCAAGTCAATTAGTTCCATGTGCGCGCGTGGATCGTCCGAAGAGGACCACGTCACGTCGCCGCTGGCCAACACGCAACTCAACGTTTGCAGTACTCGGCCGCCTTGGAGACACACCAGCGAGGACTTGGTGCGGTGGATGCAAGCCACGACCAGTCGAACGACATGAATGTTTTTCGCGAGCCACACGCCACCGCCAGCTGTAGCCAAAACACATAGGAATCGTAGCTGTAGGGTGTTCAGGTCCGTCGGGTCTTGGGACTCGGGCACCTCCATCAAGCTCTCGACAGCCCGAGCGAGCTTGCCGAGGATGCCGAGACTCAATAGGTGCGTGCACTTGTCAGGCGAAATCGAGATGTCTCCATGTGGTGCTGGCTTCCGTGTCAGTCGAAACCCAAGTTGGCTATCCGAGATTCGGGCAAAAAGTCGTGCAATGCGCAGCGGAGTTCCAAGGATAGGATGTAGCAGGCATTCCAGCAGGATCCGTTGGGCCAAATCCAGGACACGAACCGGTTGATTCACGTCAAACGTGATTTTGGCCAGCAATTCCACCATGTCGCGGTCGTCGTTGCTGTCGTGAATTGTTCGCTGGCACATGATTGCTGCCACGTAGTGTGTATTGGACTCGCTCGTCAGCAACGCGCAGAGCCGCTCAAGAATCTTGACGGTAAAGTGCGCGATCATCTTGTTTTGCTGGATCAGGCCCATCACATAGGGAAAATGCCACGAAAGCGGTGACTGGTCTTGGTCGTGTGGCGGGTCTTGCCTGCAAAATCGTTGAAACTTAGTGCTGAACGCATGTGTTACGACGTACCAACTCAACACGAGCATCTCGTACACTTCGGCCGCGAGTCCTAGAGGAATTGTCGACGTCGCTGTCTTGGATGAGATCAACGGCAAGATCGACTTGCACGCGTCTTTGCTCAACAGCAGCTCGCAAATGCACAACGCGCCCAGTCGAACGGCGTGATGCACGTCGCGTCCGGACATGTACTTAAGCCAGAGCAAAAAATGCATCGGCTCCTTCATCGCATGGGACGCTCGCCGCCACGATACGCCGTACAAGCGCAAGACGATAATGGATTTGAATCCGTCCACAGACACCCCGGACCCAATGCCAATCTTTTCAATCGTTGCCGCCTTCAAGATATCGTCCAACCACCACGCCTTGCCCAGGGTATCCAGTGCCGAATACAGGCAAAAGTTGACCCCGAACCCGACGACGCAATCGTTGAGTGGAGCGGTCAGTTTGGTCGGGGCTTGCGATGAGTACCATCTTGAGAGCGCGCACAGGAGCAATCGCTCAAGGGCGTCCGGAGTTAATGTCGGTTCGCCCATCGTGTTGAATTGCACGGGAACGGGGGATTTCGTTGAGTTGTATATGTACGTAAACTCAAACGCTGCGTCGTGCTCGCCAACGAAGAAATATCTACGTCATCGGCATGATTTATCAAGTCATGAGTTGAATGCACGAGCACCTGTCTTGCTTTGTCGTCGGGATGGGCGGTAGGTACCATCGAAACGCGATGGGGGCGTTTGTGCCTGCGTTTGCCACAAGGGTGCACGTGGCTTCGATGTGGGCACATCGGATTTCGTCCATGCATTTCACCATCGCTTGAAACTCAGGGAAGCCCGTGGGCGTTGCGTGGGACTCGACCCACTTGTTGCACATTTTGACCAGGTCGCCAGTGATACCAGAGACGGTCGTAGACACTTTTGTCGCCGACGCTTGGGCCAAACACTCGGCCAGTTTCGATGGCTGGACCAAATCCAAGTCGGTCGCGTCCAACACAATCGTCACCAGCTTTCTCAGCAAAGTCACGCCGTACAAAACGTCGTCCTTTCGGTCAACAATCGACAAAAACGAAGGCAGCGCCACCCACTCGAGTAGGCGGCGTCGCACGTGCGGTGGCAGCACACGATTTCGACAAAACGTTTCCAATCGCTTCAGCGTTTTCCGAAATGCTTTGAACTCGTGCAATCCAATCGCTTGAGCATGCTTCCAAACGTTGGTTGGGTCAACGGATGAAATGTCGTGCGGCTCGAGGCACAGCAAGACGCAGTGCACCACAACGACCACTTCATCCGAGTAATTCCCTACCCCACTTGGACTGTTAGGCATGTCACGTCGGGTCCATATCACTTGGAAACGCACGTACGATCGAGCTCGTCCTTGAAACCTGAAAAGATCTCGGCGTTGCCAAGCTTGCTTTGCAGGACGCCGAGTCGCGTCATGGGGTCGAGTCGGCAGCGCGCAAAAATCTCGTCGCGAACTTCCCTCCAAACGCAATGTCCAAGGCCGCGCCATAAGTAGCGCAAGAGGGTTGCCATGACTGAATTGTCCTCGAGAGGTCGGGTCGTGTAGTGCCCAGAAGAGTTGGTATATTGGAGAATGCAGTGCAGGAGGACTTTTTTTAGTGCATCGCGGGCGTGCAACAGGTACTTGGATACCTTGGAAATCGAACCACCTGCTTCCACTCCAAACGAAAGCACGAGTTCGTCATACGCGACGAGTGAATACATGGCTGGCGTCGCAGGTGATTCGGTGAAAAATTCTAATGCCGAGAGAAACGCCTTGTCGAAATCAGAGGTCAGGGGGGTCGCAGTCACGATCCATGGGACAGCACTGGCAGAGTCTTCAGGCTGGATAGCAACGCTGTGATCAACGTGCTTTGGAACGCTTGACGGACTGTGTTCCAGCTCTGGTTTTGCTGGTGGAAGCGTGAAATGTGGAACGAGTCGCACGCTCTTCTCGGCTGCAGTGAAAGGCACAGCGGACGGGATGTCGTCGGTCGAGTCCACCTGAGGCGGCATGGTTTCCTTCTTCATTGGAGTTGTCACGACGGACGTGGTACGTGGAGATGGTTTTCGCATGGACGACACCTTCTGAATCATGCCGAGCGAGATGAGTGACGCAGATGTTGCGATGGCGTCGGACGGAAACGTGACTTGGATCAACTTGGTCGAGTCGTCCAGATGAACAGTCAGCTTCGCCAGGAGCTTCTGAAGTATCGTTCGCTGGTTCTTGCTTGTCGACATCATAATGTGCAGCGTGTCGTCGCTGAAGCCAACAATCTCACCGAGTTGTTGAGACGTTAAGGTAACGTGCACTTCGGCGTTGTCGACGTGGAGCTCCGCCGCGGCGACAGACGTCGTCGAGTCGACGATGTCCTTGAGCGTAATGGACACCCCATCGCCACGAAGAAAGAGGTCGGCGTTCAGCATGTACCCGCAAAAGGTATTTGTGATGGCAAACGTTGGCGACTCACCGCCGTTGATATCAGTTGAAGTCGACGCAACAGAGTGCAAGCGTCGAGGTTTTGTCGGACTCTTGAGCGTCGAAGCGAGCTGGTACCGAACGTATACAGTGTTGCCATGCTGTAGAATGTCTTGGACGCGTATGTGTCGCTCGTCGTGCATGTCGATGACGTGGGCGACATCTTTGTTGCGGCAAAAGACAAAATCGACCGCGTTTGTTGGTGGTTTGTGCATGGACGAAGGCTTTCCACCGCTGCCCGAGGTGGAGTTGGGCCGGTGGTTATGCACGTTACCCAGCATGATGCTTAGCACGACACGAAGATCGCTCAATGTCGCCGTCGACATGACATCCAGCGTTCGCTTGGACGCAAGGTCGATTCCCTTGGTGTGTTTTCTCGGCGACAGCTTCGGTGGGTCCCCGACGCTCTCGACGCAGATGCTTCGCCATGTGAGTTTCTGGAAGGACGCAATGTCTTCGAGCGTCTCGGTGCTTTGGTGTTCCAGTTGGTCATGAAGTGAACTCACGAGCTGCTTTCTTGTCGAGTGCATGAAGAAAGGGGCGGCCGGTCGTCGTGGCGCCCTTTCTACCTATTCGTGGTATCTTGGACCCAAGCGACACCACCCCAATTCTCCGGATAACAAAATTGTTCCGGATAAATGTTGAAGCTGCAATGTATTGCCACCACAAAAGGATGAAGTGGTCGTTATCCGCAAAGGCGTTGGCGGCGCTGCCGTTCGCGACGGTGGCGGGATGGACTGGCATGGTCATGTACAAGCGAGAGAGTGCAAACCACCCTCCTCGAGGGTTCACTTTCAACACCGGCTCGATGGATGACATTATGTCTGACACGCTGCAAACGGGAGACATCGTCCTCTTTCGGCGCAACTGTGCGTTCATGCAGGTAAGGCATGCGATTGAAAACTGGGGGCGTGTGCAGCAAGTGGATGACACTTTACAATAGCCTGCAGACGCACTCAGTTGTTTTCTGGCGGACCACGTGCCAAGTTGGCAAGGCCCGTACAACCACTGCGGGTTTATTTACGTGAATCACATTGGTGACAAGTTCGTCGTCGAAGAAACGTACTCGGGTGTAAAGTGCCGACCGTACAGCGCGCGCATCATCACGTCGCTGTCGACGGATATCGTTGTCGTGCCTCTGCGTGTCAAGGTAAAGCGCCTGAGGATGTTGAACATTCCTGACGATCTTTGGCAGAGGACACCTGAAATGCAAAATTCCGTGCGTGACTTTGTGGAAGAAAATGTGGGGCGGTCCTCTCGTTTCTCGTTCAAGACAGTGTTGGGCCACTTTGCCTCGACTGGCGCCACGGCAACAAATGCCCCGATGTATCCTGCTGCAGGTGCGTCTACCGTGCTAATGTCCCACGGTGCTACAAGGTTCTGTGGCTTAGGATTGATTGCAGAAGCATACGTGCGCATGGGATTGCTGCCCATAGAGCCAACGGACCAGTATATTTCCCCGACAAGTTGCACGATCAAGGTCGCTCCTCCCTCTCACTGCTGTGCACTCAGGCGTGCCATGATATGTAGGATTGGACAAACTATTCCCGCGTTAAGTTGCTGCATGATGCTCATTTGGACCGAAAAGTGCCAATTCGACTGTTGTAGAAATTTTGGATAATTTGCATACTTGTCGTTGTGCTGCATTCAACCATGTATGTAGAAGATTAGTTTTGGTGAGCGATCGACAGAGTCAAGCCGTTGTCCGTCGTTTGGATTGCTTCCAGGTCACCACCGTTAAATTGGCACACGATAAACCCTTGCGCCCCCGCTGCTGACGCCGGGCATGGCTTCTTCCGTCCTGCCGGGCTTGTCAAAGTCATCGACTGGAACGGCTTCGCATGGTCCAGATCACCCGTTTCCGTTGCCAGGTATCCGCCGTCCATGCTGGCCCATTTTCGTGGCTGGGGATGCTTGGGCCTTTGGTGTTGGGCCGCGGGATCGGATGATGAAATTCCGCGAAGGTGGGTTTCCTTGACAGGGCTCGGCACAGGTCCGTCGTCTCCTTCGTCCGGGCAAGTTCGCCTTCGAAACAACATGGACGACGACGCCGTGGACGAATGGATCATCGGACTCGCGTCAATCGAAGGACTCATGTATACCGACTTGGACGGGTTGATCGCGTGCAGTGGATGAGCACTCACGTTCTGTTTCGCAACCGTCATGCATCTGGAGCAGATTTTATGTTCTTGTATCGCTTTTTGAGACGGTTCCGACTGTAGACAGAGCGGCGTATACGCAATTTGCACCGTACACGCCATGCACATGATCTACGAAAGGAATGAGTCTCATTTCGGCGACACGGGATACCGCACATCGCCGCACGAGCGACAGTGGTGGCGTGTCCGAAGTGGGTTGAAGCGCTTGGCACACACGTGGCAGTGTTTTCTCGCACTGGAAAATCAATCGAGAAGGCGTTAATCCCTGCAGTTGCATGACAGAGCTTATCGAACAAGGGGGTGACCTGTCGGGGACCCAAGTGACGATCCCGGTAAATTGACGCGCCGTCACAATCCTGCGGGTTTCGGGAAGAGCTTCCAGTCGCACCATCGTTTGCCAGTACGAGTACGCTGTAAACCTGTCGACAGCATGAGACAGGGACGACCAGGGACCGTGCAACCATGTCGGAATCACTCCATTCGGCAGCACAGACGACTCCATCGTGCACTGCACTCGTCCTTCAGGCAACTCATGAAACAGGTACACCATTGTGATGAATTCTCTTGCAACGTTCTTCAGCGGTGGCGCTGCTGAGACGTCAGGCTTGACCACGGGTGCATCGCATACCTTGCTTGGACTGGATGGCGTCTTGCACAATGAACAAGTATCGCTGGCCATTTGGCAGCACTCGGCAGCCAGAGTACTATTCACAATACTGTGGTTCACGAAACAGATAAACCTGGTCGACTGGAAATACTTCAAAGTACACGGCATCGCGCATGCCGTGGGCAGCTTGCACTGGCATCTGCGTCTTCAAGTATTTCACACCGGAAAACTTAAACGAGTCGTCGGCGGTGGCAGTTTCGAACACCCGCACCACTCTAGCGTCCATAAACTCGCTCTCGTACAAAATCGATGCGAAGATGCGCATGTCGTCCGTGTTGGCAGCATACAACCCCCAAGCCAGACCATTGAGTGTAGCGTTCAACGTGCCCGTGACCATGTATTTGTCCAGCTCCTTGTCCTCGAGGCGCTTGCGGTATACTTGGACCCCTGCGTGAATTGCGAGTCAGAGAAGATGCATCTAGCTAGGAATCAGGTAGGACCTTGCTTTTCATGCTTGAGCGTCCACCCTGCCTCCTTGGCAATGTTAATTGGAGACGCCAAAGCATTCTTCAGCAACGATTCGCACTGTCGTCGCAGCCGCGGCTCTTGTTCATCGAAAGACAGTTCCGACACGGTGGAATGCCCACGAGAGCTGCCCTCTCGACTTCCCATCGTGTCCATGAGCGTCGACATGACCGATTTGTCGTTTGGACAGGCAACGGCTATTTTTAGACCAAATCAAACGCAATGTCAAACACTCTGGAAAATATAGATATAATCACTTTGCAAAAATCTAATGTTGTGAAAAAAATCACACCCCCGATTCAGAATAGATTAACAATATTTCGTCAGTATTGTATTGTAGATTCAGCCCAAAATCGAAATTTCCTGCAAATTGTACAAAACACGCTCCAACTCACGTCCAATCGAATTACAGCACTTGCAGTGTGCAATTCGTCATGTTGGAAAGAATAGTGCTCCAGAACCACGCGTCCGCCGACACCAGGATACACTGCTTGTATGGACATTTCATGTTGGGCTTGTCTAAGTCATACTTGGCATATGTGTATGGCAAAGCACCATCGACCATATCGCGTTGGATTAAGCAGTACACTCATAATGGGTCGACTGAGAGGCTGGAATCGTCCGCCAAGTTCCGGAAGTTCGACAGCCAAACGAGAATAGATCCTACAGCTTTATCGTGAGGACCCCTTGCTCTATCTGGCAGAAGCAGCAGCGAGGTTCAGTGCCCACTTTTCAACATCAATCAGTTCATCAACTCTTTGGACCGTCTTGCAGAATGCTGCTGGCATGCGTCGAGGAGCGAGTGATAGAAAACGTCTGAAACACACCAATGAAATCGTTCTGGACAAGTATTTTGAAGTTTGTATTGCGCCGATTGTGCGTGAGAAATTCTGCGTGAGAATTATTGGCGCACCATTTCCATTTTCAACTGACGCTACAATAGTATCGGGTCATCTATGATTGCCCCCGCACACGATTTTCAAGTTACAACAAAGCTGACGTTAAGGTGGGTGCTATCTGCTTCAATGGCCGCCAACACGATAGTCCAAAATGGCAATTCCTCAACTTCGACGTGACATAGTCAAGGTTCCTGCACAACCTCTCCCAACTTCATTTCCCTCGGATGACGAATTGTCCTTGCATGTATGTCACTTCTATCTCGACGTGGCACACAATTCATTCGACCGACGAGAGTTTGTCCCGTTGATCAACAACAACGCCGTCGTCGTCGCCCAGACTGTTCTACAATATTAAACCTGTACGTTTTACCGCACTCAAGTCGTTGATAAATAGAATTTGCAGACAAATTTCATCTCATAACAATCCACAACTTTAACGTGGAGTATGGCGAAATTGGTTATATTCAAACCTGCTGCATAAATTGGCTCTGCACACATCCAGCAAGAGTCATCACGACCAATTTTCATACAAAATATTAGGTTCAGGATGGAATTTACACCAGGATATCCTGGTGACTGTAATACATCCGGTGCTTGGTTCGCCCAGACCTCCATGTGAACGCTTGCTTGACCTATGGCATTGCGGGAATTTGCTGACACGTCCTCAGGTGTTGGCTAGTGACTGAAGCAGCAGCTCCAGCCCACCACCACAGCCGCTCTCCCGCTCTTGGCAGTGGCGCTTCCAACTTATCGATCTCACACAAAGCCCGAATGCAGTTCGCGCAAGTGCCAGTCAACTCGCCGTGTGCCGAGTCGCACCTGCAACCTATCCAAGTCGCAACGAGTGCACAGAAAGACCGCACGCGGGACGAAGCGCAGAGGAAACTCGAATGGGCGTGCCTCTTCTGTGTCTTGTTTATGTTTGTCGAGTTTTTGGGCGGATACCTTGCCGGCAGCCTGGCCATCATGTCGGACGCCGCGCATCTGCTCAGTGATGTGTTGAGTTTCTTTCTGTCGCTGTTTGCCTTGTATCTGTCCAAGTTTCCTGCGTCGGTACGTCCACCATTGCATTAGAACTACATACGTCATGACGTCATCGATAGAAAACCATGTCCCACGGATACAAACGCGCCGAAGTGCTCGGAGCGCTGACCAGCATCGTTGTGATCTGGATGTTGACCCTCGGTCTCGTCTGGGCTGCAATCCAACGCATCATCGCGCTCGTTCAGGCTCCCGACTCTACTTCTGTGCCTCCTGTGAATGGGAAGGCGATGTTCATCGTGGCGTGCATGGGTTTGGTCGTAAACATTGCCCTGATGAAGATTCTTGGACACGGCCATTCCCATGGAGGTCATGGCCATTCCCACGGCGGCGGTGGCCATGGTCATTCACATGGAGCAGTGTCGAAGGAAGCATCTTCGCACCATGGCCACTCGCATTCCCACCACGGACATTCTCACTCGCATGGACAAGATCACGTTGACCATGATGCCTCTAATCGTCACGAGCATCATGAGGATAAACACCATGCTTGCAGCCATTCCGAACACGACCACCATGTACGCTCTCAAGGCCACGACGAGCCCGTGTCCCCGATTGGTATTGACGACGAATCACGTGTTTCAACTGCTACTGCTTGCACCCACGACAGCGACGACTTGGAAGAACCTGAAGCGGAGCCGTCGGTGCACGTAGATGGCGACGGTGAATGCGCGGCCGAAAACTTGAACGTGCGGGCCGCCTACTTGCATGCTCTTGGTGACTTTTTGCAGAGTCTTGGGGTGTGCGTCGCTGGAGCGCTCATTTGGTACGTGGCAATGCATGCGAATATTGAGGGTGATGCCAAGAGGAATTAGGTATGAGCCGTCGTGGCAGCTGTGTGACCCGATTGTCACGTTGCTCTTCTCTGTGGTTGTTGGTGCCACAACCATCGGAATTTGCAAAACGACGTTGCATGTGTTAATGGAAGGCACGCCAAGCGACCTTGGTACGTCGTTGCTCAACAAGTTGATCGCTGTTGTAACGTGTTTGGATGTGTAGATGTGGATAGCTTGGAACGAGAAATCAAGGCTCTCCCAAGGGTCAAGGAAGTGCATGACCTTCGAGTTTGGTCCATTTCGCCCAGCAGCTTTGCCGTGGCAATGCATGTGGTTGAGTCGCGGGGAGATATCTCTGCTGCGATGACCCCATCGCTCCTAGTCGACGTCCAAGCGTGCGTGATGGCCCATCACGCCTTTGACTTTGTCACAGTGCAAGTCGAGCAAGAACGAGAGGCGAAGCTGTGTCCGTTCAACCAGAGGCATGTCGTCGAAGTGGTGGTTTAAAGCGTGTGGAATAGAAACTATGAGGTTGGCTTTGCTGCTCTGTCGTACAAGGATTTGACTCGGTGACCAAGCTGCTGCATGTGCCATTGCTTGGCGCAAGTGTCTCGCAGAGCGGGCTTTCTACAATGGTGCTCAAAATATCTCTCAATATATCGCACCCAAGTGCATTCGACTGTTTGGAGTGCATACACCATTTAGATTATTTTGAGCAAGTAGCCTCGTGAAGTTTTGACACTATTTTTCGCACAATTGAATCGCAGGTCCACGGAATGGAATCGACAAAGGCACCGGTTGCACCGGCGCTGACCCTGGAGGAGAAGGCATGGTTCGAGCAGCGAAAGAAAGATCTCCAGCAGTATAGTTCCATCGGTGCTGCGACTGGCGCTGTCGTCAGCGCAGCCATTACATGTACGTGATCTGTCCTCGTGGTTGAACCAACCATCTCGTGCGATAGTTGTTGGCCCCTTCCCTCGACGCTACCAGATAGCTACCATCTTGGGGTCATCGCTTATCGGCAGTCTGTCAGGATATTTGTGGGCAGACACGAAATCTCTTGAAAGGATCAACGACTTGAGTGCGACGTCGCAGTTGAGAAAGCAACTGACCAAGATGTACGTCCATCTTGTCAGTTCAACCACGTCGTTGCAATCTATCGTGCAGTTCTCTAAAGAGCATCCATTCATGCCATCTAACCTCGTCGTGCTTAGTCAGCAAACGAAGAAGGCGGCAGAGGCAGCAACGGCGGCGGCCAAAGCGTCGTAGCCCTTCGAAATGTCCTCATTGCCCCTCAAAATGTCCTCTTTCTCGTCGGGGTAGCCCGTGGAGCCATTCAACGCCGGACGCTGGATAAAATTGGGTAGTGAAATGAAATTTCCATTACATGCATTGTAGCTGAATATGCAAGGAGCGACCACGGCAAACCCACGAAGGCACGAAAGAACTCGAGCCATTCGTGCCAAAGGTCTGCGCGTCCGTCGCAGAGAGAAGGGTGGAAGCAGAGTTGTTTAGTCAAGGGGTTCGAATTGGGTCGCGCGAATCAACTCTTTGAAGTTGAACGGGTGGAACTTGCGACCGTCTGCCTTGTAGAACTTGTTTTGGAACTCGACCCAGTGCAAACGCAGCGCGTGCAAAAAGCACTCGAGCACGTCCATGCACAAAATCACACCAAACGTCGTGCCGGCAAAGAGCGCAAACCCGATAAAGATTGCAATGAACGAGTCCATGTTGATCGTCGACAGCATCGCCTTTTCAAAGAACACCGTCGACAGTTCTACAACGCAACACGTTAGCACGTACAGAGGCGAACGATGCTATACCCGAGTGCGCCAAACTCAACGCCCACAGACGCAAGTACGACGCCGTGTTGGACACCATCCCGAGGACAAACTCAATTGTTTCGATCGCTTGGTGGATAAACACTTCAGAGAATTCAAATTCTTCGCCATGGCCATGTCCGCCGTGACCTCCACCACCATGCGACGCCGCCGGGGCCAACTTTGAATGATCGTCGTCTTCTTCAAGTTGTTCAAAGTCGACTTGATGCGACACTTCCGGAGCGGCCTGGCCGTGGACCCATTTCAAGTACAACGGGTGCCCCAAGAGCATGGCTGGCACCGACACGGCGGCGCACAACAAGAGAATCTGCTGCGTTGTCTTTTGGCCATCGTACATGGGATCCGCGACGCTGCCGGGTTGCAGAGCAATGTTGATGAGTGTGTTGATGAGCGCAGGCGGGCGACAGCCAGTTTTGGGTCCTTCAAAATTGAACGGGCACTCGGGGAACTCCATGCGCTCGGACCAGTTGATCATCCACTTCATCACGATGAGCACGACCATGTAAAAGAAGAGCGACGCAGCAAAAACGAACTGCGGCACAAAGTCGAGGAAGAAGAGCGCGTAGTCCTTGAAATGCAGCGCATTCCAGCCCTTGAGAAGGATACCAAACCCCATTTGCGTGATCCCCAAAATGATGCTGAGCTTCATCTTGAACGAGTTGAAAAACAAGAGTTCGTTCTCGGACGTCTTCCAGATCGGGTCGAGCCCAAACCCGTACACGTTGTGGCCGTTTTGGACGTTCACAAGCGACGAGTTGACGACGCCGTCGTACGAGTAAAATGCTTCGCACTTCAAGTGCTCTTTCCCGAGCTCTTCGCAGTTTTCAGGGTACTTCCACTTGCTCCCAAACAAGTTGAGCGGCAGCGAGAAGAAATCGTTGTAGACGAACCCGGCGTAGATGGCGAACACTCCCATAAGGGTGATCATGTACCGACCGCCGTACAGTTGCGCGGTCATCTCGCTCACGCGGCCCTTCTCCAAGATTTTTTCGGTCGCGATCATGTACAGACCAAAGAGGAACACGCAAAAGCCGTGACCAATATCGCCGTACATGACCCCAAACAGAAATGGAAACGTCACGGCCGTGAACACAGCCGGGTTGATTTCGCCGTAGCGAGGGACGCCGTACGTGTCGACAAACGCCTGAAACACTTCAGTAAACTTGTTGGTTTCGAAATGCGTGGGCGGGACAGGCCATGGCTTGGGGACCATGTCCACGAGCGACGGCATCGACTTGTCGGCCGAGTGGGCGCGCTCCACTTCCCGGCGCACTTGGTCCAGGGCCGACTTGACGACCCACCCTTCACCACGCAGCATGCCGCTCACATCCGCCTTGAACGTGTTGAGGGTGTGGTACGTCGCCTTTTCTTGCAGGACAGACCACTTCCACGACTCATAATGCTCGGCCAATTCACGGCAGAGCAGCACGCAGCTTTCGCGGTTGCGACGAAGAATGTGCGAGCTTTGGTTCAGTTCGGCGTTGTTGCTTTGGATGAGGTTAGCAATCTATGCATCGAACATCCGTCAGCAACGACACAACGATTGCTTAAGCTGTTGATGCTGTACCGCGGTTCGATCGTCCATGGATGGCAAGGTGTACAATCGGGCATGGAAGGCATCGCAGATCTTGCGCAGCTTGGTCTCAATGAACTGGGATTGGAAAAAGATTACAAACGCGTGTTTTTCGACTGCAACACCAGTGCCGGGGTCGACGAGGAGGTCATCAATGGCGGAGAAGCGAGACAAACAGTTGCCACGGGTCGCACGGAAGATCATGCGTTCGAACTTGAGACGTTCGTCAGCGGGCACGACACCCGTGATGCTCTTGAAGCGAATGGCCAAGTCGGCTTCAGTCACTGCAGGAGCTGACGGCAAACCAAAATTCATCGAACTTCCTGAACGCGAATTGACGCGGGAGTCGTGACGAGCGACATCCGGGATGTCAATTTCAAAAAATTCGCCAACACGCGAGATGATTTCTTGGAGTTCCTTGCGCTCATTGTACTCGCGGGTCAACTTCTCGTGCATCGTGTTCAGTTGAAGGAGCTCTTGTTCCTTGTCTTCCAAGATACGTTCCAAAGTGTCCAACGCACGAACCGCCGTGTCTTGGCTGCCATAGCTACGTATGAAGAATCAGCGGTAAGTCGCCACGAGGTTGGCCAAACGAACCGGACATCCGCTGATCCTGCCAAAAAGGAATCGATACTGCCGGCACTCTTAGGGGTGATCTTCAGCTTGGACAATTCCCCCGCGAAGAAACGAAGCTTGCGGTCCATTTCGTCGCAACGCTTGACGTAAGAGACATAGCGGCGTTGGAACGGAGTCAATTCCGGATTCAAGTCGGTGAATTCAACGACACCAAGATCCCCCAGCTTCTGGACGCAGTCATGCGCGGCATCTTCGTTCACGATGAGTGAGATGTACTCGACCTCTTCCGAACGGAGCCACTTCATCTCCCCACTCCAATATGTGAGGCAACAAACAATGACTGAAACTCCCCCCTCTGGATTACATCTTGAATTCAGTATTGGTATTTAAAATCCAAGATGTAGACACTTAGGTACAGTGCACATAAATATAGAAACGTATTCGTAGTACTACTACACTAAATTTATTGGGATCCCTCTTTAGTATGCGTAACTTGAAATAGTACTACTAAAAACATTTCTTGGCAGACTCTTGCCATTGCCGTAATGCGGAGGGGCGTCCGTGAAAGGAATGGCGGCGCTTGACAAGCCCCTTCAGTGAAGGTAGGGCCAAGCAAGGCACAGCAAAGAACTAAATGTCCTTATTTGGTTTGGATTAAGTATCAACATCGTCGTTGTCTTGCTCGCCGTCGCTGTCGCGCTCTTGGAAACGGGGGTTGACTTCTTCCTTGTCCACAGGTTCAGCAACTTCTGAATTTGTAGACTTTCTTGCATGACGAATGCTGCGGTCGTCGTCAATACTGTCAGCCCGGGAGCGCTTTAGTGCGCCAGGGCGACGAAAGTGGGCATTCGAGAGGCCATAGTCGTCTTCTTTCTTGCCATACCCACCTCGACCGGGATCGTAGTCTTCCTTGGACCGCCGGTCGTCGCGAACTTGGCCGCCAGATGTTCCTCGGCCATACTGCCGACCTTCAATAAACCCGCCATCCAAATCGCATCGAATTACACGTTGATCGAGCTTGGTGCCACTGATAAAGTGCGAGCATGCTTGTGCGTGCTCTTTTGAGAAGTATTCCACGAAGCAGAAGCCGCATGGCGTCTTGGTGAGTTGGTTCAGCCCCATGATCACTGATTTCACTGGCCCGACCACCGAAAACAGCTCGTAGATTTGTGTCTCACTTGTGAAGAAGCTGAGGTTGCCCACGTACAATGTGCTCGAGTTCCGCATCGCTTCTTGTTGTTCTTCCAGGGAAGCGTAGGTGCGGCGATCCCAGTACTCCTTCTTCTTTGGACCGCCAGTGTCGGCGAGGCTGGCGTATAGCTCCATCCTCCCTGGTCACACCACACAAAAATGCTGCAGGTTCTCGAGGAACGTAAAGCCCGTAAAGATGTATATATTCAACTTTTTAATATGTCACTAAAACCTGGAAATTTAATTCTGGTTCTGTGATTGGTCAGTTAGTTTTGCAATGTTCTGTCAAACCATGCGAATTCTTTTGGTATTAGAGCACCAAATATTGATTGATTTTCAAGTTGTTTTAAGGTTTTCCGTGATATGAGCTTTTACCGAATTGATGGGTGTGCCGATTGCTCCTTCAAAGAACCTCTCGTTATATGGACGCTTCAATGGTTGCTTCATGGAAGGCACACGATTGCGATGAAGACTTGCCTTGGGTCACTTCGTCGTGATGCTATCCATTGAATCCATGTGCACAGGTCGTCCTTGAGGCATTGTGGTTCAAACGCGGCAGACATTGCCGTCATGCAATCATAACGTTGCAAAAATCTCCTTGTTTTACGGAAATCCTCGCTGGTGATACTTCTGATGACGCGCTGAGCCAATCTGGATCGAGGGTGGGAAGGTGTCATTTGAGCATTTGGTCCCCACAGCCCGCAACGCCGAAGTTCTGAGGGCAATGGATTGGAGCTCCATGTATGAGGACGATGCGGCGACAAGTCATGACCGATCGAAGGATGAAATGGCCAAGTTGCTTGTCGCCGCGTCGCTGAATGAAGAAGTGGAGATTGGCGAGACGCGGTCCACGCGTGCAGCTCACCAGCTGATGTCATATTCGTTGTCGCGATCTCTCAGCTTCAACCCCGTTGACATCGACCCATCGGCCTCCGGCTACACTCCACTTGTAGCGTACTCGTTTACGGTCAATTACATCTTGGGCGTCGGCAGTCTCGGCGTCCCATATGCTTTGTACAAGGCCGGCGTGGTATTTGGGTCAATCTTGCTCATTCTTGTGTCGTTTATCTCATACGTGACCGTGATGTGGGTCAGTGAAGCCACTGCCCGGGTACGCGACATGGACGCGAAGAATTCTAAAACCAAGCTACTGCGTGATCCGTTCCATTTCCCCGAAGTCACAACTCTCTGCGACCGATTCATGGGAGTGGTTGGTGCGGCCCTGTACCAAGTGTCGTTGCTGGGTCTTATGTACGGTGGGCTCTTGGGTTATTCTCAAGTGTTTGTCAACAGCGTTGTGTCCCAATTGCCGTCGACTTTGGCATGCAGCAGCACTTTGGTGGCAGTGGTGTTTGGCCTGGTAGTGGTGCCGCTGTCTTGCGTGGGTACTACCCATCCACATTTTTTCGCATCTAATCCTCAATACGTTAGATTTAAACGAACAAATCCACGTGCAAGTCGTCATGGCCATAGTGCGTTTCGTCGCATTGACCACAATGATTGTCAGTGCTTTCGTCGCACTCTTTGTGGACTCCCAGGACAGTGGTGAGCCCTTGAGCTGACCGGTCTATTGGCATTCATAAAATGATCTGTCAGGCACGTCAAGTCCAATTTCGCAAGGGCCACCTTATGCCAGTGACGTTCCATGGATCAACTTGGACTCGTTTGGTCTTCTCTTCAGCACCACTGTGTTTTCCCAGGTGTGTGAATTTCATTTCCACTGGCTTAATCAAGGACGTTTAGCTGTTTCAGCACTCCGTGCCAGGGCTGCTGGCCCCCTTGGCTCGCAAAGACCAACCTAAAGCGCCGTCAATCTTTGGCTACGCGCTGCTGACCACAACGTGTTTCTACTTGGCGCTGTCATTGTCGTGTTGTTACTACTTTGGTCCAAAGATCAGCTCCAGCGTCAACTTGAATTGGGCGTCCTTTTCGTGGGGAATCGACGGGGCCATACCAATTTGGGCCAAATTCTTGTCACTTCTGGTCGTGTTGTTTCCTGCCCTGGACACACTCAGCGTGTTTCCCCTGATTGCGATCACGCTTGGGGACAACTTGGCTGCGTCGCTGAAAGGTCGCGTTGTCTGGCTCAACCACAAACGCCTTGTCTGTCGCCTCATCGCGTCGATTCCTCCCTTGATTGTCGCTGTCCTTGTCACGGATCTGTCGGTGACTCTTCAATTTTCTGGAATTTTTGGACTATACGTGGCGTTCATCACCCCTGCGCTGTTGCAGCTCTTTTCTCAACGAGAAGACCCAAGACCGAATGTTTACAGTGGACGGTTCAGCTCGGAGGGGTACATTTTCGCGGTGTTGGGGTTTGGTGGTGTTGCCCTCATCATCGCGATTGTGCAAGTGGTTTACAACGCCTAGCGTCCTCGCCCAGACATTATGATAGCCATTCATCGACGCACGAAATCAATATTTCAGTATTGTGCGGTTAGCCACACTCTGCGGCATGCGGTTCGTCGAGGTTGAAAAATGGAAAGTAGTTTAAAACCTCGAGCTCGTCATTTTGAGTAATTTGGTTATTTCTTTCATTTCTAGTGTCAGTCAAACGTGGGGACGGAATAATTCTACATCATCGCTTTCCTGTTAGATGTACCCAGTGCGCGAAATAATTAGATATTTCAGCAGGTTACTGAAATACATTTTGACATACCAAAATACTACAAACAAGTCGCCCATGAAGGCAAACAAGTTTCAGAGGTTTGAATATTAATAACGAGAGGAATAAGTTTTCACA